CGTTGTTTGTTTGGTTAGGGTTTTTAGTTTGGGTGCCCGGGAGCTACGTATCTTAGTGCAAGCGGCTCTTTAAAGGCTACGCGAAGTCGATATGGGGATTCCGGTCCGCGACCGACCGGGATTTTGCAGATTTTTGAAAAAGCGACATAAAATAAGTTGAAATCTGCTCGGTTGCACAGCAATTATAGACTTTCTTTTGACTCATATTGCTTCAAGTTTCCAAGATGTGCTGAGAGAACCTTGACCTTTTCAGCGAAGTTGATCCCCGATTGTCACCAAACCACTGATTTGCAGCCAAAAACACCCCTCCAGTACCGGATTTAGCATTTCTGAAGCATTTATTTTACAAAATGGGTAAAGCATTGCTAATAAGGGCAGAACAATTATTTATTGTTTTCTGCCGACCGACCGACCCACCCCCGAAGGGGGTGGACCGGAATCCCCATGTCAACTTCGCGTAGCCTTAGTGCAAGCTCGAGCCACAACCGGTCCGACCCCTGTGAAAAGCAACTCACGAAGCCTATCGAACTGCATAAGTCACGGTTCTTTGTTTGTAACGCTACGGAGGCCTGAATTTTGGCCGTCGGAGCTTCGGCGCGGCCTAATCTACCAGTAGGACCGTAGTACAGCTATCGCGCAAGGCCCGGTCGATTATTAGTGGGAGTCGTCGGCCAAAGTTGAGGCCAAGGGCCCCGTCCGAGGCTCGTAGCCTGGGACTTCAGTGAGTTGAACTCAGTGTTCAGTGGAAACAAGGCCTTTCGGCGAGTTGACATTCGCCGACCTCCGTGGGAATTTAAAATTCCGGAGGTACCGATCGATTTCGGGCCGCGGTTACTCGGCCACCACTCAAAATCAGCCTTCCCGACCGACTTTTAAAATATACCGGGCAGTTGAAATACCACCCGAGTCCAGTGCGCCGCACTGTGTGCACCTGAGTACAGAGAAAAACCTTCATGAGTTTCGTTCGACAGGCACAATATAGCGGTGTAACGGCCGCCCGATGATTATTTGGACGGCGTGCGATGGCTGAAAAGGCTTTCGAACAATTTGCCCGGGACCGGTTGTGGCGTTGCCAGTATGCCGGGGATGCTGTTGGAAGGGCTGACGTGGCGAGGTTTAGGGTTCGTACCCAGGGCTTCTCAATCATTAATCGGTCCCAGGGTTTCGCAAATTCGCACCTAGACCCCGCCACGTCAGCCCTTTCAACAGCATCCCCGCCGGCCGGGGCCCGGTCCCCGAATTACTGATTCTCCTTGACCCCGCTCCGGAAGTTCAACGGTCAACGACGAACGTCCGTACGAATGTGCACATTCAATTTCGATTACCTATTATCCGGGCCCCGCGCCGCCCATACAGTGTACAGTGTACACCCCGCGTCACGATCTTCAAGGTGTCGAATTCAAGTTTCTGTACGTAGGTAACGTTTCGCAATCGCGACGACTGTGGATCGACGGACTTTACGGTAATCCACCATAGGTCACGTTGCTTGTGCAGCAATCGATCGAGCCCCTGATTGTCCCTGCATAAGTATAGTCGAGTGTTGTCTCATGAGCCTCCCATGGCTCCTACGGGACGTTAGAAAGGATTGATGATTGATTGGCCTGACGATAAGTTAGGCATCTTTCCATCTTTCGAAACCGGCTAGCAATATGGTTCGGAGCCAGGTGCAATGCTGATCGGCTTTGGTCAGATCCGCGTACGTTTTGAAAGGGGCAAGCCAACCCCTCCACTTAGCCATGCAGAGGAAGTTGCAAATCTCGGTAATTGGAGACTGGCCAACATGGGTTTGAGCTGGCATGATATCCCAAGTCCAGGATAGGACAAGGTTGCTGAACTGACATCTTCATGTAGAAGCACGTTCAGGATGAGTCAGTGATGTCCGTGCGTGCACTCCGAACCTAGCCTAATCTCCAATCACGCATATGAATAAGGTTGAAGCACAACAGCTCTTGAGAGCGGGGCTGCAGAACACGATGGTACCCGATAATATTGAAACGCGTGTCTTTTCCTCGTGGTATGACTGACTTGCAACTCTCAATGCGAGCATAAAGCCTCAATCTCTTTAAGAAGTGTCCAGCACTGCTGTGTGATTGGCCCGTAAACTGTTGCATCACTCGGAGGCTTCCAAAGGAAGGCCAATGTGCGACCATTGGCTGAGGCCCCCCTTCATGTGCCGGATGTTCGTAAAGCCTGCTTGCTGAAGCTCGTACACGGCTTTCAAAGACCTGTTAAGAGATAAACACGGTCACACCTTGAAATCACTTGAGTGCTCACTTCAACAACTCGTTCTGGTCTTAGTATCCAACTATAAGACCACGGGTAGTGACGTTTTCAACGCAAGTTGAGGCAGACTGCTTTTCGTCATCATTCATATTGGTCCTGGCAAACTTGTCCGATGGCCTTTCGATCTGTATCGGCTTTATGGAAGCAAACCCTGAATCTTTGAATCTTTGAATCTTCGAACGTAGATACGCATCCAATACCTCTACCCGCAAAGGTGAACTCTCGAGAATTGACAAAGGAACGTTGCTTGCAGAAACACGCTCGCTCACGAGGGCAGGCATCAGGGCGGTGCATCTGACCCCTGTACAATCTGACAGCCAAAGGTAAACCAGAGGCACGACGAGCAGTTTAGAGAGTACAGGAACCAGACCATGAAAAACGCAATACTCCTATAGTTTAGGTAGGATACTTTTAGGTAGGATAGAAACAGTCCCCGGGAAAAACCAGACCTAAAAACCTAAACCGACAAATGTACCCGCTCCGCACCCATACCCACCCTAACCCCAGATTTAAACCCACCCATTCCCCGGGCCATGACCACTATCCTACCTAGAACTATCCTACCCAAACTGAAGGTTTTAAAAACGCAATCTCGCACCTGGCGCCTCGGAACAGTATAGCTAGTCAACAGCCCACATGCAAACGGATCGTACATCAACACGGATGCAGAGGTCGACTTCGCGTCAACGTCAAAAACGCTCCGCCACCCCTGGCTGGGTTAGGGTTGGGTGCTTATGAAACGCTACGCAAAACCCCTCTCCTGGTTGCAAGTGGCTCTCATATCCTAGCTTCATCCAAAAAATTGCAAACGACTACGCGGAATTGCAAGATCCCGGTAATATTAGCAACTCTTCCACCGACTCTGAATGCGGTACGTACCGTGACTGCCGCCCGAACGTCCTCTCCGGGTCCTTGTACCGCTTCTCTTTCTTGCCGCTCCGCACGACGACTTCGGTCTCCAAATCGCCCCCGATTTGGCAGTAGACGATCAGCGGCTTGCTCTTGTCTCCGCTGGCTGCTGCCAGGGCCTTCGCCGCGAACTCCGGATTCCGTTCTGCGAGGAACGGAAGCGGATAAAATGTAACATGACGTAGCAATAGCATTCATCACGACAACTTCCGTTTCTAGAACGCGCCCCTGAATTGGCAGTAGACAAACAGCGGCTTGCTCTTGTCACCGCCGGCGGCTGCCAGGGCCTTCGCTGCGAAGTCCGGATTCCGCTCTGCGAGGAACGGAACCGGAAATGATGTAACATTCGTTGGCGGTTTTTCTTTCCGTTTCCCAATCACCCAGGGTCGGGCAGTAGACAATCAGCGGCTTGCTCTTATCCCCGCCAGCGGCTAAGAAGGCCTTCGCCACAAATTTCGAATTCCGCTCTGCAAGGAGCGGAACGGAGTCCGGTTAAGAACCGCCGGTACAGCTTTCCGGCTCGAACGAGTTCCAGATTGAAGTAGCACTTGGTGACTCCAAGACCAATCGAAACCGGCTCACCAAGAGATTCGAGCGTTGTCATCGGCAAACGTCTCGCTGAAAGCAATGGACTGGTAGATTGGAGGCAAGATCGCACGAACAGAGCCGGGGACTTTCTCCAGCTTCCACTTGCTATATAGGGTATAACTCCAAGAACAGACTTCTACAAGAATTATCAAATCAATAAAGTTTTTTTAAATATATAATAAAACTCTTTCTAATATTGTTGCCCCAGCGACAGCATGTTAATGACGGTGAATTCATTAACGACCCTGAAGGTGGGTCCGTTCACGACCTCGAGATTTTTGTCGGCAATTATTACGTTATTCTTTTTCGAGGGTCCATAAGAGCCGTTCGATTGCCAATAAGAGAGCAACGATTGTGAGTCAGAAAGCACCCCAAACGACCAGCAGCAGCTACCAGAACCGCACGCCGGGCACGCTCCGCTTACATTCATCCTGATCTCCAAAATGTCTCGAACAGTGGAAGCTTAGAAAGTTGAACGCTTACCGGTGCCAGCGAAGTCTGTGATCATCGCATAGCCTAATCGCCTGCAAGCGCAAGTCCAACACGAGTCAGGCTATACGGAATGCTTGCAAACCCTATGGAGATCCACCCTCGGACGGAGACGACGTCCTTCGTCTAATAAGAGTCCGGAGCTATGAACCAAAAAACTGGGACACACATGTCAAGGCCCCAGCAGAAAGTGCGACGACCTTAGCAGCAGCAGAGCCCGGGCGACTCCCATTGCCTTCACCGGTGCACTTTGTTAAGAGAAAGGTGACTAGATTCGGAGAATTGCTTCTCCTGGTGCCTGTGTCAAAACGCACGTTTATCTTATTTCTGCAGGAGAGACGCGGGCAGATCACATGAGGCGTTTTCATCAACTGAGAAGCGGTTCGCAGCACTGTGGGAACATGTGGACCGGGCTTCGAGCCACCTCCGCGATCCCTGATGATGACTTGGTCAGGTTGGAAGCGTCAAGTCACCCCCAGAGCCATACAAGGCCGATGGCTTCAACCCTACTTAATCGGGGTCAGAGTGCAAGCGCTCGTTACTCACGAAAGAGGGTAATCAGGAAGGGCAGCCACGCTCACCTCAGATTGGACTTGAAGTCGCTTCCTTGGATAAGTCGGAAAAGGGGCGCGCTGGCAGCTCCAGCGGCGTGAATCTGCGGACGTATTTGGCACGTCAGGTAGGTCAAACCGTGCTTCCTTCTGATGAACCAATAAGCGCGACTTCGAAATCACATGTGACGGGAAACACGGAGCGCGACATCTAGCTTCTTCCGAATATTAACACATACAGCAGCGGCTACCGTAAAGCATGTGGTAAAGACGAAGGGTTAAAGTATTGCCGGCAGGATGATGCACGCGCGAGTATAATCGGACACGGGCCAGTGGCTTGACCTACGATCGGAACCACTTGCTATCAAGAATTTCAGGGTCCTTAACAGATGGCTGGGAGGCCGGAGCGGGTTTGCGGATCCTAGATACCAAGAGACTCAAGTGGAATCTGAAGTCCCATGCGTCCTCTGACGCCAAAAAAGAATCAGGACATTACACCGACAACACAAGGCCATAAGAAGGACGAGAAATATACTGTGACCACAGGTCAAAACTTAGAGACGTCCAGCGCTGAGAGAAGAAAAAATGCCTTCAAAGAGAGCGAATTCGACAAATTAGGAAGAAACCGAAATAACGTCAAGAAAAGACAACGTCTACTGGGTTTGACACGAGCGGATTATAAGGCTGACACGAGCGGGTTATAAGGCTAACCCGAGCGTAGTCCTGGGACTCTGCAACGTCGATGAGAACGGCTTTTCCTTGCGACGCCAGCTCGTGGGCTTCGGTCGCTTCCACCTGCTTCAGACCGCTCTTCTTCAAACTCCGAAACACCTCTGCACACAAAGGAACCGTTAGACTGGGCGTAGGCCATGCATGGACGAAGCACACGTCAGCAAACCCGAGGCCCACTTTAAGCCCGGCAAAAACCATTCTTTCTAAGGCTTGAATAAAAGGACTTCACGCGCCTTCAGTAAAAGGACACAGAGGTCCAACAAGGTACTTGTCGGCTCTCGATCTCGATGGGATACATAGCCTCGTGAGGCTCACCGACGGACTCTTTCGGAAATAACAAAAAGTGTTGGCTTGGATCGGGGAATTGTTAGCCCCCAGGAGAAAAAACGTTCGGGTGCAACCAAAGCCCAGGAGGACACAACTCAAGTCCTGCTGCAGGGCAGACTTGTAGACCAGACGTGTTTCGTCTTGACAGAAGATCAATCCACTTGGCCGTCTAAAAGACGCAATATGTTCGAAAGGCCTGTAAGGCATTCCAAAATGGCTATCGTGCTCTGCGCAGGTTCGATTGTATTGGGTGTGATCCACACATTGAACCCTCGTTGCTCACAACTCGCTCTTGAGATCAGGAATATCAAAAGCACGTTAGCGGACCATTTGAGTTAGGGGGGCTCACCGATCCAGGACGTATAGGCAAACTCTTCCCCCAGCCAGGTGCGCACCTTGGTGTTCCCTGCCTTTTGGTACTCAACCATCTGCGCCAGCTTGTATTCCTTCGTCTGCTTCGCCATCTGCAAGTAATGGGGCTTCAATTTGAATACCGCGTCGATCCTGTGGGGAGCTCATTACATTCGAGGGCTTCATTCGCTTACCTGGAAGGATTTTGACTGAAGTCGGACACATGCAGTTGAAGGAAAAGAAAGAGTACCGTGTATGTAGGCCGGAGGCTGGGACCCAAGCAATTCCGTTTGCAATTATCCATTGAAGCCTGGACATTCGCTGTATGGAAGCGTAGGTTAGGTTCACCAGGTCATCTGACAATAAACAATGACTTCCGGAGTTTCAGGCTTAGTTCCAACTCCTATGAGTGCAGAAGCTCGACTGATCTGCTTCGCAATCGGGGCTGCTATATTTACTCGAGCTGAGAACCGCACAACAAGCGAAGCGAACCGCAGATCCGTCTTGTCAGAAATTAACCTTCATTCTGGAAAAACACTTGGAGGGTGAAAAGGGTGGCGCATGACTTGGATAACTGTCCAAGGTCTCACAGCCAAGGCACGAAGAATTGACAACCGACGCCAGCTAAGAGTTTCTTCTGACTCTCGACTCTTAAAGACTCATTCCTGTAAGACTTCTGGCCACTGCCCATCGATTAAAACAACCATCTACTCTAATCCCAAATCTAAAATGTCCGTTCTACACCTGGCGGAGACACCCAAATTCTGTGCCCCCAGCAACTTTGGTACCAGAATCTTGCCAGCCACCTAAAGGAATAGTTACTCAAAGCAAGGATCCATCAACGTTCTCTGTCAATGTAGTGATATTTCAGTTCCCCCTCATTTGATCATATCTCCAAGCACACGCAGGCCGTGGCCATAACATGCGACTCGGTGTACTCAGTCAACTTGACTCTCCCAGAATGTTGCTCACATCAACTGCGGTAAGTACGAACAATCTAGTTGCAACCACTCCGGCAGGCATTTAAAAGCAAACGTTAGGCTCTAACACCTCAGCACTGTCACAGATCTCTGCAACTGAAGAAGGCGTCAGATGGCAACAAAGCTCAGTTGCATAGGGAAAGTCAAGCAACTCACAAAGTTGTCGTATACCCACTTCCCAAAGACGCCTCGATCCCGCCCTTGGGGAGAAGTGTCAAAGTTGAACACCGGCTCCTCCCCTTCATCAGCGCTCTCTTTCTTCTCCTCCTGTACCTGCTGGTTGCTGCTCGACGCCCTGATCTTCGTCCCAACCCTTTGCTGCTGCCTAAACCGCGTAAGTTTCACACTGGGTTTGACGCTGGGTTTGTGAGAGATCAGGCACCTATTTTTGAAATGCAGGCTCTTTGAGGACATGGACGAACAGTGAATTTCAGAAACTTCTGTTGCCCTTGGGTTGGACAGAGCGGGGGCAGTGAGACTGCATGTCGCCTGGGGCAAGGCGAAAGTGGACGCCATCTGGAGTGGCTATGAGACTATGCAATGCTGTGAGCAGGGTTTTCTTTGCAACTGTGCAATTAAGCTCTGATGTTGCAGCACCACCTCTGCACCGAAATCACTGCAAGCAACTTGCTAGCAAACCCAATCCCTGGGGCACTGAAAAGTCAGGTTCTGAGATCGTTGACTGCTTCCGGACGTGAAGTGGTCGCCTTACGGTGCCTTTTGTGCTACTCTGCTCAGGGAAGGCTCAAGACCGAGACATGCAAGGAAAGCCAGCTAGAGCTCAAAAGCTGCGGCCGTGAACGTGTTCAAACTTCTCCTGGAACCTTACTGCTTAAAGTTACAAAAGCAGAGGAGAAGCGACAATCTGCAAACTTTGAAATTTGAAGATCGACGATGCCCCTATATTTCCGAGGGTGAGATTAAGATGCCTCCGAGCTGAGCCAAGCTGAGCGCTCGAATCAGCACACCGCGCTGTACGCGGCTCGATCGAGGCCGCCGAACGATAGGATGGACGGTTGAGATCCACCCTCGCTTTGTCCCTTGAATATTAGGGTTTGATGATACTCTCACGCCGAGGGAGCGCGGAATGTGCAGCATTGATTGTCATTGGCTGCCTTGAACTTGAAGTTGATGGCACGCCTTTATGGCAGGGCAAGGACCGCGCAGGGAGACGCCAATGCACTCAAAACAGGGAGCAAGGAGAACAAATTGGAAAGAATGCCGTTTCCTGGGGAGGCTTGCGACCCTCGTTGACTTGCAATGCCGTGCAGTCTACTTTCTGATCTTGGATCAAATCCTTGGGCACTCAAGGATGATGGTGTTGCCACGGCATTTTCAGCATCTTACAGGCTGCGTCCTCGAGATGAGAAGAAAGAAGCACGGAGATTGACACGCCTGCTAGGACCCCAAGCAGGACCTCACTAATCAAAGTCGATAGGTCAAGTGCAGAAGGTTTCAGGCAGGAGTGGCTGATACAGCACATGAAACAAGATCCTACTTGCCTCGCTTATGAAGTTAGGGGCCACGCTAAAGTGCTCAAGAGTCGTAGATTAGACATATTGTCGACCCCTGATGGAAGGGCTGCATTGAACCTATTTGAGCGGAAACTGTGAACCAATCCTACAGCTTTGCTGACCAACAAGATAAATTCAAAAGATCCAAAGCTTTGTCAACGTAGACATTTTAGAATTAGATCTTTCCACTCACGTACAATTGGGTTTCAGGTGGTTACAAGCACCAAATCCAAGAAACAAACCAGTTCGTCTTAAGCAGCTTGCATACCTCATCAATTAGTGTTGTGGAGCAGCTTCCAAGCCAACCCAAAGTCATCCGTAGCTAACCAGAAGCTAACCAGCCTTAACCCAGAACTAACCATGGCCCGTTCCAGCAGCGCCTTCACTTCTCTAAGCAGCCCCACGTCTAGGCCCAAGTCTGTCGGCAGCCCGAAATCGGTAGGCAGCCCAAAGTCTGCTCGAATTCCCAAGAAGGAGATAGACTGGGAGCATCATGACTTTCTGGAAGCAGAAGAACCGGCCCCGGTGTTTGACGAACTGGGGTCCTCATCCCGAGCGCAGAGCAGGAAGGGGGTCCGCTCAAAGGGAAGATCCGCCCAGGCGCGCAGGTATGCAACTGTTGAGGTGAGCTCACAACTGGCTACCCTCCAGTTATTCTTTCCACTTTTTTGAAGGCTGAATGAGCTGGTCTTTTTGAATGGTGGCATAACTTGGGGAGCTATTTGTGACCAGAGGATGAGATTTTGTGATGAGCAGTAGTGTGAGGGTTGTATCCATTATGTCATACGTGGTGGGCCAAAGCTCCTGGAGAAATACGATATAAGTTGGTGCAAAGCCTGTATGTCCAGCGCCTATCCCTAAGCCCTTCAACCATGGCCTATCTCTAAGCAATTGCCTGCACGCTGTTATGTCGGACCTCGTCCCTCACAAGCAATTGGGCAAACGTGTTGTCCAACTTCATCAGGGGTCTCCGGCATCAAGGTTTTGCTTCCCTCTGAAATCAGTGAGCTAACAAAAGTAGGAAGACGAAGTTCCGCAAGAAAGATCTCAAACACTGCCAAACTTTTCTCCCCCAGGAGTGCCCCCTTCCCACCCTGCCGAGGTCAGCCGATCAGCAGCTCGAGCTACCGTGCAACATCAGAATCGTGCACACGCTGCGCATTCCGGTGGACGAGTTTGAGATCCGCTTTGAGGTGCGCCAGCTCAGTCGTGCACTTCCAACTTTAGCTTTCTGCTTTCTCTCATGTGTATAATGAATATCAAGCGGAGTGGCTCGAAAGCACTTCTGCGGTCATTAACACTTTGGAGATGTACATTGCGGCGATGGTCAATGTGCTGATGAGCTGCTGACGGTGCCTTCATATTCTCACCTTCTTACTTGTCAAGACGCCAGCGTAATCAGAATTACACTGGTCAAAGATTGGTGACAAGCTTTGCAAAGTGAACTCTGTTCTAAATGCACTGGCGTACACTGCATGACCCGACTGCACTCCCCTCAAGTGTCGAATTAGGAGCAGTTGTTCCTCATGCATATGATGCGGTGCAGGCCCCTCGCGCCAAAGCGGCATGGAAGCAGTGGGCCCTGTCATCGCTGTGTCTGGAGATCTTCCGGGACGCCTTCTGGTGGATCCTGGCGGAGGAGTTCAAGGTCAGATAACGAATTCCGGCACTTTCATGGCATCGATCGGGATCAACTACATTGAGGCCAACTTATGTGGCTCAATCAGGAACATATTGCTCCTAATTCGGCTTCTTCGTATCGTTTCGACTTCGTCATTCGTTTTCATGAGTGCACGCTCGCATAACCGCCCGAGCTGAGGAACTGTCCGATTACAGCAGCTCTCCCATTCGAAACGTTTTTTGTGGCTTTGTAGACTCTTACATGCCCTTCCTCACCACGTTTGCCAAGCTCTGTGCTCTGGCGTGAAAGTCGAACTAAAGGTTTTTGGCTACCGTCCTTCATTGTTCTTTTCAAGGAGTCGGTCAGAAGTCTGCATTTTCATGTCCGTACGATAGGGAGGCAATATGCTGGCCTGGTCACGAAGCCACGCAAGGAAATTGACCGGACGCCAGGGAGGCCTCAAATGGTCCGATCAGGACCTCGGTTTCCGCGGCTAACCCTTGAACACTCGGTCACTGCAGTTTAAAAACCCTTCTACACCCTTCGGTCACTCCAATCCTTAACTCCTTCCAAACGCTCGGTCACCGCATTCCTAACCCTTTCTAAACCCTCCGTCGTCGGAATCCTAAGCCTCGTAACCCCTCAAAAGTCCACATATCAGCCCCTTCCAAATGTTCAAAGTCCGCAAACTCAAATGCTTCCATTCCTCTCGAAGTCCGCGTCTCTAACTCGCTGCGTCTATCACAGAAGCAAGCGCCAGATGCGGCTGCGCTGCAAGGCTTTGTGTTCGACCGTATTGCCAACAATTACACCAAGCTTTTGCTTCCCGACGGCGAGAAGCAAGCACAGCCTAACGACGGGTACCTTGAGGTAGGCGGTACCGACTTTGATGACGTTATTGGCGCCTCATCAGCCATTAATGAACAATTGTTTGGGTGCCAATTGTTGGGGCGCCACTTGCCCTGTCAGCTGTCGCATAGTACTCCTTCAGATTCGATTGTTAGGGAACCCCTGAACGCAGAAGCCACTCCGGGCCTGATCGACCCCCGTCGATTCATGGTAAAGTCAGAGTCTAAGTCAGTATGCAAGTGACAGAGTAAGTTGTCAAGCATGAGTTCAGCAGGCACCTCCTTTGACTACTCACTCCCTGAGACACGTCCTCGAAATTATCGAATTGGAAGTCCTAGAGCTAAACTCCCGCGCCCCCCGCATTTTGCAGATCTTGGCTCTGGTTCAGGCACAGGGCCTGCTGCGCGCCTTCCAGGTGGCATTCCCCAAGTCGAAGCACAAGTTTAACGAGGCCTTCTACCGGCGCGTGCTGCGTCACATCACGCAGTGGACCGTAGGTGAGGGAGGCAGCTGTCCGTTCGGGCAAGCGTTTCGTTCCGTGAATTATCTTTGCTGTGCGGAACGAACCTCTATATGCAGTGGACCGTTGAGGAGCTGGACGCCGGATTCTGAACGGCTGGTCAGGGTTGCTCATACAAGTTAGATACGAGATAAGGAACGTGCTCAAGATCGTCGGCAGCAGGCAGTGTCCATTACGCTGAACGGAACCCATCTTCGCTCCGGTAGAGTCCCATGCATTTTATATGAGTCCGGCTTCGCGGAGGAAGCTGGATGAGCCTGATTAGCAAAGCCGGTGTACAGTTGTTGCCGACATTGCAAGCTGTGAGTGCTAACTGCAACGGGCAGCCCAGAAAGTGAACGAAGACGAGCCCTCCCGACGCTATCTGGAGAAGCCCGCTGCAGCGGTATCGCAGTCATCTCAAGGTTGCTGACTCGACCTTTCCTAAGATCCTTTTCGGCCTGCCCTGCAGCCACGCCCCGGACCAAGGAAGCCTTGCGCGACGTCGGCCATGGCGAGAGCGGGTTCGTGGGAAGGATGATCGATCCCAACGGTGAGAAAACTTGGGACTTTCGCTCTTCACCGACGCCGTTAGGGTTCTTAGCTTTTTGGTAGCATGCATGAAGCAATTTCGGTTTTGATCTAGAGAACCGCGCCACGCTGTCGAGTCTCCTTCGTCACCCCCTGCAAACGAGAGGGTGCCACGCTTGTCATTGGAGCCCTTCCACGTTCGGACGGCAATTACATGCCACATCAGCTATGTATGTTTTCTGCGCTCTGGGCCCCGGATGTTTTTAATAACCTTGAGCTCGCCAGATCAGTCTTGACGTGGCAACCACGAGTCTGTTGCGATGTCCGGACTTTCTCTCGAGATCCGCAAAATAATTGGTTGTGCTAGGTGCCTCGGAGGCCACGTGCTGACTTTTGCTGCCGTCCGTTTCTATCGACAGAGGTCCGACAGGACTTCAGCTACGACGCGTCCATGTCGTCTAAAGCGATTGAGCAGGTATTCACTACTCTCTTCACATAGTGGCGGCATGAGAAGCTTGGCAATCTCAGTTTCGGAATGCTTTTGAATGAAGGACGTTTGTTTGCATGAAAATGTTTTCAGACTTTCAGGATTCAAAGCTGCTTAAACCATAGGTCAGTCTCCAGGATTCTCAAGCCTTGAGCCCTCGCCGTCCCTTGCTCCGGAATATTACAGCTGCTAGAGAAGGTTTCTTGCTGCCTAGCAGGCTTCACTTGCCTCTTTTCGTTTCTCTCAAGGAATAGTAAACCGAGCCGTTAGCATCTCAGGTCTCTGGAAGGAGAAGTTCTTGATTGGCTCTGGTTTGAAATGTGTGCTTATGGTCAAATTCGACATCGACTGGTCTACTACTAAAACATGTAGGCTGCCCATGATCCCCTGGCCGACAGTAAGCATCGCGCCGCCCCTGCTCTCCTGCAATGAACAGTTGTTGAACTGGGGAGAGTACTATCAAGCTTTATCAGGTGGAGTATCGGTACTGCTATGGTTTGAGCAATCGCGACAGGAGGACTCAAAGGTCGAGCAGCAACTTTCTTCGAAGTTGAAAATGAAAAAATAGTGGTGAACAAGCATCTAGGGAAAAGGTCTGGGAGGTGTCGGTGGCCGGATTCGATCGCTGAGCGCTCGGATGTCCGACACTGAAGTCCATAACGTTGGAGGGTTTTGTGTTGCTACACCGACATTCTTTTCCGGTGGTGCAACACCTATGTACCATTTAAACTGGTCCGAAGCGCGACTTTGCCTCGACGGCTCTCAGATCCAGGTTACGTCACCTCTGTGACTGCTTTTGGTACGTAACGTCACCCTCCGGATTAGCCTCAGGAGTGGTCCTAAAAGCTACCAAAGACCTAACCGCAGAAATAAACCTGCTTTGCTTCCGTTACCACCCCACCCCCCCAAACTAACCCACCAGCCTAACCCACTCTCCCCAAGGCAATCGGCTTAACATTTCTGCGTTTAACAAATCCTGAGATTGATCCTCAATGCAGTGGCGCGCAACGTACCTCCCCCCCGCCCACGACCTCACCAACCGGGACCGGCACAGCCTGCTCGTGACGCACTTCCTGACGTCACACGGCATCCTCGAGCCGCCCGTCGAAAAGCACGCCTACGACGGTGTGAAGACCCGCCAAAGCCCGCGAAAGGACCACGTGGGCGGTGTGAAAACGCGCAATAGCTCGGGGGAGGAAAACGCGGGCGGGGCTCGTCCCTCGAAAGAGGCGGGGGATCCCGCTGGCACCACCGGGGGGCAAAACAGGGACTCTGATCCGGGGGGGGCAAACGCTGGGAGGGCAAGGAAAGAAAACGCACGGAGGACAAACGATGGAGCCGCTTTGTCGGAGAATTTACCAGGGGAAGAGACAAAACCTGGGGACGGTCCCGGATCCGGTCTTGGTTCCGGTTCCGGCCACGACAAACGGACCCCGGAACAGCTGAACGTCAGCGTGGCGCCGCACCTTAGGACAGCTGTCAGCGCATTATTAGCCGCGGGTTTGGACACGCAGGAGGCCGTCGCGGTCGCGAGTTTCATGCAGAGCGGGGAGTATGATGCGGACGAGGACCCGGAGGCTTTGGGATTTGGCGAGGGCGGCGAGGGCGCGGCCGGCCCGGGCGAACGGCGCGACGCGCAGAGCGTGTCGTATGCGTCGATGGCGGCCGGGTCGTTCGACCGAACGCGGCAAGCGTTGGACAAGTGAGTGTTTGAGATGCTTCCGTGTGCGGTTGGCGTTTCTGGTTCGTACGTTCGACAGCGTGTGTCGTTGCTGCATATACGAGGAAATGGATATTTTCCATCCGCAGACACATTCAGAATCTATGTATCTTCAAGAAACTTGAGTGGCCAAGTCCAACGCAAACCGTCTTCTGCAACTGAATGCCTCACACTCGTACAGGGAACCTCCATATACCAGCTCTTGCTAAGAGGAACAACAAGGATTCGCTGTAGACGCGAGCATTTGTTCTGGTTGGCGATTGCAAGATCTATCTCCTTGAGTCCTTGACGAAACTTAGAATCGACATCTGACAAAGCGGTCCTTGGAAAAAGGTACGCTGACGTCCGGAGGCGCGGCCTGTCGTCCGTCGAGGTAACGCAAAAGGAAACGGCGCACCTCATCCAAGAGTTACGGCACCTCTGGAGCCACGTGGGCAAGCACGACATGCGTTACATTAGCAACGCGCTCGCGAAGTGGGACCCAAAGCCGGTAGTAACGCTCAGCGCGCGCGAGAAGCAGCTAGAGCGCGCGAGCCAGGAGGTCCGGCGCGAGGTAGAGGGCACGCTCGCGCGCTCCACGCGCGCGCGGCACGAGACGGAACGATTTTTGCATAGCAAAGGGCCGGGTTTTAGCTGGCGGCGGACGGAATACGGGCAGTGGCGCGCGCGGTTCGAGAAGGGGGAGGCGGAGGAGGTGCTCGAAGTTTAGGAAAGGTTTAGGATTCTGGTCAAGATATTAGTCGAAGTCGCGTTAGGATGTGAGGGACGGGACTTGCGGGTTGGTAATCTCTGTCGCGGTGTAAAAACATAGAGACGGTTTGCAGCGAACCAAACCTTTCAAGCGAGCCAGACTTGAAGGGTTCTGAGGAGGCATACCGGGTTCTGCACTCCGTCAAATGTTGAGCGTCTTTGGAGCGAGTGAGCCATGCACCGCGATGTCACTGGCACCTATAGAAGGTCATCACTAAAGGTCAGGACCCAGCTGTCAGGGTTTCAAAGGAAGCCAGGACGGATCACAAGAGCTGCATCATTATGGCCAGTGGTTCTATAATCAAGCAGGCGAAACACGTTGCGACTAAAGGTACCGGTACTGCGGCTTCCATCCGCGGTCGTTGAGATCATTTGAGTGTCCTAAATCGGACTGGCTTAAAGCGTTTTGCACGCGGCTATGATTTCAAGAGTAGTGCATGCCTGTCAGAAATGTTCTTGCATGGGTTTTAACACCAAATTCCAGTGGTTGCGGGTGGGTATTAGCTAGCTCGACCAGACAATTAGTGAATGTCCTGACCCTGTATCGTGAGTCAACAGCAGCATGAGTGAGTCTTCTCTACATATGACGACGTCGACATGTACCGCATAAAGAGTGATTTGGATCGGTCCGACCTGACGGTGTACGGTTATTGTGTAGAGCAAGCATTTTAAAAGAAATGAATTCATGCCATATAATGCTTACAGAGGGGTGATCGGATCGGTAGATGGGACACTGGTACATGAACGTATACCGCAGTATGCAGGCGCTTCAGTCCTGGCAGCCAATTATGCACCCAGTAAATGAAACGTCTATATATGCATATGATGCTGCCCTAACGTGCATGACCTTTTCGAAGCATTCCTTGTATTCAGCTAACTTCGCGTCCATTAGCTCTGTACGATTGCCCGCCGAGTCTTCCATCAGAAGATTTCATCTTGTGATAGATGCATCAATGATGCCCACCGAGCGCGTATGATAATTTGGTCTGGATCCCGGCCAGTGCAGCAGTTCAACAGTACTGGCATGCATAAGGCATAGCTCGATCCGACACCTCTAGCTAGACATGCAGCAAGTGACGTACGTACTACGCGTTATGATGTATACTGGCTTGAACATTCCATGTTCGAGTCTGTGAGTCATGCACCAATTCACTCGGTCTAGTGCATTCTTGAGCTAGATCCAGTTTTAGCATAGCAGATGATTAGTGATGAGGCTTGAAGTGCATGGGAACGAACTGTACCTACGAAGTTTCAATCAGCATTGATGCGCATTCTTTTGTGCTTTAGGCCTTTGGAATCTCCTACGTTGAGCTATCAAAGCCGTTATGAAACGATAGGTAAGTTTATGGCCTCATTATCTTGCATGATCGCATCAATCGGTTTCGGTCTGTGCACATAGCTGTCCGTCACTCCTGGAGTAATGATAACTTCTCTTATACAATCCACGTTAATTTGATCTCCATCATTGGTCGCAGGATTTGCAGAATGTATGATTGTGCCGAGTCACTTGCATGCCATTGAAAGGCCAGCGTCTGCTATTTGCATAAAAACCTGCCTATATGCTTGCTTCAGATGCAATCCAATGATCGAAATCATTTCGCACTAGGCATGTGACCAGTACTGAATCCGAGTAAGGTGGTCGCTGTGCATGATTGAATTCCAACCATCCGCAGATCCGTCAGGATCTTTGGGCCGTTGGACCCATCACAATCAGAGGAGTCGCTGTAATCAGGTAAGCTCAAACTGAAAGCAACCGAGCTTCTATGCAGAGGCTGTTACGATACTCGCAGGCTCGAACTTAGCAGCTAATGTACAAGGCACTATGCAGTCTCCTTTAGCAAGAAGTCGCTTTACAGCTCTTTGCGAGCAGCCTGCCGATTTTAGTTAGAGAAGGAAGCTTAAAAAGTTAGTCAAGTTACACGGCTACATAGTCAGGTTGTGTTGTTGTCGTGACTCGCTACATGTAATGTCGCGGTCTGCGACTAACTTACGCATCTAACTTTCTAAGCTTCCCTCTCTAACTTAAATCGGCAGGTTGCTTAGAGCTGTATCTATCATTTGGTCTTCCAAAGGAAAAGTAAGCAGTCCTACTCGGGAGCAGAAAATACACCGCAGCTCCTATGGCAAGCCTTTTCAACAAGTATCCCCGCTTGCGGAAGGAGGCAACAATTTTACGGATTTCTATCTAAGCAGCTACAGGACACTGCTATTTTCGAAAACGAAGTCCCCTATTTCGGCGCGTCACCTTTGGACAGCCGCCTGAGCCGCTCGTGAATCCTGTCAACCTTTTCAGACGTGGCTTTCGCCTTTGCTAAAAGCGCAGCAACGGGGCTGTCTTCTGCTCTTGGGCTGGTTGCCTCTAAAGGGGGGGTCTCAGCAGAGCTATAGGGGACCCCCCTTTCCTCTACCAGCAGCTGGCGTTCAAAGCCCTGCCGCAACCCCTCCTCAGCTGCTCTTCTCTCCGCAGCACTTTCTTCCAGGTCAAGTTCCAGAGCACGCCTGGTTTCTACCAGCTCATGCACCCCTTCTGAAACTGTTCCAGCAGAACCAAGTTCCTCACCAAGGGACACACCGATACCTGCATTCTCAGGCTTGGTTGAAATCAAGCTCTGACCTCGCCGGACCTGCTCATCAACCCCTTGCGAGCTATCCTTGCCCCAGTTTCTCTCACCAGCTGCGACATTCTCGTCGTCAGTAGGTGGTTTGCCCTCGCCAGACCTCTTCCACTCTTTCCTAGTTTCCCCTTTCGTCGCTTCTGATACCCGCTCCTCATTCTCAGACCTCCTGTCATCGTGCGTCCTCCTTCTCCTCTGAATGAACTTCCAGAAAGCTAGAGTCGCAACAGCCAGGCCTGCAGCAGCTCTGAGATCCGTCTTATCAAGCAACTTGCGCGCCTGCTCGAGCGGCCCAGGCCCATACTTCCGGACTATCGTCTCATGCACGCACACCTCGATGTTGTCAGAAATTGCACAGATTGGTGCAGGCCGCTTCTGCCGCCTCGCTCCGCTCATCACATGCTGACGACCATTGGCCATGCTGTGCACCAATTCACTTCAATGTTGCGTTCCTCTTCTTGGAAGGCTTGGGCAAGCTTTTAAGAAACATTTGCTGATGCCACTATAGGCCTGGCCCTGAGCTGAGGAAAGCGAGGCCTCTTAATGCAAAGTGGCCGCAAGTTGGGCAAGCTGCCAAACCTGGGACTCGACATTCGCAGCCTTCCCCCAAGCTCCTGTTTGCGCTCAACTTCCCCCATGCGCGGGCGCCAATGCGTTGAGCTTTCAAAACTTGCGCAAAGTCTGTCAAAGAGTGGTGGACACTGGAAATGCAGTTTGCAATTACGTCTGATTGTGACGCTTCGTGAACTATGTCAAGGTGCGCGTTCCAACTTGCAAGCCATACGGAACCGTCAGATTGACGGCGGTGGTTGTATCGGACGGTGTAGGGGAGATTGGGGGAGGTAACTAGAGACGGAGAACGAGCTAGAGCCTGAGGGTGACGTGTAGAAGAGACACTGCACTGCATCCACAATCTGGCTGCATTTCCTCGCTGCAATCTCACCTGCTAATTGGCGGATAGGACCGGTGCTCTCTTGGAAGAATGGACGCAGTGGTGTTGCGGCCAGGATATTCAGCAGCTAGGCTTGGACACGGCTTGTCCTTCTCTCAGCATTCCTCACATCCTTCAGGACGGGGGCTTGAGTACATTCCGAAAAGCAAATGCTCCTGGGTATCAGCAAAAACTTCTACATGGTCAAGCAAGGTTGTACCAGCAAGGACCCCCACTAACCACTCCATCCCTTTCAGCAATGCTTTCGTTGGTAATGATACTTTTCCTTTGAGAAACTTGAGGATGACGGGGAGGGGACTTGGCCGTGGTAGCAATGGGAGCGCAGTCCGCTGCGCAATGTCGTCGGTGGATGAGGACGAGACTGATGTCTGGTGAGTGCCACCAACTTTATGGATCGTCATGCTCAACAAATAGTTTTACAAGCATGGGACTTTGCATTCGTGCATTCTGATGTCCTTGAATCATGTATGTATGAAATGGCAGAAAGTCTACTAAGCATGGAGATTTTGAACGCTTCATCTTCATTTGATCGACCCCTTGGTATGAAACATCTCTTTTAGATCGGGGAGTTTACAGTGCGCTTGGAGAGAAGTTGCACGACGAAGTAAACAGCAAACGAGCTGTGCCACCAATGTGCCTCCACAAAAGGCCGTGCGGTCAATCCCATTGTTGCCGGAAATGTCAACACCAGACTCTACATTAAGCATGCCACTGGAAACACATAAAGGAATTCTCATCGTTGCAATGGTGGCTCCTGGAGATCCCTGACCCTGCGGAATCTGGCAGCGGTGACTTGTGCACAACCACCGAGGGCCTCTGCAACACGGTTGTTGGCGTCCTGGGGGGGGGACAGCTCGGCCGGATGCTCTGCCAGGCCGCGTCCCCGATGGGCCTGAAAGTGGACGTTTTGGACCCCCTGCCGGAAGCCCCCGCCAGCCGGATTGCACACCGACACGAGGTATGGCATCGGCCTTCTCGATGAGGGCGCTTTTCGCGGTTTCATTAAAGGTGAAGCGTAAAGTACATGCGCGAGCTGCACGCCTTTTGGCTCGTTAGTAATGATCATGCAGCATGTAAGAGAGCTGATTTCACTCCAAGAGCTTTTTACTCTCTGTTCTCTTTCTGGCTGACTTGATAATAGTTTCCACACCTCTTCCGCTCTCTCGTTGATTGCATCTTTAGTAGCATGATCCACTCCCTTCCATTGTCCCTTACCTGGGTCTGCACAACTCCATTTTTCATCTCAACTCCAATCACTCCATTACTGGACACCCATCTCCTCAGGTGGGCAGCTTTAAGGACGCGTCTGCTGTCCGGATTTTTGCCCGAGGCTGCGGCGTGCTGACAGTGGAGATTGAACACGTGGACGTCGACACTCTGGATGCCTTGGCGTCCGAGGGGGTCGATGTGGAGCCCCGTCCATCAACTATCCGTATCATCCAGGTAGGGAGAACAAGACCCGTCAGGCGGTTTCTGCAAACAAAATTCCCTTCCTTTGAAGTCAAAGCAGATTGCAAGGGCTGAAGATTCCTCGTGTTGCTCAATGGAAGGTATGCCGCGGTGCCTCGGTCAGAAGCATGGGGCATCCAACCAAGTTTGATGCAGCACATCAGTTGTTTGTGTCCGGATGTGGCTTTTGGGATGCTTTCGAAGGCATATCTCCAGAGGACTTGGCCTTAACACGCAGTATTTTAACACCTTCGCCCCCTCCTCTCTATTTCACACAAACGACTCTACAATCTTTGAAGGAGAGTAGAGCAAGATACATCAGACCGATTTGAAGGGTCAGGCTTGTGCAGGTCGCTTCTTGATTCGAAGAATTGAAGAATTGGGCCACTGGTATGACAGATCTTGCGGCTGGTTGACACCCGTGATTTTTACGACTTGAGTAGCCTCTGAGCTGTGGAGTGACCCATGGCACTCATCCATTGCAGGACAAGTACCTGCAAAAGGAGCACTTTGCAAAGAACGAAGTGCCACTGGCTGACTTTGTCAAGGTAAGCGCTGGATCGGCCCTACATCGTTTCTCAATCTCTCGACGACTGTCCTTAACTCTTCTGTAAGAACTCCAGGCCTTAGAGAGTATCGCTGGAGAGTATGTGAAGCGCCGAGACCCCTGAACAGTGTTACACTTTTCCGTCTGCACTTAGTGTCCTTTAGCCTCTTGGCTTCCACTTAGTAACTTAGAAAAGGAGTTGGCAATGTTTCCATCATTTTCGAGCATCCTATCTGCTTTGGAACCCCAACTTCCAAAATTTCAATGGGATGCGACCATTAGCCGGCCCCAGCACCACATCTTTCCTGATCTAGAAGCGCAGCAATCCACGGAAGGATTGCCATGAAACTTTTCAAATCCTCCCAGAATCCATTCTGAAAAAGCGAATCAGGCGTGCCCCTGTTTACGTCTTAAGTACCACTGAACTAAGGCGGTCGCAATTCCCGCCAGATCCTCAAGATCGTCGAAGCTTGCCTTCCCGCTCAGCAAGGCGACCCACCGTGCTGGATTGTACCTTTTTCTTCAAGACCCTTCTCAAGTTGCGTTTGTTAATATTTGAGTACATCTTTCCTGAGACTCTTTTCAAGTTGCATTTCGTCCGACTCTTGCTCTGTGTTCCCAGTTGGACGACATGGACGCTGCCATCCAGGCGGGGCGCACCTTCGGCTACCCGCTGATGATCAAGAGCCGCAAGATGGCATACGACGGGCGCGGCAACGCGGTGGCGCACTCAGTGGACAAGCTGGCCGAGGCGGTGCAGGTGCTTGGGGGCTTCGAGCGGGGGCTCTATGCCGAAAAGTGGGCGCCTTTCCAGAAGGTGGGGGGCTTAGTTCTCATTGGATGCTACCCCCCGTTTCTTTTGGGTTCCCTTTTTTCCCTTTTTGCGGGTATATGTATTCTAGCCTGCTGGCGGAGGCGGTACAGGTACTTGGGGGCTTTGAGCGGGGGCTCTATTCCGAAGAATGGTAGGCCGACGGGGTTTGTCGACTTTCGTTAGTTCCTGCCCCCCTTGGAAACTGTTTCAGTTGTAGGTGCTGGGGGAATTTGAGCGGGGGGTCCATGGCGAGCTAAAGGCGGCCTTCCAAAAGGTGGGTGTCTGTTTCTCCTCGAAATCCGCTCCCCTTGAAAGCCGTTTGTTATCTGAGCGTTTCGTGGAAGATTAGGTATTCCTATTCCCCGCTCAGAGTACACTTTCCGCAGTACTTTTATGGGTTGTGGGATGCAGGCTCACAGCTGTCCCTTTAGGGTACTCAGACGCTGCGAGAGAGACTTTATTCTGGATTTATTATCGTTTATCTTGTCGCGCCCGCACGGTGCATTTAACCCGGAAGGATTGCGCTTGGTCACCTCCGTCTGGTTCGCATCGAATGATACGCCTGGGGTTGGAAGTTTTACGCCTCGGGTCACTACGCCTGCAAGGCGATAGCAACCGGCCATAGCCGAGTTTTTAAACGCAGCGGTGGCCGACCCAAGGAGCAAAGCCTGCTGGCTCAAGAGTGCTGGGAGGGTTAGTACAATTGGAACAGACACTACTATTCAAGGCGGATATCTTCAATTCTCATCGCTTTGATGCATTTGCGCAAGTACGGCCATTGGAGAGTTGCTGCGTTAGGCTCCCTCGGTTCTGGCGATAGCCGTGGCTATTGCAAATCCCCGATCACAGTCTGTGTCTGATGAATGCGGCCTTGCATATCGATCGTTTCCAGCTTGGCCCCCTAAGAGCTGGCGACCTGCACTCTTAGAGCTGGCGACCGGCACTCTCAGAAGGGTCATCATGTTGTAACTCCTCCTAGACACTCAGGTCCATCGTCTCAACTCATAGTTGTCTTCAGTTACCCTTTGTAAGGAGAACTGGTCCCCCACGGTCGCCCCTTAGTCAGACACGGCTAGGAAACGCTTTTTCTGTCTATGCGTCTCGTGATGAGCTCTGATTTAACATGACCTTGTTTTCTGATCCGCCTCTTACCTCCGCCGGCAATGGTAAGTGCCCCTGTCCGGATGGTTTGCTTTACTCAAGTCTTTTCCAACCGCCTTTTGGAAACTTACTACTTTCTCTCACTCTTTCCCTCCTAATATAAGCTCCATATCAATCTTTTACAGGAGCTGGCGGTGATGGTTGCTCGAGGCCGCGACGGCTCCCTCCGCTCATACCCGGTCGTCGAAACCGCGCACAAGGACAACATCTGCCACACGGTCGAGGCGCCGGCCGCGATCCCGGAAGCGACGGCGAAAGCAGCCCTCAAAGTGGCGGAAAAAGCGGTAGGGTGCTTGTACGGAGCGGGGGTCTTTGGCGTGGAGCTGTTCCTGCTTCCGGATGGGGAGGTGAGAAGCTGGATTTGTGCTTCTTGGGAGCTCAAGCTTGGCCTTGCTTCGATTTCTTTGGGCAACGGGGGGGGGGTCGAGGCGCCAGTGCCAGCCTTGGAAACTGAAGGCGCATTCGGTAAAGAAGGCGAACGGGTGCCTGTTTCGAGCAGGGGCCTTTGACGTGGCGCTGTTTCTGCTTCCAGACGGACAGGTGAGGATCAGAGTCGTTCGAAGGGGTTTGAAACTCGGGATTGTCTTGGTATAAGAATAGGGTACCGGGAAAGCCTCCGAGAAGCGCCCGAGACAGCGACGGCTAAAGCGGCCTTCAAAGTTGCGGAGAGAGCGTTTGGGTATTTCTAAGGAGAGAGGTCTTTGCCGTAGAGCTTTTCCTGCTTCGAGGCGGCCAGGTGAGCTCCGTAATGTTCTGGGACGTAGTCGCACTTTGGGGTTCTTCTGAATTTGACGCTACTTAAGAAACGGGATAAGGTCTAGAGCGCCCACAATAGGCGCAGATGCGACGGCAGACCCGGTTCTCAATCTGGCCGGCAACATGGTGGGTTACTTTTACGGAGTGGAATTCTCTGGGGTGTAACCTTTCTGCTTGCGAATAGGTAGATGCAGGTAGATTGGCAGAGTCGGTACGGAAAGCGAGTGGGTCCTTGCCACTGCTCCGGCAGATCTTGCTGAACGAGTTGGCCCTGCACCCGTGCAACAGCGGCAACTCCATGATGAGGCGTAACTCGTCTAAAGGGAAGAAGCTTTTTGTGCTCTCAAATGGCAGGGTTCCTGGCCCCAGCATCAGCTCGCTGCTCGCTGCTCGTGCAAATCTTGCGGAACGAGGTGGCCCTCCGCTTCCCGGAAAAGTGCGACGAAAACCCCGGCGAAGTTCCAAGTTCGATAGACTGCCCTTCTCAACGCACTCTTGGGCCACTCAAAGTCTTCAAGTTTGGATCCTCGTCGCCGTGCAGATCCTGCTGAACGAGGCGGCCCCCCGCCCCCACAACAGCGGCGACTACACGATCGAGGCTAATACATGCCCAAGAAGGGACTATTGTTAACGGCAAGGCCCTACTTTCTAAGCTAACACGCCTGAATTAAGAGCACCACATTGCTTCTTGCTGCCCACGCAGATTCTGCTGAACGAGGTGGCCCCCGCCCCCACAACAGCGGCCACTACACGATCGAGGCGTACCTGTATTTTCGAAAGACCACCATTTTCAGGGTCGCCAGAGATTGCCCTTGCCCGAACTGATCGATAACCTCAATCGCCGTGCAGATTCTACTGAATGAGGTGGCCCCGCGTCCCCACAACAGCGGCCACTACACCATCGAGGCGTGCGCGACGAGCCAGTACGAGCAGCACCTGCGGGCGGTCCTGGGGCTGCCGCTTGGCGACCCGGCGATGAAGACGCCCGCGGCGATTATGCTCAACATCCTGGGAGAAGCGGAGGTGGGCGCGAAAGCTGCGATTTCGGTCTTCGAAGTTTTCTTCTTGGTTGCAAGATTTCGGGTTCGGCCTTCACGAATCGGAACGCCTCGCCTTGGCTTGGGTCAAGAAAGGGCGAGTGGAAAAAGGGTACGGTAGACTCTGCTTCGCTGAAGGTGTTGTAGGCAGATTCACCGACATTCCTGAGGTGAGAGCGACCGTTCTTTTGATGATGGCCTCTTGTTGTAAACTGTGTGGTTTCCGAACTAAGACTTGTCGTCAGCATGTTCGGCCCCAGAATGGTTCGGATTATCAACCAGGAGTATTCTGAAGAAGCTGCTTCGAAGGAGGGTGTCAAAGGCAATCATCCCCCACACGGAAGCGGAGACGAGCGGATTGCCTCCTGCGGGTTATCTTTTCAAGCCCTTCGGACTCTGAGCTTGGAAATACCTTTCAAACAAGTTCTGAAGGTGCCAAGAAGCTGCTCCTCCGTTCGTTCTTTCGTCTCGGACTGCAGATTCGCGGTATGTTCACAGGCCTAGTTCCTTGCATCCGAAACTGATGTCAAAGACCCTGCTTGTGGCAGGGCGAGGCGGGAGTGTCGAATCCTTCAAGATTTTTGTGTCGGACTGCAAACTTCGTCACGTTAGAGGGCCGTGTTCCTTACTGATGTCGGAAATCCTGGTTATGGCAGGGCGAAGCGGGGATGGCGGCGGCGCACAAGCTGCTCCACAGTGCGGTGGCGGTGCCGGGGGCCAGCGTGCACTGGTACGAGAAACCGGGTGAGCCATGATCGAAACCAGACTGCCCACGTTCGCGTCTGGCACTGCCGTTGTAGTTTGAAAAGTGCCATTGAAAGGTTAAGGGTACTCCGTTGCTTGTCTGGATAGGTGAGGCTGATTCCGGAACTTGGTAAGAAGCACAGCTTTCAATCTTGTGCGACATCCTCAGTTCTATTGCTGGAATGTCGGTAAGGCAAAGCGAAGCAATCCCCTCCGCTTTCGGGAGGATGAAAGTTAACAGTTCAGCTTTCGCTCTGGGCTATACTTGGCTTTGGCAACTCTGGATCACTGCACTCTGGTTTTCAACCGCTCTTGATCGGGCTTCTTTTTGACAACATTGATTCGCATACTGAGCGCCTCATGTTCCGCATGTAGACGTCCGACCACAGCGCAAGATCGGCCACATCACGATTGTCGGGCCGGACCGCCGGACGGTGCGGAGACGCCTCGCGGAGATCGTCCAAAAAGCCGGGTGGACCGGGGACAAAGTGCCACCCCTCGCGCGCTCTGCGTCGGACGATACATCCGTTACCGCCGATAATGGTTATGCCGAGAGCTTGGCGACAGCAGTTGATGAGTTAGAGGCCCCGACTGGCGAAGGGACGAGCGGAGCAGGGGAGGGAAGCTTAGAAGGTAGCGGAAGCGTGGGGGTTTCGGAACAGGGGGGTGCCAGTAGATCGGAATCGACCCCCCGAGAGGAGGCGGGCACGAGTTACGGGACGCCTGGAGCCCAAGTGGGGATTATCATGGGGTCCGATTCGGACCTGCCGGTCATGTCCGCAGCGGCGGCCGTTCTCGAGGACTTCGGCATACCCTATGAGGTAAGTGCATAGCCTATGCAAGGATTTGACCACATGAGTTGCTTTTTGTGAGGGATTTTGGGTGTTCAAATTCGGCCAAGGCGGGCTGATGTGACATCAAGGGCGTTGCTGAGCAAACTGGTGACATATTCCCTCCTTTAACAACCTGCCAGGGTCCTGGTCCGAATACCAGTCGGCAATCAACAATCTGCCGTACCAGGTCTGTCTAACTCTGCACTGTACGGTTTGCTGCAGTTTTGACAACCTTTTGGATTTTGAGGAGCGTGTCTATACGTTTCAACTGTAAACAGAGCTGCTTTTGATTCGTACTGCGTCCTTAGATCCTCGGAACTCACGCTCTGTGGACCAAGCGCATAGCCACTCACGAATCGGATTAGTGTCCGTTTGCCTTTCTGACATCGTTCCTTATCGTGCAGTTGACTGTGGTGTCGGCCCACCGGACCCCTGACCGGATGTTTGAGTACGCAAAGCGCGCACATAAGCGGGGCATCCGGGCAATAATAGCGGGCGCCGGGGGGGCAGCTCATTTACCAGGTGCGCATCCGGATGACTTCGAAAGCCTGAACTCTCACCGTTTAGAAGCCTAAACTCGTAAGATTTGTCCCAGCTCGAGGCCTACAAACGCTGAAAGGGACTTCGTGACAACTAGAGTGACTGTTTTTGCCCAGTGTTTCTTGGCACGATGCACAGACACGCAAAAATCGATTATGGTCGGCCGCATTGTTCCCCTCTGTCGGGGTTGAATGTTCTGTTGAGAGTCTTACCGACAGCGTGGTCGTTCGTACGCTTGTTCAAAGTGCGTGTAGGACTTTTGTTTTCACTCCATGCAATCGCCGGGCTGGGAGGCCAAAATGAGAAGATTTTAGTTCTGGATTTTACTTTTCGTGTCCATAAGATTATGTTCTCTCCACCTAAGAGTACAGTAAGGTAGGCCTTGCCAGGAGTCATGCCTTCTCGACAATCTGGGTATACCACATTCGTAGTACAATGCAAAGAATAGGCGTTCTTCACATTCGGTCCGTCCAGAAACGACTGAGCCGCAAGGAGTGTGCAACTCCATCTTATGACGCCCACTCGAGCAAAGTGCTCACATACATTTTCCACCTTGTTTTGGCTCAGGTATGGTGGCGGCGCTCTCCCCCCTCCCGGTCTTCGGCGTCCCAGTCAAGGGCTCGACGCTCGACGGAATGGACTCTCTGCTGTCAATCGTCCAGGTGAAGATCTAAACAACTCAACGACCAATAGTACTGTAGCCATCAGTCATTCCACAAAGTCCACAAATGCCGGTTCAAGTATCCAAAGATTCGGATGCCTTTTGATGCTTTGATGATCCACGTGAAGGCAGTTCCGTACGAGGGATGTTGTATTGACGGCTACTCTTATCACTTCTACTACTCGTATGTGTACGCAAGTCCCTTCATGGTCGACGGTCCAGAAGCTCCGTTAGGCTCGACCCACTTCCTCAACACATGGTTCCTTCGCACGATAGATTTCGGGAGGGAAGAGGCTATGTTGCCTTGGGCCTTCGAGCCTTTGAATTTCTCCTGGGAGCCCATGAGCTCTCAGATCTGTTGCTGTTTTACCAATTTCTGCCATTTTCTTCCCCCCCCCTCAGATGCCACGGGGGATCCCCGTGGGAACATTGGCCATTAACAACGCAATGAACGCCGCGCTCCAAGTGGTGCGGGTGTTTGGGGCCTTCGACCCGGCCGTCTCCGAGAAGATCGTGGCGTACCACAAGGATCTAGAACGGATAGTGCTGGAAAAGGCCGAGAAGCTTGAGGCGGTGGGGTGGAAGAAGTACTTGGATGGGCAGCGAAAACAATGACGTGTCTGTCCGATCGTGGCTCTGGAGTCGATGCAACCGTGTGATTTGAGTGGCGTTTGTATGCTCGTTTGCAAGGATGGCGGTTGATCCCTTCAACCGGTTACTACATTGGGTGTGATGATCGCTTGGTGTCTCGGTGTATTTTGGAGTTGAACCACGTGCATCGAGGCATCACTCTCCTCAAGGCGTGGCCGCGGGTTAAGGCGTGTTCTCATTTAGTGAACCGTGGGATGACGGTCAATATACTAAGTGAGCGGTGGTCCCTTGGTGAATCAACAAAGTTAACAAGCGAGAATATGATCCGATGGGTTTGCAAACGATCGTATTTTTGTTGGCCGGGTCCCATGTAGGTCAATTTGGCTGTGCAAATTCACTCTGTATCAGGCAGTTGCATTTGAGTCGGTCAGAGCACTGCGTACGACCACCAAGCTGAGCCTGGCCTACTCCGAGATTAGTGTGCAGAGCGTCCCGGCGGCCACGGAATGCATGGCAACGTCAATTGGTTGAGGCATTGCATGATGTCGTTGTAGGTGAAGCTTAATTAACACGTGTTAGTACAGGCCGGGTGAAATAAGCAAGGTTTGGAGGGGGGGTGTGGAGCATCATTGCACCGCGCCTTTCTGGACCGGCCACCATGCTTGAAGTGGTGGTTACGATCGTTCAATCATATGGTCAATAAGCTAGGCAGAATCCGTTATGCTAGACATGCAGCGTTGCTATACTCGCTTCAATGCATTGATAGACAAAGAGTATATATGTTTGTATACACACCTTCTTGCATCAGCACACATTCACACACATGCGCCGCACGAGTCCATGGCTTAATTTGTCAATTTTGCTGCACGCTATGCTCAGTGGTTAGCTGGTGGGAATGCAGAACGTGTATAGGTAGTACGACTAACTACCTACATTAACAAACTTCAGTATAAGCCTATTGAATAGTACGCTGCATAGACGGCTCAGCTGAGCGGTGGCCGGGCGGCTGTACGCCGCCATGGTGCACGGGTAATCGGATACGGCGGCCGCGGCGGACTAGCCTGGCTGAGTGAACGCCCGCGCGCGGCCCCAGCCCCATAATCCAACTTTGATTTTAATTGCAATGGTGACGATGCCATGATGCCCATGTGACCGCATCGGGTGCTGACGTTGGCTGACGTCGACTGCGAGATTTGCGGGTATCTTTATGACTTACCAAGTTCGTATTAGGTAACGGTCGTTTAGTAACCCATGCGTTCCTGCAAACTCTATCCATCTACGGAAGTGACCGGTGCATTCAACCGACAGTTCTTGACACTTGTAGTGGGTACTTGGTACCCGGCCCTGGCCGCTGGTGATGTGTGGACACGAGCTGGCGTTGATGAGGTAATTCAAGAATGAATTTATATCTTGTACTGTAGGTCGTATACCGTAAATGCAAGCGGTTTGGTCCGACTCGTGACTCGTGAGTCCAGACGTACGCCATAGATATCCGGAATACCTAAGAAACCGGCCGGTTGACCTCGCTGGCGGTCGGTGCTTATTTAGCCGAGCACTCAGTTGTACGCCCCGGGGGACAACCAAAAGGGTCCAAAACGCAGCCATGGAAATACCACCATAAATTGAATAGTACCATCCCCGGCCATTTACTGGTCCGAGTTCGGCCGGGGAGTCTGTCTGGACTCTGGAGACTGGACCGTTCCCTACCGGTTGAACGCCCGGGCATGATCATTACCTGTTTCTCAAACCCGTGTACAATTAATTGTGACCATCACAGAAGGATACAGGTGGACCGTGACATCGGCGCCACGTTGGTATGTACTGACGAGCAATGATCGTCAGCAGATTACGTATTATTACTGCTTGCGTCAGGTAAGAGTGAATGACGGAAGCACTTTTTAACGGGATCAGCACGAGCTGTCAGTCGCACAGATGGCCACGTTGGCACACTGTAGAGGGATCAACGTCACGGCGTCTGACAAAGCTACATTTTGCCACGTGTCAACTTCGGAAGCCGTTGCAGCAAAAGGGCACCGCGAGTTTCTATGTCTTGAAAATACGTCACGCGTCACAAGATCCGGCGGCTCGATTTGAGGTGGATCGCAGGATCCGCTCTGCATCCTCCGAAATAAACTGCCGCAGGGAGTTACCTCACAGATTTGATTCTGACCGACTCGGCGGTAGGGTTCGGAAGCGGATGCGAAGGTGAAACGGCAAAGTCATGATGCACGACGAAATTGCAGCCTCATGGTTTCAAATCAGGCCCCGAGATTGTGAACAAAAGGCTCTGAAACGCCGATATCAGATCCTAGCGCTGAATATCTAGGAGAAATGGGAGGAAGGCGCCTTGCCCCGTCACCCGTTTCCCGCACCCTGCCGCAGCGCATCAGCTGATTCGTATCCAAAGCGCGCAAGATCGACAAAGAGATACGTGGACGCGTTTTCAAAGGGGGCTACATTCCATGTGTCCATCGTTCTGACAGCCCACACGGCTAGTTGAGGAGCCTACACCTTGTGTTTGCATTGGAGACAGCTTCTGTGCTTGCAGGAAGTGGGCAGTGTGCAAGGAGCAAGGAGCAAACGCAGCGAGGCGCGCAATCTTATCTACTTGAGGTGAGCAATTACCATGTGATGAGTCTTGTGTCGCAGGTTGTGCAGGATTGTGCCCAATTGCACTGACCTTTGCTGAGGTCAGCAGCTTATTCAGGAGCTGAGAGCCTTCTTGGTGAGGCGCGCCATCAAGTCATCTTCCCCCATAAGGCACATTACGCCCCTGTTGCTCCCAACTAGTCTAGTGGGCTGTGCATACTTCTTTTGCAAAGTCCCCACACGATGCAACACTGTGTCAACATGTCTTTATTGCTTGATTCTGTGCCCTATGTGGGTCTTGGAGTCTTAGCTAGCGCATGATCATTCGCTGGCGCTCTGGAGTGTGTTTGCAGACGCTAGTATTTGCAGAAGAGCCCTGATCTCTTGGTGGTCTTGCCGCATTGTGTGAGTATGGTATGAGGGGGGCTCTCTTCTGAGGTTGCCTCCTATTGCCTCCTATTCCCAAGCTGAATGGGGAGTGGTCTCTATTCTTTGTGGTTCTGTTTCGCAGTTCTTTTAATCAACCTCTCACGACATGCTTTCTTTGAGTGCTGAGAAGAGCATAGCTCCAGGTGCGGTGTATTGCACTACTTCAGCTGGACTTCTCTTAGCAATGCAGGGTATTGCTTCAGAAAGCCCAGCATCCCGAGCGAGAGCCAGGATTGATCTCTGTAGACCAAAGATAAGCATAATGTGGGTCTTAACCCCTTTGTTTGTGACCAACCTGATACGTAACGTCCTTGCCAGCCCAGCAGGCTTTTAGTTCAGTGTTTGGGTTAGCTGGAGTTGGTATGACTAGGTTAGCTGGGGTTGGTATGACTGGTTAGCTGGTGGTTAAGCGAATGTACACCAAGGTGAATGGTTTCCAAGAAAACTATGTCGCTGTTAACAAAGGTGGTTTGGCTGATAACCATATGGTTTTGGGTTGCACCCGGCAAGATGATAGCAAGTCAGAGCATGTCAAACCTTAAGATATTGACCACAAGGGAATGGGTATATCGCCACAGCCTTCCTGTGGGCTTCTCTCATTTGACTTTGTGTCTTTGCTCATGAACCAAAGAGCGGATGTAGCTGTACCGTAGAAAAGTATCTGGGTTTGGTTTCTGTAGTCAGGTGTCTGGCTGTTTTGCGACTCCTAGGTTCATACTTGTCTTGACACCGTAAACATGTGTCTAAGAAAAACCCAGTGTTTGTGGGTGGCTGTGTCAAGCCTTTGTCAAGCCAGTGCGGAAGACAAAGGTTGAAAGATGGCGGTTCCTCCTAACGGTCTGGAATGCATTATTGGGGCCGTGCGGTTCCAGGGGTTCAACAAGCTCATGTGCATGGGGTAGCTTGAGAGCTGAATTTGAACACCAGGTGCTAGCCCCAGACTAGAACCCGCTGTTAAAAAGCCCCACACAAACCCTCCGCTTAGATCTCTGGCTTGTCGTGAAGAAACGATCTGGGCGCAGTAGTCTGCTGCCAGATTTTTTTTTATTCCCAAAGGTCTGGACGCATGGGCACTTTGTTTTTCGTATTGGTCATTTGTCAACTTGCATCGTGCCTAAGAAGGCAGACTTCCAAACGTCCAAGCTTTATTGATTCTATTTGAGACACCCACTTCACGCTACATTCCCTCAGATCAGTTCTGATACCTGGTAGCCCTCTAACACCCAGTGCTCTGCTAACACCTGAATGTCGAAAATGTTTGATGGTCTTCTGATGCCTCATTTGAGTATCTCAGTGCCTTGAAGTGGGCATGAATACAGACAAAGATCACTGCAAGCAGCAGCCAAATTGGGCTGCTTGAAGGTCTTGATTTATCACCTTCGAGCTGTCTGAAAAGTCCAATGGGCGGTACTTTGCACCCCTTGAATGTCCTCTCCTTCCTCTGCTACTTGCTGCGAATTGTGTTGGTTGTCCATTTCGGTTGATTATTCCCTCCTTCGCATCTCTTAACCTGCTTCAACACGTTCAGAAACCTCTTGCCATCCACTCCATTCTCGTGTGCATTTTTTAGCTTTCCCCCCCTCTTAGCAAAACCCCTCATATCAATCCACTCAACCTCGGTTTACTTGTTACATGCAGGTGTTACTTTTTGCAGCCGTAATCCAATTGTGGGCGATGTCGATAACAAAGAACGGGAACAGTCCAGACAGCAACGGTCACAGCAACGGATACACCAACGGAGCCATGCAGTATTATCAGGCGGGGGCCGCCGGGGGCGCTCCTTACGGGTACTACTATGATGTAGCCCAAGGTGAGACTCCTCAGAACCTTTAGACTGGAAATAGAGTGGGAGTCATGATAGGGGATGAAACCAAGGTAAGATGCCTCAGAACAACCCTTGAGAGTTTCCAATCAGCTCACTATATGGCCGGGGGCGAAGCACACGAACAAGATAGCCATAAAAGCTTGACTTTAAGAGAATGAAGCTAAACACAAATTACATGCTAAAGGTACTATTTTCATGATGTCGCCCAAGGTGAGACTCCTCAGAACAACCATTTCATGATAGGGGACTAACGACCCTTTCAGAGTTTTCAATCAAGCTCCATTCGTGATACGAAACGAAGCCAACAGGAACTAGATATCTGTAAAAGCTCATCTTTTCAGAAGGGAACAAGAAATACTTGCTCAAAGCGAAAACTAATTATGTAGTGCAAGGTGAGACTCAAAGCGAAAACTAATTATGTAGTGCAAGGTGAGACTCCTCAGAACAACCCCTCAAGATTTTCAACGAAGCCAAATCATGAGAGGGGACGAAGCAAACATGCACGAGATGTTCGTAAAAGATCAACTTTCGCAGGGGACGAATCCAACACGAATGGAACATTCAGAATAACCTCATTGTATGCAGAAAGCTCTCACTTGAGTCTGCATAGTTGGCTCCTTGAGCCCCTCTTTCTAAGGTGGCCTCAGGCAACCGTGTCCCTCAGCCTATTGCGGTTGGGATTGTGAAGGACAGCTGTCACAGTTGTCTTAATTCGTGGGGGAGGACTTGTCTTGCATTTTGGTCGGGTGGACATGCACTTTCTGATGGTGCAAGTCAGGTTTCGGCGTCCGTTTGACAGTGCCGCTCTTCCGCGGTCTGCAATTTCCATCTCAAGTAGCCTTTCATGTCAAGTAGCCTTTCACGGAATCTTGCGTTTCGACTTGTTTACGACGCAGAGCACTCTTTTGACTACGTGGCGAACGGAAGTAGTCACTGTCGTTGGGGACCGAAGATGGTCAGCAATTACGGAGGAGATTTCGTGCATGGAATCCAGGCACTTCATAACGATCTCGTCTGTGCTTTGCAGCCTACCAGCCGGGAGACGCGGCAGTGCCCAGCAGTCAGAACGAAACGGGCGGCTTCGCTCAAGGCGACTCTCAGGAAGCACGGAGCCAGGTAATAACTGCTTGCTGAAACCTCACTGCTCACACATAAGGGGCCCGAACCCAGATAATCAATGGAATTCTAAGCTCGCACGCTATGGGCTACGAACTCAAGCAACTTTCGATCTCCTGAGATGTTTTGTCTTGGTTCGAAGCCTCACAGATGTTGTTGTCGAGTCAAGGCCTGACATATGCTGCGAGACTCTGGATATCAAAGGAGATTCTGCATGTCTTCGAGTGCATGTCGGAAATACTAGTAAGCATACAGCAACGTCCACTAAGCGCTAGTCACCACCCCCTTGTTCCCCTCTTACCTTCCCACCATTTCTTCTGCGTTTCTGGCAAGATTCCATTCGCGAGTCTCGAAAACATTATCAGTGCTTTCATCTCTAAAATGGCCGAATCCGGTTTCTTTTGCAGGGCGCCTTTCCGACCAGCCCCGTCTACATGCAGCGGTTTCCTGGCTTCCAGCAGGGCCAGGAGTACCAGAACTTCGGAGGGGAGAGGCAACCCGTCTACGGGAGCCCCCAAAACTTTGCGTATGCGCAAGGGGGCGTCTACCAGGATCCTAGCCAGTTCATGGGCTCCACATTAGGTGCGTCACAAGTCATGATAGTTTGACTCGCTATTTTGTGTTGAGCAGTGAGCTTCGGTGCGGTTTTACGCCTGCATCCAGGAAGAGCGTATGCGTTCGTTGCGGTTTCATGTCTTTATCCGGAAACGTTCATGTGTACATTTAGGGAGAGCGGTTGCGTTTGTATGCATTCGTTTGTGTTCGTGTGGGTCCCGAAGAGTTGCCCGCGTTGAGGACACTGCCGCCTTTATTGTGTCGAATCGGGGCTGTAAAGCGTCTGGAAATTTTTTCGGATTCGCCCCTGGGGTTAAATTGTCTCGATTCTCTCAGGAGTCAAGAGGGGAATTGCAAGACTGCCGTGCTTGGATGATGTGCATGTCTTTGACTGCTTTCAGTCGTATAAGATTTTGTAGTCAACTTGAAGCTTCCGTTCTCTTTGGCGTTGATGAGCACTTACAACTTTTTGTTGGTTTCTTGTCTGAAAGCTTTGACCGCTTCCTTACTCTGTACGTCGACCTCGTTTTTAACCGAGCAGTCTTGAACAAGCCGTCTCCGTTCGTTTCCTTGCAGGCCCGCAGTCGAATCCCCTAGGATCGTCCTCAAACGCTGACGTCATCGGGCGCCAGCAAAACATGATGGGGGGCGCTATGAGCGCCGCCCAGACGATGCCCATGCTCGCGGGGGGGGTGTATCAAATGGGGTTGAATAGGGGGGGTATTCCGGTGGTTTCCGTGAACGACCAGACGTTTGCGCAGATGGGGCCACGCGGCGTCGGGGCGTTGAGCTGGGCTGACGTGGCCAAGGTGGCGTCCGAGCACCAGGCGTCCGTCAGTGGCACGGTGGGTATTCGCACCGAGGAGATAAGAGGTTTCGTCCCCGGTGTAAATACGCTGCATATAGCCCTATTTTGAGAGGTACAGGTAGCAGCGTCGACGGTTGAGGAGATTTGCTCTTACAGCATTTGCCCTCAGGGCTCCTAACCCTTCCTTACTCTGATTTGGGCTGTCATTCACTTTCAGGACCGAAAACTCATTCTGCCCTAAACCTTTTCTGCTCTTGAGTTTCTCAAGGCGGTCTCCGTTTCAGTGTAGTTGCTGTTCAAACGTGCGCGGTTAAATCTGTCCAGATCTGGACTTCCAACCACCCTTCAGCTTCCATCTCCCCTGCTTTGCAAAGACCTGCTTGTGGACGGGGAATTCAGAAGAGATAAACCAAAAATCTAACCATGCAATCGGTTATCTTTCTAATCTCATGATGATAAAAAGCACTTCTCTAGAGCTGACGTCCGACTTATGCCTTGCTCCCCTAGAGCCGACGTCCCACTTATGCCTTGTTCCCTTGCAGATGCCCCAATTGTCTCCAGTCATGCAGCCCAAGGTCCTTTCCCCCGGCCAGCCTTTCGCCCTCACCCCGACCGCCCTTCCGCCCATGTTCGCTCTCAACGGCCAGCCGCGGTTCGTACCGGGCAACCTTCCAATGTACGGCCGCGGCTTCCCCCCCCCCTACCAACTACTCACCCTCTCCAGCCAGTCGTTCCCCGCTCGGGGGGGTCGAGGGTTCAAGGGTTTTACGGGGCCGCGGGGGCGGGGTTTCGGCTTCCCCGCGCGAGGGGGGTTCGATTCGGTCCTAAATCAGCGGTACGAGTCGGGAAACGAACGGGGGCCACGCGCGCAGAGAGTGCGGTTCGGCGCGCCAGGGGGGGGCGAGGAGGATCTGTCCCTTGAGGGGGGGAGGGAGCAGTTCAACAGGGAGGACTTCGACGTTGCCCCACTCTCCGCGAAGTTTTTCGTGATCAAGAGTTACTCCGAGGATGACGTGCACAAGAGCATTAAGTATGGGGTCTGGGCTAGCACGCCGAACGGGAACAAGCGCCTTCAGGCGGCGTTCCGCGAGGCGCGAGAAACGGAAACCGGGCGCGTGTTCCTGCTGTTCAGCGTGAATGCGAGCGGGCAGTTCTGCGGTGTGGCGGAAATGGTGAGCATCGAACATCGCCTTGAGTTTTGGAAGTCGCCTATGGGAAGGGATTTGTTAGTGTTGACCGTTGCACGTTGCGAAAAACGCTTAGACTTTCCACTCTTGGTCAAGTTTTTCAGAAGCTCAAGCACGCTCTGAAGTTGTTGACGATGTCAAGCATTGCATCTCCACTCGGCCCCTATTACTCTCTTGATTGATTGGTGACAGTTCTCAGAAGCTGCGTTTGTTTTGGGCTGTTCACTTCACTCTCAGATAAATCCGTTCGTCCGTCTTTGAGCAACTAGTTCGGTTTGAGCTGGCTCTGTTTTTTAACTTGTCGCTGTCATGACATCATCCCTGCAGACCGGTGACGTCGACTTCGACAAGTCTTTGGACGTCTGGCAGCAAGACAAGTGGAACGGGCAATTCAAGGTCCAATGGCATTTTGTCAAGGTAAGAACCGTCTCTCGTCGACGGCTCCCGTTTTGTTTCTGTGTCAGGAACGGTTCCATTTCCCCTGCTCTGTGCCAATCTAATGAGTCTGCCTTCGTTAGGTTGTGTCTGAAGCTCGAGATTTGAATTCCGCTCTGTTCCGTTCCTTTCTTCTGGAGCTTCTCCGTCCGCGTGCTCCATGCATTGCGGTTCGCATTGTGCCCTCAGTTTTTTCTTTGCGCGGTCTCGCTTAGTCTTCTGTCATCCGATCCGATCTGCATGCTTCCGTTCCTTATTTTCCGCTGCGTTCCGTTCCGCTTCTGCAGGATGTCCCGAACGGCCAGTTCCGTCACATCATCCTGGCAAACAACGAGAACAAGCCGGTGACCAACAGCCGTGACACCCAGGAGGTGAGGCAAGCCAATCGCGTCCTGCCACGTGGCATTATGTTTACGAGGTGGACCACGTATTAGAAGCCAACAAGTCCCACTAAGAGGATTTGGCTTCTCTCAACCTCTAGTGCATTGCACCGGTTCAGTCCTTTAGGCCGAGGTTCACCCAATGTACCCTGCTTGTCGCTCGTATGCTGAAATCGTCCTTGTTTTCATGAACGAGCCGCGCTGACGGAACGTCATCTCACTCTCGCATTTGTTTTAAATTTGGGGTTGACCAGAATTCCGTTGCTCCTTAGTCTCAACGCACGAGATGGTCAAAGTTTCTGATTTAGGATGCCAAAAACCCTCTTTACCTGAAAGGAGCTGAAGGCCTTTGTGGGCATTGCTTGGAAAAGCGTAGAGTGCGACCGCAAAGACTGCACCCAAGAAGAGATGATTCACTTACGTCTCCACTCTGCTTTGATACAGAGGATGTGAAGTTTTCTACGCATGAATGTCTGATAGGAAGCGTGTCTGCGCAGGTTCCGTACGATCAAGGGGTGGAGGTGCTGACGATCTTCAAGGCATTTGCGGCCAAGACGTCCATTCTGGACGACTTTGCGTTCTACGACAATCGCCAGAAGCAGCTGCAGGAGCGGCGCGAGAAGACCAAGCAGAGCCGTAACCAGCGGCGCCAAAAGGCGGCGCCCGGGATGAGAGGTGGGGCGCGCCTATGATCTTTTCCATCAGCGTATGAGCGTGTGCTTGTATCCTTCGAGACCCGAGGCGATTCAGGAGAGTGACCCTTCTGGTTGTGATGTTGAAACGTTGGCTGTCCTTGTTTTCGCTTCTTTTAAACCGTGTCTGAGGTTGGAGTTCACAGCAGAGCAAGCTGCGGCTAGTGGCGCCAAACGGCGGCGCCCGAGGCGAGAGGTGCGCGCGCGCTTATGGTTTTTTCAGTAGCGTGTAAGCTCTTGCGTCAAAATGGTGAGTTGGTTTGCGTCGCTTTGAATTGGACAAGGAAGCAGAGCCACAGCCAGCGGCGTCAAAAGGCCGCGCACGAGACGAGACATGCGCGCGCGCACATGTTCTTAGACCACGTCTGATCTGCAAGAACGCTTCCTTGTAAGCACTTCTGTGACTGCTCCTTTACTAGCTCTACGAACTACGAATGAGTGGGTTCGTCGCGCCTCCTTGCTGAGAGTTTGTTCCGCTTCTGTAGGGGACGATGACGAGCGGAACACAAGTTCGACAACGGATTTGACGGAGTCCGGTAGCGAGCCGGCTGCGGAAGAAGCTCCGCGGCCTTCGGAGGATGAATCTTTAGAGGAACGGTTGGCGGGCCTTGCAGTGACGAGTCGCCCGCAGGAGGAGACGGAACTTTAGAGGGTTTTGAGCGGAGCGCTTTTCGAACTCCTGTGTAGTATATGTGCGTAGGGATGATGTCAGTAGGGGCAGTGCAAGCAAGGCCAACGTCAGCCGCTAGAAATGTTAACACATGGCACCCACGTGGCGCGGCCACGTGGCAGAACGGTGGGGCTCACCGGACAGGGGAAAAGTTGCTAGGTCCAGCGCTCGCACAGATCCGAGACGAGATGCGGAGATCTTATTCCGCCCGGCGGAAGGGCGTTTCGTTGGTATAGCGGATCAACGAACGGAATCGCTCCGGCCGGCATTCCAGACTACCGGGGTTTAGGCGCGCGCGATCAGGGCGCAGAGCTTTGCCCGTTTTGGGCCGAAAGCGTGTGTTTGGCCTAGGGCGCGCGTGCGCGTTTGCGGCCGCGTATTGTGCACAGGGGCTCGTATGGGAAAACCCATTAAGGGTTTGCAGAAAGATATCGACGTGGGCTTTTGACATTGCTTGTGGCAGGTACAGAATTTACCGGTGGGCAGGGATGAGATGCACTGGTGCGAATCAGGACACATTACAGTCACTTCAGGACAACATAACAGTCCCGTAGTTAACGTGTGAAAGTGTCGTATTGATTAAGATTGGCCGGACTCAAAGATGTAGAGGACGGTAGGACATCCTTAGGATCATTTTTTGATTCGTTTCAAGAGTGATCTGATCGTTTTTGCGAGTAGGCCGTGTATCCAGAGATTTACATGTTCTAGCTTTGTACCGTCGTGGGGGTTCCCATGGGTTGTTAACAACTGGGCATGCACTTCGCTGTCGTGAAGTGCTGTCACTTGCAATGGGGTGTCCAACGATTAGTTTGAACTTGAAGTCATCATGTTGTTCTGGCGATTCAACTTCGGGATCAATGCATGACCTTTCAATCCGAGCTTAGTACGAAAATTTTGGTGACCGTCTATGTCTCTCGGCAGGATGGCATAGAATATCATGCTGATAGGCCGGTCGTCGAAAACTTCTGAGGCCACGTACAGGAAGTCGCAGAAAGTCGCAGCGTGATTATAGGCGGCCGTTCTCCAATGCAATTTATTGCGAATTTAGTATGTGACGTTATCATGTACCTGGCAGCCGCTGAGATGAGCTGACCTTGGATGAGTTTGCAACGCAAGTATTAGAGGGCACAGTCGCGTAAGTATATGATCAGACGCAGTTCCTGAACGTACCGTTCGTGGCGGCTCGGGCCACGCACCACGTACGCGGCTGAGTCACGTGACATCCAAACTGCACGACTAAAAGCCTGCTGAATAACCATAGTGACAGACAATGATGGGCGATGATAGATTGAGCACGTGCAATAGACAGCAGTACTCTCAAGCATACAACTGCGGCCACCAAATCGCCATCGGACAGGCTCTACATAAACCAATGTTATCAACCCATTATGAGAATTATTCGAGTCCGGCCCGGTGCCATCGTATTCAAGCAATCATAAGCTCATCTTCACTTTTTTTGCTCATCTTGCACCTCAGAAGCATCAGGTCGTTACTAGTTACTAAACATGCACGCGGCAGCTGTGCAGTTGGCTTTTGAGTGCAGTCCCTTACACGTGCACCGATACTCTCAGTAAACTGACTGGATTAATCTTGAAAACAACCGGGATCAATTGAATATACTAAGCGCGTCTTATAGATCGATTCCCAAACCATGTACTTCCACACATGCAAAGCCGCTTTTCTACTGCCGGCCCCAGCTTTACCGATGGTATGTTCCAATGCAACCGCGCCCCTCCTTGTGCCATCAATCTTCTACGTAAAGTCATGTTGCGACCATCCTCATCCATGAGTTGAGCCTTGCCGTTGTTGCTCGTGTTTACTGCTCCGCCCAGCTGCTTGCATGGCGAAAACTCTGAGGAGCTACAATAGCGCTTCATTATCACATGGGTATTCCACGCGAAAATCACGATTGCATTGGCAAGCGCTTTGATCTGGATAAGAATCTCGTTCAATGAAGGGGTTCTTCACAAACCGAAGCAGATGGTCATCGGCCCTCACAATGGGGGCGACAGTTATCAGTCACGCATAGACTGGGTTTTGCGCCCCCCCGCAGTGTGGGCACTCTAGGGTCTTCTGCACGTAGCGGTTCCACTCGTCCTTGATCGCGGGAATGCCGCACGCCTTACAGGCGACCTTGGCCCGGGCAGGGACCGGGTAACCGGTGACCCCGCAAGCAGCGTTTTGAACCTGCAAACAGGTAGGACGAATTGGGGGATCCGCCCAATCTCGTTCGACGTTTTGCAGATGCGATCCGTTTCAACAGTCGATCTGATTCTGCATTCGTCTGTCGATCGAATGGGAGAATGTCCATCTCAAGCGTTCGGGGCTCGCCAGATGCTGAAATCCGGCAGAAACGCCTCCCTGCGAGCTGGTAGGGAAGGCGGCATCCCGCGCCGAAGGGAAGAGCGCGCGCGCCCTCACCTTGCACGACGCGCAATGGAGCGCGGCCACGTAGCGCGGCTTGCCGCACGCGTCGCACGGCGCGGCCGCGAGGGTTTGGTCCACCGCCTGGTCCATGCTCAGCTCCAGCACGAGATCGCGCACCGCCTCGCGCGCGTTCTCTGCAAAAGAAACATTGTGATTCACGCTGTTGACGTTAGTATTCCCTTTTGCCGCACAGGACTTGCAGCAACAGCAGGTTTTTGGAGCTTTCAAAGTGGAGGGGCATGGAATCAAAGTTGAGGTTGCTGGTCGAATTTCGCTCTCGAGATATCTGCCTGAAGCCAAATCTTCTGGTTCTTAGCATCTAAGTATTCCTCAAGCCTTTGCTGCTCTCAATCTGCTCATTTCGTTCCGTGTCTGTCCCCGCGAAAGCAGCTTGACACTTCGCCGAAACCGCATATATTCACACGTGGCGCCGCTTCGACCGCGAACGCGGCTGCGGCCGCCTGATGGTCTGCCAACCGGAATGTTCGCAGCGCGCGCGCGCTCACCGTCAACAAAGTGCTTGCTGGGCAGGTGGAAGTCGTGCGGGATGTCCGTATCCTCAAAGTCCGCATTCTCCAAAGCGTCCGCGCCCTGGGGGTCGTCAATCGCTTCGGCCAGGTCCAGGAAACGGTTCAGGAAGGCGAACGCCATGCTGAGCCAGTTCATCTGCGGAGAGATGATGGTGAGGTCTGAAAGCAACTGGAGTGTGACGGGAAAAAACAAGGATTTGATCTTACAAAGAAAAGGAAGAGAGCCTTCTGGCGAGCCAAAAAGCGACGTCTAAAACCGGAGACTGTAGGCTCTACGTTCCGTCTTTACGAAACTTTTTGCCTTTTGCTCAAGCCAGCACGATGCCTGAACGTTTTCTCAGTAAGAATCTTTTCAATACCATTTACTTTCTACACTATTTCGCTGTGGCGAAGGAATCCGTGCGGACTGCTCCAAACCGCTTTCTGGGGTCCGCCGCAGATCATACGCATTGATCGTAGATTCGGACTGGGATCGCTTACCTCCTTACAGGCCATTCCGGCCTGGTAGAATGCCTTGTCCGCCGGAATCTCGCCAGCGTACCGGAGCAGGCTGATGCTCAGCTTGGCGACGCACTCCGTCAGCCCGTGCTCGCGGCACTGCGCGCGCGCGGCGCTGTAGTGCGCGGCAGTCAGGAGCCGCTGGAAGTCCGGCAAAACCTGCAGCAAACGGAACCGAGCTCTCAATTCGGATCTATTCGTGCTGTTGCCGCACGCCAGAGGGGGCTTATCCACGCGAATGCGATTTCAGTCTGTCTGCAGAATGCTTCAGTTCTGAGGTGAAAGGGTGCTGAATCAAACAAAAGGAACGAGGTCTCATCGTAGTTTTGGTATCGCAGAGCCACTTTGTGGCGATTCTGCAGTCTAGCCGTATTACAACCTTACGTGAGGGTTGAAAGTAGGACCTCAGCTCCGATTGTATCGATTGCATCGCCGAGTGTCCATTCATAAATCTTCACGCTACTTTCTAAAACCCTCAAAACTTGAGGGGTGACTGGTGTGTTTCTTGATTACCGTCAACCCACCTTCTGACCCGCTTTCTGCATCTCCCCCGTCAGGCGCCTCAGGAACGCGCGCAGGTCCGCCACCGCTCGCACAGACGCCGCGTCGCGGTCGTCCGCGAGCGCCAGCACCTCATACGCTATGTGCTGGTAGAGCTCGTACAGGGCGGGGACCGCGAGCGCGCGCGCGTGCGCGCCGAGCACCGAGAGCGCTTCCGCGGAGTTCCCCGCCTGCACGCACTCCTGCGCGTGGCGCGCCGCGAAGCCGGTCGCGAGGTCGCCGCCCTGCTGGGCCGCGACGGCGTGCACCTGCCAGCATTTAAGGGTTTTGGAAAACCTTCAGTGGCGTGCTCTTTGAAGATGCGTTGAAATGGTTCTAAGGCCGTGGATTAGAGTTACGAGGATCAGTTCGATTAGTGTACTGATAGGGACTTGAATGGAAAGGTCTTCACTGCGTACACCTACGCTTAGGTTGCCGGGTTAAAGGTATGCTTGAAGCGGGTCAAAGTGCGGCGGCTTGTATGGCAGCTTGTAAGGAAGACATCGTCAAAATGGAGCCAAACCTCACCATATCCACTTAGTGATGGTCAAGAAACGAAGCCGACGGTGGAAAGTCACTTTTAAAATTTGTCAGAGGTCCTTACTGTTCTTCAGAGAAACCAATTGACGGGTCGGAGCCGCGGAAATAACGCCTAGACCCTAGCTTACCAGAGTGTCTGCAAGTCACGACGGCTCCACAAAGTCAGAAAGCTCAGATCCATTTTCGAAGTCGAAACCCGCGCCTTTCTCAAGAGCCCATGTCACCATGTCGCCAAAGCCCCGAACCTGAACGGAGCTTCTTTTGAGACAATATTCTGAAGCGTCAGAACTCTGACAACCGAGCCGTAGAAATTACAACCCACCTTTTGCCAGAGCCCCTGCCGTGCATACATCTCCAGTCCCTCAACGACGCTCCCGCTCTGCACCAACTGATCCGCCTCCTCGTTCGCCAATAAGTGCTCCCGGTACGCGTCCTCCACGTATGACGCGAGCCGCGGCCGCGCACCGGCCGCGCTGCGCGAGAGGGCGCGCGCCTTGTCCCACAGCCCCGCGACGATGTAAATGTCCACCGCCTCCTGATGGCCGTCGATGCCTTCGTACAGCTCCGCGGCCTGCGGACGTCCGAAAGGGATTGGGTCGTGTATATTTAAACCGGTTCAAGTTAGATGGGTCTGGCAGCGGGTTATAGAGTAACTCAGTAGCAGAAGGGCCGATGAATGATGGCTAGCATAAGAATTGGCAACAAACACTGTTTCAGAGCCTTCTAACAGGATGCAATTAAAACCGGGTGACCGACAACGGTAGCGGTTGGTCGGGCTACGATGTTCTCCCTCCGGACAACAACTTGGTTTCTGGCAAATCAATTCAGAAGTTGCGACCAAGAACTTTACTTGAATTTTCTTTGCCCTGAGTTTCAGATTTTCAGGCCTCCAGGATCCAACAAGCCAGGCGAGCTCGCACATCCTGCAAGTCTTCCTGCGGCTTCTCGCAACAAAGAAGGGCGCCCCTCAGAATATCACGCCGTAACAAAGTCGCCGGCTTTCTCGTTCTGCGGCCCATTACCAGTTAACCTGATCGTAGCCCAGACATGAACCTTAACCACCATGGTTAAGAAAGAGACTATATTGTGCTGTTTCCGCCCGTACCTGTTCGCACCGCCCGATGTCCACCAGCCGCTTCGCCACCAGCCCGATGACGTCACCCGTGCGCTCGGTGACGTAGTTCATTGCCAGCTTGACGGCCGTCTCCCACGCCTGCTCCAGCAGGTTCAGGTCCGGCGTGTACTCTTTCGTCAGGCTGAGATAAGCGTCGATCGCGCGCGCGTAGTCGCGCCCCTTCTCGAGCGCGCGCGCGCGCCCGAGGATGCTCTCCGCAGAGTCGCCCCCGGCGTCACCGCGGAGCGCGGCCGCCATCTCGGCCTGGAGCTCGGGGACCTGCGTAGAGGTTTCAGTAAGTTTGTAAAGAGGCTTCTCCTCCGTGAGGTGAAGTACTGGCTAGAAAAGCAATTGAACGATTGGAGAGATAACGATGCGTAGAGTCGCCAAAAGCAGATCAACGAATTCCCAAAGCCGCACATCTTGGCGGGCACGCATTCGTTCGACCCCGCGCAGCGCGTAAACGGCCTCTTTCATGTAGGTCCTATTGACAAGACTCAGCTTCTGAACTATCCCAACTTTCGTGCAAATCTTCACTTCTTAATCCCGGGCTCCTTAATGCGCATTGGCCGCGTCGTCTTCTCCCCAGATTTACCAATTCAAAAGAGTTTGTTAGCAGTGGAGTTACGTTCTTGTTATGAACGCAAAGCCTTAAACCCTTAAACCCCGCGCACCTTGGTGGGCATGTACTCGTCGGCGACGCGCAGCGCGTCCTCCCACTTGCGCAGCTCGCGGTACATCTTGATGGCCAGGTCCGCGCGCTTTGCCTTCAGCAGCATCGCCTCCGCGCGCGCGTAGTCGCCTGCCTCCGCGAGCACGCGCCCCTGAGCTGCCTGCGCGTACGAAACTTCGACAGCTTAGTGGGGAAGGTCCGCCCAGGGAACAGAAGCCGTTCACTGTCCCCCTAAGAATACAAATAAGCGGTGTTTTTCCAGACGAAAACGACCTGGATTCCCATTGATTTCCATCTTGCCCGGGCTGCAACCTCCTCTGAAAGCACGACACCGTTTTGAGCACGCTAAGGCGCTCGTAAATTTCTTGCTCACCCCACCAAACGAAGAATTTTGGGCGCCCTTCTACGCGCGATCAATCTTTCAGAAGAGTCGCAAGACACAATCATACGAGCAGAAGAGACCCCTACAGTAGTGTCTGCAGCCCAAAACCGTGCTAAACAGGGTCATGAACAAATGCCCAAGATTTGATTCCGTCGACCGTTTCCTATCAGTATCCTTCATCCTTGAAAGAGTCGTAAATCTGAATCTTCTATAAATGTTTGCCCTTACGTGCACGTCGGAGATGCTGGCGGGGCTGCAGTGCTCCGCGACCCGCATCGCGTTCCCCCAGTCCTGCTGGTGCACGTACATGTCGATCGCCTCCTTCGGCTTTTCCGCCTTGATGAACTCCTCCTCCGCTTCTTTGAAGCGTCCCTCGTCTTCCAGCCACATCGCGTGTTTTAGATGCACCTGCATGGTCGAGACCGGAGGTTTGGAGGATGTCAAGAACCTGGAACTCTATCTGTCTTGCCGTTTGTACCTTACAGAGCTTCGGGTCTTGATGGAGCTCCCCTCCGATTGGTTGGACCGGATCGAGTCCTCCAGCCACATTGCGTGCCTTTGGTGCACCTGTTCAGAGCAGAGCTCTTTGTTATGTGCGCATAGGAGCAAGCCTTCCTAGTATTTCAAAGTGGTTCTGACATTTCTTTCACCAAAGGATTCCTGACAGAACTGGAAGTCGTCCTCGAACAACATCGGTTGTAAAATATCCTTGATTCGGAGTTGAAGAAGTCTGCAAGTCCACTTTTTCAGTCTCGACTAGTAACAACCGTCTCCCTCCAGCCACATCGGGTAATCCAGTTTAACCTGCGCAATCCGCTTTCGGAAAAGTTCTTTAAGCGGGTCCCGAGGGTTTGGAATGTTAGATCTTTTAGATCAGAACGGTCCTCTTTTCCATTTGGACGTGAAAGTCAAAAAGTTTCGCGTCAAAAATGCATTGGCGTGCAATGCATCGCCCTCTGTGCGATTGACAGACAGGAGAACGTTTCGTAAAAAGATGATGTCCTACCTCCAGTAGCTTGTGTTTGGCGGACGAGCGGCACAGCTCGAACGCGTGTGTGAACGCGTTGTTCTCGACCGCGTAGTCGATTGCCTGGTCCACCAAACCCAACTTGGTTAGCAGCGCCGCGCCCGCGTCACCGCCCAGGCTGGAAGCCCACGCATACGCAACCTGGGTCAAGCAGAGAAAATTGGGTTAGTGAACAGCGCTTGGAAAAGTACTCGTTTGTCTGAAAATCTGCCTGTGCTAAAAATGCAGTCTTCTGATTCGGGCCTTGCAGCGGGGCGCAAGAGTTTCTCGGACTTCGTGCGTCGTGGACTGGAACGGAAGATTGATTGAATGATTGTAAGAGGAATTGACAGCAGCAAAACAGGAGCGATCAGATAACCTGGTCAAAGCTGCTAAATCAGCAGCTGACCGCGGCCGCGTATGGCCTCATGGAATGAGATCTTGTGCGAATTTGGCAACCAGACACGACTACCTGGAAGACCGAGACATCTAAGCTGCGGAACACTCCGACGGACGACAAAGACATGTTCCGGTTCCTTTCTAAATTGATGTTCTTGACGCATCCGAGCACGCAAGGTGGGACAAGAACAAGCATCGACACGCCGCTAACGTGCCCGGCTAACCTGCTTGGACGCCGCGGGCCCGCCCAATGTCTTGGCGACACGTGTCGCGTCCTCCCAGAGGTTGTTGGCGCGGTACATCTGGACCGCGCTCTTCCAGTCGCCCGCGTCGCAGTAGTGCGCCTCCGCCTCGCGGAAGTGGCCGCTCGCCTCTAGTTGCTGCGCCAGCGCCACGTGGGTCTCGGGGAGCAGCTCGGGGCGGTACTTGGCAACCAGCCTGAGAAAAAAGACAAAATATCATTTACTTATTTATTCAGACTATGCGCATCTCTGGCACTGAGCTTAACGACGTGTCGCTTCTCAAGTGAGAGGCTGAAGTGTCAGCTTTTTCAAAGTAGAAGAGACGATTTGGGTCGGCCTCTTGCTCTGAAGCGAGAAGGAAACGAGGAATTCTCTGTTGTTTCTCGAGTTATTGGGAAAGACTATTTTGGAAGAGTGGATTCTAGAGAAGACTCCGGTCATTGCTTCGGAAGCTTGATATCGTCCATACCATCTCGAAACGCATGTCTGACAAAAAGTTCCGTCTTAATGCCCAAACTGTAGCAAGTTAAGCAGAAACTTCGCTATATTCGACGGAAAGGACATGGAACAGAGGGAGGCAGCAAGAGACTGCTACTTGATGCGAGCGTAACTCAGAAACTTGTCCAAACGCTTCGTATTCTCTACTCTAGTGCCAATCAAAGCTTCCAGAAAGCTGCAAGAATGATGGCGGAAAGGTAGAGACATGAAACATCACATTTTGAACGTTAGAAAAGGTAATTTCGCCCACCTGACCATGTTGTCGAACATCTTGTTCTTCTTGTACATGTTGATGGCCGCGTCGTACTCCTTGACCTCCACGTACATCTTCTCCGCGTCCTTGTGCCGCCCCTCCGCCTCCAGCTCGCGCGCGCGCCGCGTGAACAGCGCGGCCGCCTCCGCCTCCGAGCCGAAACGCGCGGCCACCTGCTCAGAGGAAGAACAATTCCAAGCTTATCGGGCAGTATCTCAAGCCCTGTACGTAGATCACTCTTTTCTGTTTCGGCATTTGTTAAATTCATGTTGGTTCCAATATCAGAGTCCTCTTTCTTAAGCGGTATGCCAGATCCACTTTGCGATGAACGTTCTCAACTTCCGGTTACTGGTCCTTTCAGCACGTAGCTTCGAAAATCGTCAACATGGATGCGTCTGCGTACTGCATGTACGGAAACGCTGCTGCCGGAAAGAAGCGCCTTCAGCATCGTGAAACGTGGGTTTTGCGTGCACGCTTAATACAGAGGTGGATCCTTTGCGGCTCTTGCACACAGGGCGATGGGTCGGGTGGGAGATCGAGGGGCTGAATAGCAACATTCTTCTGATCATTCTAAACAGCCCATTTGCAGTGTAAGAGTCCAACCCGTCATTCTCAGCAGATGAATACCTCCCAAGCAAGAGTAGGCAAGACTTCGAACTGGCCTGATTAGATGATGACGGCGATTCGACCCAAAACAAAGCGCGAAAGAAGCAGGGAAGAAGGCCATTGCGCTCGCGGTGCGCGCGCAACTTACTCGGTGCGCGGCGTCCCACTTGTTGGCGCGCGTGTACATCTCGACGGCGTCCCCGGGGAGCTTGGCGCGGATGAAAAAGCGCTCCGCGTCCTCGTAAGCTTTGGAAGCTTCGAAGTGGCGCGCCAGCCGCTTATAATACGGCAGGGCGACCTGCATACGAGGAGCCACAGTTAATAAGAGGGGCACCCGTTTGAAACCAACAGAAGACCCTCACGTACACCACGAGGCTAAAATTGGAACGCGTCCGAGGTTGAGCTCTGTCCCGTTTTCCTTCAAACCACCATGAAGCAACACAGCTTCACTAAAACATTCCCGTTCCGAGCGCCGACAGGCCCGCGCGCGCGGTCGCCGTCGCAAAACCCTTCCAGCCCCTCACTCGTCTTTCTGTGCCTCGAGCATCTACACCGCGCGCGGCCACTCGAGCGAAAACTAACAAAACCCCCGTCACAGAATCCACTTTATTAAACCCGAAACCCCTCACCTTGGCATCCTGCGCCTCGACGATCTGCACCGCGCGCGGCCACTGGCGCGCGGCCATCGCGGCCTCGATCGCCTTGCCCGCGTTGCCGGCCTCGATGAAATGCGCGATCGCGCCGTCCAGCTGCCGCCGCGCGACCAGCCAGTCGCCCCACTCCTCCTCCAGGGCGACCACCTGCCAAGTTAAGAAGTGGTGTTGGTCGCCGTTTAATAAGAGATGTCAGTAATATAAGTATTACAACTCTTACGGATAGTACTTAAGGAAGCCCATAAGGGCCTACCGTGTTTGTCTTAGTCGCTTCGATGAAAGTTTCGTGATTAATCGAGCCTTCGACGCGAGGAAATTTCTCACAGCGGATCGTAAGACTGGTTAGAAGCAGAATGATTAGAACGGTTTTGTGAAGGGATTGGTAGCACCAAGTAAATCCGATCTGCTCAAGGTCCAGAGCTCTAAAAGAGGGTCTCGGGGAGAATGAATGCTGAAAGGAGGATGCAGAGGCAGCCGAATCGTCTTCCCAACCACTCTCAATTTGCGCAACTTCTGTGCTGCTAACAGCTTCCGCACTTTCTGTGCCGCGGACGCCAGAGGTTTACCCATTTTTTCTCCTGAATGGTTCTAGATGCCCACCTGTCCGGGGAACGCCCTCCGGGCGAGGTCCACCGCTTTTTTGTATGCTCCGCCCGCCCGGTAGGCGTCCCGGGCCCGCTCTAGTTGTCCCAGGTGCTCCAAGAAGTCGCCCGCCTTTTCGTGGAGGCCCGCCTTGGACAGCATGGCGCCGATGTTCTCTAGTAGGTCCGCCTGCGCAAAGTATGAGAAGAGAACTCCTAAAACGTCCAACATTGCGACCCTCTTGTCGTTAACCGACCGATCTGTAAAGGAAGCGCACGTCAGAGCTTGAGCAAACAAGGTGTTCAGAGGACAGAAACGGCAAATCAAGTGCCGCCAGAGAATTGCGCAAGCTGCGAGGGCAGTTCGTACATCACATAAGCGACTGAGCGGCACTCGTAAAGCTCCTCTTCCACTTAAGCACATGTTTTCCACCACTTTGATTCAGGTCGCCGCTTTGCCTGGCATTCCCCGTTTCAGGTACAGCGTGATCGGGCGAGCAGGTCGCCCTCTGCCTCTTTCACTGCCCTAAAACCTTACACACACCAAAATCCGAAAGACTCACCTGGAAAGCAAACGTCGGGTTCTTGGCGACGACCGCCGCCGCCTTTTCCGGCACTCCCCCTTTTCAGGTTCAGCGTAATTGCGACGATTTTCTCGCCCTCCGCCTCATTCGCCTTCTTAAACCCAATAAAATCCAATAAAAACTCCAAAATTTGAAAAGCTCACCTGGAATGCAAACGTCGGGTTTTTGGCGACCACTGCCGCCGCCTTGCCAGGCATTCCCCCCTTCAGGTACAGCGTGATCGCGGCGAGCAGGTCGCCCTCCGCCTCTTTCACCTCCCCCGCTTTCCCCTCCTGACCCGTTTTGAGCAGCCACTGGAACTGCGTCCGGCGCAGGTTCTCTTTGTCCGGGTGATTCTTAGCTTCAGCAACCGCGATCGCGTCCTGCCACCTGTATTTGGAACGGTTTGCTTTTGGTTTGCAATTCCAAATCTGGGTTAGCGAGTGAGGGGTATTATTGTTGTCATCGTTGTATCATCCTTAACCACTGGAACTGCGTCCGGCGCAGGATCTCTTTGTCGGGATGGTTCTTGGATTCCACAATCGCGATCGCGTCTTGCCACCTTGATAGAGGGCTGCTTCAAGTTTGACCTCCGCGGTCGGGGTGTGTCCTCTTTATTGATACTGCATTCGGCGCATCAATTGGGTGGTTTTTCAGCTCCCGCAACTGCGGCCGAGTCCTGACGCTTAAGGACATTGGGTCTAACGAGTTTTTGGTATTTGAGGTTCACTATGCTTTCTGTGACCGCGACGCTTGGTGTGAACTGCCTCCCTTCCTGGAAACCGACTCTACTTCATGTTTCTTCTACTCTTGTCACTTCTCGTTTCACATCTCAAAAGTCCTGCAAATAGAGACCATTGTGGGGAGCACATGCTTCGCCGTGTTTCTGATTCAGTATATCCCCCCTCGTTTGCTTTGCGCGTTGTACTGGGCTGTAGGACTTAATTTGCTGACCGGTCCGCCCATAAATTATATACGTAGGTAGTAAGAATAAGTGTCACGAAAGATTCTTCCTCTTTTCAGCAGCTCGCCTCCATTTCATCCAGCGCATGCCCGCCGAAGTACCATATCAGGAGCCCTTCACACCCAAGAGAAGCCTACCTGTGGACTTTGGTGTGAATGGCGACGGGTCCGCCACTTTTCCTTGCTCCAGCAAGATTCCTTCCGCTGCTTTCTATCCAGCTTTTCGCAAAGGTAGGACCTTGTGGAGCGCATTCACATCTACCGGAGCCCTACCTGTGGAGGTTGGTGTAAATAACCACCGCGTCCGTCAATTTCCCCTGCTCCAGCAGGATCCCCTCCGCCTGCTTCTACTCGTTTCAATCGCTCATAGTGAAATGATCTGAGTGCATTCACACGCCACCCGTTCCTACCTGTGGAGGTTGGTGTACATAGCCACCGCGTCCGCTACTTTCCCCTGCTCCAGAAGAATCCCCTCGGCCTGCTTCCACTCCTTCCGCAGCATCGCCATGCGCGCGCGCACCAGGAAGAAGTCGGTACCGTCGCCGCCCGTCTCCGCGGCCGCGCGCCGCCGCAGCTTGTTCACCTGAGGCGACAATGCAAGAACTTGATTGCCTCTCGTACATTCTTTCAACGCTTCCGCTCCATACTGTGGGATTGATTTGCTTGCGCAAAATACACAATGCATGCCATCATTCTCAGTGGATCAGAATGCTCGTGAGATAAAGGTTCGACGAGGCAACTGGAAGGCATACTCGAAATAAGATCCCTTTGCGCTGCCGGAAATCGGCCACATTCAGAGTTGGGGCTCTATATCTCAATAAGGCGATACATTTCTTCTCTGTATTGTCATCTAGTTCGTCCCCTCGCATTCTAACTCACGCAGCCGCCTTTACGTGGTTCTAGCGTACTGTCAGAATTGACAAAGGGTCTGAACTACTCCAAATAGACTGGGTATTTAGGCATAAAAAATCCCGAAGCTTTTGAACTTCGAAGGACTAACCTACAAGCAAAAATGCCAACGCGTCTCACCTTGTGGAGGAAGCGCGCGCGGGGCGCGTCGCCAAGGGCCGCGTAGCAGCGCTCTGCCGTCTCTAGTTGCTGCGTATCGAGAGCCAAGGTGCTCAACCGCTGCCAGAGAGCCTGCAAGCAAAGCCAGGGTCAGAAAATGGGTTTTTTGCGATTGAAGTTGCCCCTTCCGCCATTGCCCCGCCTCCCTTTTACCAAACTCTTTTTCTGCAGCTTCAGGTCAAGATCCCGTTTTCCTTAGGTTCGCTCCGCTCTATTCCGCACCTTAGTAATCAACTTCAACGGCGGCCGCTCCCGGATGCCGACTGATTGCTCGGAGTCCTTATCTCCTAGGGCACCCCCGAAAGTCGACGGGCACTTGTCAACTGTGCACCTTCTAGGAGAGTCGTTCCCGCCACCTGAGACATTCCGCTCACCTTGCTTTCCGGCGTCAGCGGCAGCTGCTCCAAGATGGCGACCGCTCCGTCGAAGTCCCTAACTTCCAAGGCGCCCCCGAACTCGATGAGCGCCTCGTTGGCTTGAGAGGAAAATGGTCCGCTACTGTTAATCCGTTCCGCTCACCTTGGTTTCCGGAGTCAGCGGCAGCGGCTCCAAGATGGCGACTTCGCGGCCGAAGTCCCTATCTTCCAGACTGCCCCCAAAGTCAACAAGCCATACGTCAATCGTGCAGCTCCTACAAGATTCCGTTCCGCCCACCTTGGTTTCCGGCGTCAGCGGCAGCGGCTCCAAGATGGCGACCGCGCCCGGTCAAAGTTCCTACCTTCCAAGGCGCCCCCAATCTCAAATGAGCGCCTCGTGGACCTTGGGAAATGATGAGTTCCGCTATAATGATTCGTTCCGCTCACCTTGGTCTCCGGGGTCAGCGGCAGCGGCTCCAAGATGGCGACCGCCCGGTCGAAGTCCCTATCTTCCAGGGCGCCCCCGAAGTCGATGAGCGCCTCGTCGAGTGTGTAGCTGACGCTGCTCGCGCCCTCCTCCACGACCACCGCCGTGCGGCCCTTGCCGCGCTCGATGTCCTGGACGTCGCCCTGCGCGGGTTCGCAAGGTTTAGGGTTCAGGGTTCAGGGTTCATTCCGATCTGGATTTCAGGTTTTATGATAAGGTTTGGGGTTTTTATTCGAGGGTTCAGGAGGGCCGAGACAGTTGAGAGGGGGTTCCGAACGACGACTGGAGTGCGGCCCTTGCCGCGCTCGGTCGCCCTGCGTGGGTCGCGGGGTTTGAGGTTTAGGGATCAGGAGGGCCAGAAAATTCTAAAGAGCATTGAATCGTAGCAGCTGTATGACGGACTTGCTGCGCTCGATGTCCTCGAAGTCGCGTCAGACTTGGGCTTTATGATCTAGGAGGGGCCAGGAGTTTCAAAGGGGCTCGTGATTCATGACAGCAGCGCGGCAAATCCAAAAGGGACGGTTGTAAGCGCGGGTGCGCTCTGTTGAACGACGTCACCGTCCTTGGACGCGCCCCCCGTGCTTTTGGATTCCAAGAGTCTACGTGGAGATAAAAATCAACGCAGGCGCACGGAGAGAGCTCATTCATCACAGGATGTCGATCAAAACAGCAAGCAGTGTCAAAGTTTTCCAGAGGTCACAAGCGTAGAGCTTGCGATACCCAAAATTCGAAAGAAAGAAAGAAAGCACCCTCTTAGTTTTAGCGCACCTTGATGTTGAAGATCGAGACCTGCTCCGGCTTGTCGATGCTGTACCAGATGCACAGATTGTTCTTGTTCTGCGCCACGATGACGTCACTCTCGGGTACCCACTGGACGTAGCTGCAGAACGTCAGCAGCGTCGTACGCTCCTGCAGCCGAGACGTGCGAGCGAACGTTACGTCTCGTAAGATGCTATTATGAAGAAGGAGAGTCTTAAGCTCGTCTGAAATGTACATCGCAAAGTCTGCGTTCGCTTTTCTTTAAGCTCTCAGATCTGACATTTGAAATGTACGATTTGCATCCTCTCAATGGAGACTGAGAGGCTAGCAAGCATGGCAGCACTGTGCCACATACAATAAAGAGACGTACAAATTCAAATCAACAACGAACTGAGCCCAAAGCCTTTCGCACTTCCCCAAAGCCCACAGCCGCAAGCACCAGATTACGAGTGGCTCAACACTGAAAAGCCAGAACCTCAGAAGATTTTAAACAGTAAGATTCGAGTCTTCTAAGCAGTAACATGCTGCCATTCGCTAACCTGCTTGACCATGTCGAACTGGTGTAGCTGCCGCCGCTTGTCCCGGAACAGCAGGTGGGTCGCGCGCGGGTTAAGCTCTAACCAGTCCACCTTGCTGTCGTGGTTGATCGCCGCGGCGGTTACGCCGCTAACCAAGTCCAGAACCCGGATGGTGTGCGGGTCAATCACGTGCGCGATTTTCTTGTTCTCGCTAACCGCGCCGTGACCCGCGCTCTGCTCGCGCGCCTCGTTGAGGCACACCGAGATGAGGAACGGGCTGACGAACTCCGTACGGCACGTGCCGATGACGTCATTGGCGCCGTACTCAATGAGGCTGAGCTCGCCGGCGTTGTAGATCATGCACACCTGCGCCGAAATTGACAAAGGTCGTCATGACTGGTTTCTCTCCGGAAGCCTCTCTGATGTTCAGATACATTCTGCATGATATGTGAGGAGTTTTGCTTCTTCCCTCAGGATCAGATCTACGCGCCAAGTCTGAGGGTTGCGAGCTTTGCGGGATATCAACTTAGCACGAACGTTCAATATTCATGTTCTGCCGTTTCAGGACCTTCTTCGCGCACTTTCTTACGAGTCACCTTTATCAGGTATGAGAAATCATATCTTTATAGCTTATATCTTCTTATATTGCCCGCTGCCCAGGCGAGTGTTTTGACTCAAGTACATTCGCCGTGTTGGTTGTTGCGTGTTCTTCCCGATTCCGAAATTGGGCAACGTCTCTCCTCATCAAGCTTGTAGCTTTGCGTCAACGTGCGGAGAATGTGGACGGAGTGCGATAGAAGTCGCGCATCGCGTTTCTTTGTAGGCTGACCTGCGGGTTTTCAAGCAGAAACTTTTCGTTGCCTCCCCCGCGCCACGGGATCTCGCTCAGCTTGCAGGTTTCCAGCTGACCCAGTAAGATTGTTTCCGCAGTGCGCGCGATCACGTAGTTATCCTGGTGGATGTTCAGCTTGGTTATCTCCAAACCGTAACCCGACCGGACCGCAAGGGAGGCCCCGGTCGACAGGCGCTTCACGATAACCTGCAGGGTTTGCAGAATTGGTTACTGACATGCCGTCTGACAAAGAGCGTTCTTCCACTGATCGAAAGGATGGAGATACAGCTTGCTCAGGTCAGGCGACTCATGTCATACTAGAACAAGTCCTACCTGCTTCGCTCGTCTTTTTGAAAGCAGGCGACAGTAGCGTTCCGTTGCCTGAAGACCAAACACAACGGGAAAGCCGACGCAAATCTACCGCCGCAAATTGACATACACGGTACGTGCTCAGCAGGACAAGCTGGAGCCGTTACGTCACTCATACGCACCTGGCTGTTGCTGACGTAGGTCAGCTCGAACTTGCCCTTGTACTTTTGCTTCCGGACGCACGCATCGTACAGATCCACGTTGCCGCACATGCCACCAGTTGTAAGGCGGCTGAAAAACATACCAGAAAGGACTTCAGACACGACGGAACCGATTTTAGATCTATGATGAAAAGGAACAGCCTATAATTAGAACAGATTTCAATACATTCTTGAGGGAGATTTTACATTTTAGGATTTAGGCATTGACAAGCCTGGCGTTGGTGCGATCCAAACGATGCGATAGGGTTATGTCCAAGAGTTTGGCTTTGCCTCGAGTTGGGTCCACGTCCAATAGCATCGGAATCTTGGGTTCGCACAAACGGTCGAACCTCACTTCTCACATCCTTACCCATTCTATTACCCCCCCCCTCCCGATAGCTCCCCCGACGAGCGCAGTCTCGGAAACGTAACAGCCTCTTTCGCTCAACTAACATAGTCACCGGTCGGTTACTCTTCCGTTCAGTAAGCACTTACGTTCGGTAGTAGCAAATAGCCGGTAACCCGGTTCCTCACCTGCCGTCCGGTTTCCACGCGAGCGCCGTAACCGTGTACAGGTTATCGATGGCCTTAACCACCACTTCTTCCCAGGCGCCTTTCCGCCCGTTGAACGTGAACACGTCGAGCCTGCTGAAGCTGCCCAGCACGACGGTGTCGCCGGATGGGTTGAACGCCGCGGACGAGAACTCGCGGACGGTCTGCAGGAGGGAGACACTCGGACGTCCCGCGTGTCTGAGAATGTGCAGCACGATAACGAAGAGTTGGACGTCCGATCGAGGTACGGAGAAAAACACACGAAGGTTGGGCAGAAGGAAGACGTTCGGACGTCCAAGCGACGGATCACTTGAGGGATTTTGCGGCCACCACATATGCACGAGCAGGAGTCAAAACATCGATAGCTGCAGTTCCGGAAAGCACCGGGCATCAGATCAGCGGCTCAGGCCTTCCCGTTCGCAGTCGCCGTGTCAATTGCAATAATCACTCCGATGAGAGAAGCATCTTATGCGGCACGAAACAACTGAAACCCCACTCAACTATTCCAGAGTTGATACTCTCATTGAAATGTCTGCCATAAGCAAAATTTAGAAGATGGGCCGATAGTTACGGTATGCAACAAACAAGGCCTTCGTGTACATATAACGCGACAACAGAGAAAGGGGATCTGTTAAACGAAATCGGTGCCGGTCTTGCGATTTTGTGTGAACGATGTGCTCACGTCGTCGGACGCATAGTTGAACTGCTGCTGCACCGTTCCATTACCGTCGTACAGCACCATTCTGGAGTCCGTTCCGGCGGCGACCAGGGCCTGGCCCCAGCTAAGGGCGGTCGGAACACAACCTGCGGAACCACGTGGTTCGATAAAACTGAGTTAGCGAGCGGGCAAGGTTTCCATCTCAAGCCCCGAGAGCAAAGCTAACGGGCATTGACCTTGACTGTGGTATTCAAACCCGGCAGAGTGCAGTTCCTCACGCCCTGGAGAGGACGGGTACTTCTGTAGGCTGGGAGTTCGTTGTCAACCTTGCGCAAAATGGCGCAACTATCCTTTGCGTTCTGAACGTTTGCTCAACTTCCTCACACGCCACTTAACCTGCGTTCCCCGCAACAAAGCTACAGCTTTTTCGTCTGACAAACAAGGTCGTCAAGACCAATCAAGACTTGCCACGTGGAACCGAAACCTCACCATGCTGCGCTATCCGCATCGCCGCGGCTCCGCTGCCCCCGTCGTCCAAGACGTACCGGTAGATGGATCCGTCCGCATGTCCGCTGGCGACCGCGGACCCGTCCGGACTGCACGCCAGCGACACCACCGGGCTGCCGTCGGGGTGCGCATAAAGTGTTGCAGATTTGTTTGTGCGGAGCTGACCGGCCTATAAGGAGAACGACAAAAGAGGGTGTGTCTGAGTTCGGTCTCCATTTGCTTCATCCTTTTCTTACTCGCTCAAAAAGCAGGTAAAAGCAGGCGACACTGTTGGGCTGCCGTCGGGGTGCGCGTAGAGGGTGGCGGGCTTACTCGCGCAGAGTTGACCGGCTTGAGGAATCGCCGGAAAGAGAGGATTAGTTTCACTCGAGATTTCTTACGAGCGACTAAAAGGACGAAGCAGGCGTCACGGCAGGGCTGCCGTCTGGGTGCGCGTAAAGCGTTGCAGATTTGTATGTGCGAAGCTGACCGGCCTGTGAAAGCAACGTACGTGCAATGTTGGAAGTCAATGTGGCTTTGGTCCGGATTTGCCTTCTGCCCTTTGCGTACGAAGCACCGGACCTTGACGAGTGAACGAACTGCTTAACATGATCTTTCTACGGAGCAGGCGTTACGAGCGGGCTGCCGTCGGGGTGCGCGTAGAGTGTTGTGGACTCATTTGTGTGTGGTTGACCGACTTGTCAGAAGAAATAAAAAGAGAGGCTTGAATTGTTTCGAATTGTCAATCTGGTATGCGGACGAACTTGGCGAATGCAGCAGGCGTCGCGACTGGGCTGCCCTCGGGTGCACGTAAAGCGTCCCACCGGGATTGCTTCGTGCAGCAACGACCGGCCCGTGAGAACAAGGAGACGGAGGGCTTGCTCTAGATTAGTAAGTTGTGTCCGCACGAATAAGATACGGAGTAGATATCAGGACCAAGCCGTTGGGCTGCCGTTAATGTGCGCTTAGACTCGTGCTCGTCTATCTGCCGCCTGTGCAGAAACACGGGCGAAAATGACTCTTCAGATGCATTCACCCGGCTTGTGAATTTCAAAGCTTAGTCCCCTGTCCCCCCTCTCGTAAACGACAGTGAGCTCCGCCACAAGAAAGCTACCACAAAGAAGACTGGTTCAAAAATGGCAGATCTTGATCAAGTAGATACTCACCCTGACTTTCCCGTCTGCGCATCCAAAGAGCACCTCGTTCGGGTGCGCCGCGGGCCATTCGAGCGCCGTCACGGGGGCGGAGTGCGGGAACTTGTTGCAGATGGACTTCTTGTCTCCCCAGTCGAGCCCCAGCTTGTACACAAAGACGATGCAGTCGCTCTGAGCGATCGCGAGGCGCGAGCTGTCGGGGGAGAAGGCCATGCCGCGCACGAGAAAGGTCTTGGGGCCCTGGAGATGGAAAAGTCGAGGGACTACAATTTCAAAAATATCAGAGTCAAGCTTGACATCTCCTGTAGATAATAGGGCGACTTAATGGATCATCAAGTTGGGAGCTGTCTGGAGAACAGCATGCCGAGTGATTGATAGTCCTTGAGGCTCTGGAATTGAGCCTGCCTAGTCCGTTTGATCGGAAAGCAGAGGAAGGAAATGAAGAGCAAGACTGGCGGCATGAGGTAGGTTACGGTCAGTTGACGGATTACTCTGTTAATGGCTGACAAGAACTTTCCTTGATATCACGTGGCGCAGTACCTCGCGCAAGCTGACGTGCACGCCCTTGCGGCCGCCCAGGATAGTGTGGGTGTGTTACTCCGCTTTCTTTGCTGGCGCATGCACTATTCGTATCGCATGATTGCTTACATTTGCTTCTGCCGGCTTGGTGGAGAATTTGTCCCGGCGCTCCCCATTCTCGTCAAACAGCTGCACCACCCGGTCAGTGGTCACGGCCGCAAAGCGCCGGCTGCAGCAAGGAGTGATACACTTAGTGTCAAGAGCCATACTGCTGCTAGACAAGCAGTGGCTCTTGGTACCGGTTTTTAGTAGCTGGACAATGCGTATGTTCGGTTTAAGTGGTGTAAGTGCATAGTGTTGGATGGTGCATTTCGGTTCCAAATGGTGGCCCAAACGCCTCGACACTCTCATTGCAATGAAACCCAAACCTGCCTCCATCTTTTTGTGGAAAGTCAACATCGTTCTTTTGCTTGGCATGATTCTAAATGCCAACAATTTAGCAAAGTCCACATCAGGAAAGGGCAGTTTTAGATAGTTGTACTTGCAGAACTGGATTTGCGGCCGCTAAAGACCACATGACCAGCAAGGTGAAGCTCAAGGACACACATTTAGTGGTGCTTCAGGTCACACTAAGGAAAAAGGTCGATTTGGTTACCACCTTTGACATGCTCTCACTTGCGTTCGTCAGCAGGGCTTTCGATTCGTGAACAGCTGTAGAAGACACATTGACCTACAGGAAGCAGCCATCAATAAAACGAGACTGGTGAAGAGCTCACTTGTTTGGCGCCCATGCGATCGCTGTGACTTTGGCGATGCCCTCCTGGCCCTGCAGGGCCGGTCTGGCGTACCGCAGCTGCATGATGTTCACTCAGTTGGCCTCCTCATGCAATTGAGCTCATGCCTAGGCAGCGACCTCAGGCCAGTGGATGCCTATGCATGGGGCAGCTCCAGAATCTGAAAACCTGGACAACCAGCAAATAGACGGCCCTCGTATGGGAAGACAATTGCCAAGCTTCTCAAGCCGCCTTGCTCAGTGCTGAGATCCTGCGACTTTGCTGTCCACCAATGGCAAACTTAAGGTCAAATGCAGAACTTAGAAGTTAGAATTGGTGCGTATCGGTATGTACGGGATTGATCCTAGCCGTCCGCTACACGAACAAACAAAATCTAAGCCGTCGATGATCAATTTACAACTTGCCGATCATCTTGCTCGGACGTCGACGCAGTCGCCCGCGCGGCCGGCGCCGGGGCTGCTCGCGCCATTTTTCCTTCAGTTTTCCCATTTTCAAGCCCCTTCAGGCTTCAACAGGATCTGCAGCTTCTCAAAGCATTGAGTTGCTAGTTGCTCATACCGCCACCTTGCCTTGTGTTGCTTTTGCGGACGGGCGGAGTGCATGCAGTTCACAGGTCTGCGATCTGCTTGAATTTCTTTGCATCAAGTCAAATATCCGCTTGGGAAAAGTAGGGTGTGCACAGAGACAAACCCAAAGCTGTCAAATACTCTTGAATTCTGCACAAGGTGTTGGAGGCGCGCCAAATCAGGGCGCACCACTTGGAGCGCCATGGCCCCTTCCCGAGCTAGCCTCCTTCCTGGTTTGATGCTAGCTGCCATTTTGCTTACATCCAGCTTTACCACGATCTCAGCAGAGTTCAATCAAAGCGCTTCAGCATCCGTAACAAGATCAGTGATCCCGCCAAAAGGTAGCCCAGAATATTTAGCGATGTTCCGGACCGAGGTGCAGGAGTATAACAATCTGATTCTGAAGCCGCTGTTGCCAGAAAGTATTCGCAGCAAGATCTCTCATGAGTGGCAGATCTACGTGCGGAACTTGTTGTCGGGTCTAGCGCTTTACTATGTTACGGGGGGCCTGTGGTGCGTCTACGTGTATGGCATCATGGGCAAAAAGTTCTTCCCAAGTGGTGCGATCCCAAAGGTGGGCGATTGGTCAATCAGCTGATTCAGTTTGAGCTTTTCAAGAGCAAGAGGACTGACAGAGTGTACGGGGATTCGGTTGGTTTGAATGGATTGCACCACTTAGATCAAGCACGGCGCACTTCTGGTTCTCTTCCTGTGTTTTCCTCTTAGGTGGAATGTAGCGCCATCTGATTCATTGCAAGTTCGTCAGGTTCTCCTTGTGGGTTAGCGGGTCGATTCGGCAGGGGCAAACTGTGCTGCAAAATTCAAGAGTCGATGCCCTTGACAAGGAAGGTCCAAAGGTTTTTACGCCGCTCTGCCGTTTCAGATTCCTTCATTTCTTTGGCTGTCAGATACTTGGAATCCGGGAATCTGTCCCTTGAGACGTCTTGGTGTATACCACCTTGAGTGTGTGCTCGCGGTGGTGGGGTCTTTCAGAGCTGCATCAATGTTGTCCTTGTTCGTTGGAGCTTCCTTGCAGGCGGATGTCAAGTTGGAGCAAGTGGTAGTTTGACAAGTTGATGCCCCTCTTCATGTCCAAATTGGTCCGCAACCTCTGGAGACCGCTCGAAATTGTCCTGATTGGGTTCACTTTCCGCAGACTGAGGACTCGAGGAAGGACTTTGTCCTCAATCCAGTTCCCTTTTTGACGTCATCCGAACTTCTACAAAGCTGTCCGCACCCCTCCCGATTCTTGCAAAGTCTGTGCAGGCGAATGACTGTGGAAGCAGATTGCGGCTTCTGTCGTGCACATCCAAAGCTCTCTTCTGTCACCATCGATCTTGTATGTCGCGCAGGCCGATGACATGTGGAAGCAGATCGCGGTGTCTACCAGGGCGATGCCGCTGTACGTGTTGATGCCCACAGTGAGCGAGCTCATGATTGAGCGCGGCTGGACACGTTGCTACGCACGCGTTGAGGAGTATGGCTGGATAAACCACTTGCTTCTGGCCGCGACCTACATGGTAAGCGCAAGGAACGTGGCCTCAAACCATTCCAAGGTTCTGTCTGTACTATATTTGACCCGCTTCTGTGATAAGATGATCAGGAGCACGATTCGTTCTGGTCCTTCCCACCTTCCGGCCGTCTGCTTCGCGCAAGTTGAGGAGTATGGCTGGATCAACCACTGGCCACTGGTTGCAAGCCACAAGGTAAGTTAGTGTCCAGCGGACTTTGGTTTGATCCCCAGACCTTTTGATTGTTTTCACGCTCGCTGTTTGTTATGCTAGCCGTCTCAGGAGGGGCACAAGTGCGTAAAAACATTACTCTTAGCCCCCACGATTCTAGACTTGATTGCTGTGCAAGTCTTCTGCTTTTGCCGTTTCCCATTCTGGCGTCTCTGCTGTGCTCGTGGCCAGGTGCGTCAGTCACTCAGTGCTCGCTGCCGCATACATGGTGTGAACGTCCTCGACTCCTGCTTTGTTCACTTTGTGTCCTTCTAAGCACCGGCGACAAGGAAGTGCGACTGTGTGTGAAGTCAAAATAAGCGTTCCCCTACTCCGTTGCGATGAAGAATTACTGAGAAGCGCCGGGCGCTACAACCACAGCTATCCTCAGCTCTGGGACATGTGCTGTTATTCACGAGCCGGTCTCTTTTTACCACTGCGACCAAACCCGTCGAATAACCGCCCTATTCAAGTTACCGCAGACGGTGGTCGAGTCTGTCGTGTACTTGGCGCCCCAGATGGATCCTAAGTTGCACATGGACATCCTGGGTTGGCGACGCCAAGAATTTCAGACTAGAGCAGTTTCCCTTGCAAATGTCTGCTGAGGCTCTCGAGTTTTCCATTGCAGACGGTGGTCGAGTTTGGCGTGTACTGGATGCATCGTGGGCTACACGAGATCAAGTGGGCGTACAAGTTGCTGCACGCCACGCATCACATCTACAACAAGCAGAACACGCTCTCGCCCTTCGCCGGTAAGCGGCCTCGCAAAGCTTCTTCTCTTCTCTAGTTGCGTGACCTTCGGCAGTTGCTGTTCTCCTTCCGCTTCCTTTAAAACCTCGGCTCCTTTGCATCTATTCCTTCAAGCTTGGAGTGCTGCGATTACGAGATTCTGCGGTTGTTCACAGCTTGTCCAAGGCGACCTTGAAAGCCTACATGCTCGAGCGACAACCATACCGAAACCCAGCATCCTGAGTTCCTCGGTCGCGAGCTTGACATGCTGTAGGCGTCGCCACACATCCTTGCGAATCAAGGGTTCCAAGGTTTCCGGCAACCGTTCTTGGCCCGTTCTTGCCAATCTATATAATAAGACGTTGTAATACTTTGAAAGTGCTGAGCTCTTCGGAACCCGGAGCCGTCGGTTGCAGGCTTCACCTTCCACCTTGTTGAGAGGATATGCTACACATTCCGTACTCTCGAATCCCCTTCTGACAAGCCTGGCCACGTAAACAAAGCTTAAAACTCTGAATGCATTCTCTTTCCGCTGTCCTTCTGTCTAGTCTTCCTAGAACAGCTGAAACCCTGAAATCCCAAAGGTAAAACCTTGGGTTGCAGGTTCGGCGTTCCATAAGGTGGACGGCATTCTGCAGGCATACGTGTTTCCTGTGAGCAAGACCTCAGAAACCAATTAACCAAGTCAAAACCCGAGAACTTTCAAACCCCACGTATTCTGAATTTCCAGGCCTGGCGTTCCACCCGGTGGACAGCATGCTGCAGGCGTCGTCATACGGGTTTGCTATCGACAAGACCTCAAAAAGCTCATTTACAAAGCGAGTAACCCATAATTCTCAAACTCTCAAACCCTGGGTTACAGGCCTGTCGTTCCACCCGGTGGACGGCATGCTGCAGGCGTCGCCATGCGAGTATGCCATCAATAAGACCTCAAAAGGTCCATGAATAAAGCGAGGAACTTGAGATTTTCTAACCCTGGGTTACAGGCTTGGCGTTCCACCCGGTTGACGGGATGCTGCAGGCGTCGCCGTACGTGTTTGCGCTGTTCCTGGTGCCGATGCACTTCTTCACGCACGAGCTGCTGCTCTTCATGACTGCCGTCTGGACGACCAACATTCACGACTGCGTCGACGGCCAGGTTAGCGCTTACCTAACTTGAGTCTAGTTCCGGTTGTAAGAGCGGCTTCGTAACTGTAAGCTTGGCTCACTTTTGTTCAAATTAAGGGCTAACCCAGGTTGCTTAAGGGCTAAAACCTGGGTTTAGGACTCGGGACTAGGTTGTAAACATCGATTCGCCAACTCCTGTTTTCGTCTGTTGGGACCATCCATGACTGCATCGACGGTCAGGTCAGTTGCCCCTGGTTTGGCAGTATCTTGAAAGAGTCCAATCCCTTCCCAATCCAAGAGCAGAACCGGTTGTAGGACTTTGGATCGCAGAGTTAAAAGTGCGAGCAACTTGATTAAACACTTTGGCCAAAACTTATGTTTCTATTTCTATTGCTGTTAGTGTTAGTGTGAAGGTAGTTTCTGAAACCCATTCTTCCTAACGTCAGGTCTGGCCGGTGATGGGCGCGGGTTACCACACCATCCACCACACAACGTACAAGCACAACTACGGACACTACACGGTGTGGATGGACTGGATGTGCGGCACGCTACGGACGCCCCCCCGGAGTCCGGCAGCGTCCGAAAAGCTGGCGGGGGCGAAGAAAGAATAATTGGAGGGAAGACTGCTCCTGAGAGCCGCTCAGGAGGACACGTGGCAAGCATTGCCGATTATTTCATCAAGCTCTGTTCCACATTAAGGTCGGGGACGAGATGAGGGCGTTGTGATTGTTGGAGTTCAGAAACGATGCTTTGGTCGAGTCGGTACGGTCGGAACGCAGATGCTCTATGGATTGCAGAAGGACAAGGGTCGTAAGCGAGTTGCGAGCTTCTAGGCCACAGGATTGAGTCCACGTGTCAAAGCAGCGAGCACCATTGGTGTACTTTAGCATCGACTCATTTCTGTAGGTTTGGACAGTGACTAAGTTTGGTACTCTTAAGTTAATTGATGACCATCTTGCTTGGTGCGTCAGAGCAGCATTTGATCACGAATCAGCAGATATCTAGCGTTCAACCGGATCGCATGCGATATGTTAAGCACGCTACTGCAACACGACTATAGTGCATGGTACGTTTGTGAGGTTTCTGCGGAGTTGTTCGCAGCCTGCTGATCGAAGCCTATCCTCGAAGCTGGTCGGACTCGGACGGTGACGTCACCAGCAATGTGCTGTGAGGCGACGCCGCTGACAAAGCGCTGGCAGAATGTGACGATCCCTTCTGTAACCTTGGCTCCTTCGAAATAAAAGAAGCTTGGGTTCTAGCGTCGGCGTAGGAATCTAGCTCAAGGAGCTGCCGTGTCGTAGCGCGAGACTGAAGGGCCGCATGCAGGCCTTAGTAGGCATTGGGAATTCGTCGATTCGAAACCGGCCGCCGACATGATTGATCCTCTTCAATCTGGCCATAATGATTCTGTTCCTTTGAGACGTTCTTGCCCGGCGTTTTATCATGTTCTATACTAGAATTCCAACTTAAGCAAATCCCTCATCATTACCTCTAGATGCGCCGCTTCGTGTTGCCATGTTCTTCGAGAAGTTCCGCATCGGCCCCTTCGGTCCGTGGCAGCGCAGCGCGGCTAGAGCTCGACTTTCTCTGTAGGCTGTCAGCTACGTTCAGGAATGCATGGTTCCAACCGCTACCAATTATGGCATATACGAACCAGCCAATTATTCATCTACATTAATCAAGACTCCGAGACTGAAATATCATGCATTGAATCTATTGGGCGAATGCGTTCTTAATGCACCGCGTAACTGCAACATGGGTATATCAAGTGTACGTCGCCGTTGTATCTGCGTATCCCATGCAATATGAGTTGCAACATGTATGCATGGCGGTCTCCTTCGAAAGGTTCTTTCAGCTTCTGTTACATCATGCATGCAGTGCATGACTCATGACTCATGACTTATGACTCTCTGAAACCATGCAACTTGAAATATTTGCATCGAGCGCAAGACAAAGACAAACTCGTGTGAGGTATTAGTGCGCTACTGTAACTGATGAGCGACTCGAAAAAGCGTTTAGGACGGTAGCTGAGAGGATTATCCTAGGGAATCGTGTAAAAGGGTCAAAGTTTGGCTTCTCGAAGTATCTACAGTACTCTCCATTGCTATCTCCTCCCTACAGTAGTGTCTAGAGCTTTTGACGCTCGAACGCCTTCTTCACACCTTCCGTGCATCCATCTAGCCACGTTGTGAAATTTCGGTTCAGGAGCGGCCAGATCACCACCGACTCTGGGAGCCTTGTCAGACTTTCGCAGCCGCACAAGTCCAAATGGAGCATATGCTTCCAGGATCCAACAGAGGCTGGAAGGGCGGTCAAACTGCTGCAGGCCGCGGCTCTCAAATAAGAGATTTTTCGCCACTGACCTACGCACTCAGGCAAGGCCCTCAAGGATGCGCATCCACTCAAATCTACGCGGCTAACTTTCCCCCATTGGCCGACACTATTCGGGAGCGACTCCAACTTCGGACACCTTATCTCGAGCTCACTCAATCGCGTCCAGGCGCCTACCGATGCCGGCAGGCTCTGGAGGTTTGGCCCTGTCAGTTCCAGGCACTTCAGTTGTGTCCAACCTGTAACCGCTTTCTCAGGAAGTTGTTCTGCTCTCAAGGCTTTGATGTTTAGGTAGGTCAAGCTGGACCATCCCTGAGTGCTCTCAGGTACATCTTCCAGTCTCCCTAACTTGACTTGGGTTACCTTAACCCAAGCACCCACCTCCAACGGGAGAGCCATCCAACCCGAGATTGTGCTCAGATCAACAATCTCTAGCTGCTTCCATTCGCCTACTCCTGCAGGCAGCGTTGTCACAAGGTCACTACCAAAGATGGAGAGGCTTCTCAGATTTTTCCACCCCTTCACACCGGAAGGCAAGCCGCGGAATGAGCGGCAGCCTCCGATAGTCACCCTTTGGAGGAGGCCCCATTGACTCACGGCATCTGGGAGAGTTTCGAGCTCGCTGTTCGAGAGTGTGAGATTGACTAGTGCCCCCCAAAATCCCCCTTCTTGCAAGCCGATCGGTTCCATCACTGGAGCACAAGGGGCTTCCTTAAGCAGGCCTTTCATTTTCGGACTTTTGCCCAAGTAAACAGTCTTCAAAAATGTCCATTGTTTTACCCCTTCGGGCAAGTACTCAAGCTGACCGCAACCGTAAGTGCTGAACCTTTTGAGCCCAGTCCAAAAGCCTACGCTCCTGGGGAGACCTTCGAGGGCTTCGCAGTCGCATACTTCAACTTTCTGCACCCCTCGCCATCCACCGACCCCCTCAGATAGGCTGCGCAAGCTCGCGCAGGAGGTCAGCTTCAAGCTGCGCAGTCGCTTCCAGCCCTCCACTTGCACGGGGAACGCCCCTAGTCTGTCGCAGGAGAGCAACTTTACCTTCCGCAATGAAGTCCACAGCCCCACCGAAGGTGGGAGGGAGAGCAGGCCAACGTGGTCCAGCACCAACACTTGCAAGTTGCGCCACGCTCCTATTTCTGTCGGGAGGGCTTCGAGACGGGGGCAATATGTGAGGGACAGCTCGCGCAGCTTGGCCCATGCGCCGATTCCCGGTGGCAGTGAGGCGAAAGAGGGTGCTCCACGCAGGCTCAGGACTTCTAGTTGGTTCCAGGCACCTACGAAAGGAGGGAAGCGCTGCAATCTAGGGGAGACGCGATTGCCAATGGCCTTGCTCAGTTGCAATACCCTTAAACCCTTCCACATGGCAGCCGAGTCTGGCAGCTCCTCTGCAGTAAACCTGTCCACCTTCAGAAGCTGCAGGCTGGTCCATTGACTACTAGTCGGCGGAAGGCGCGGCAATAGTACACAATCAGGCTCTTCAGGTGGATCCATCTCCGGGTTTCGGACATGCTCTCGGGAACAAACGCATTCCCGAGATGAAGGCTCTCCAGCCAGTCCCAATGGGAGATGGTTGTTGGGATCAGCCTCGGATGCTGGAGTGCAGGGAAGTGATTGCCAAACGTAAGATGCTTGATATGGACGGATGTCTGATCGACAGAGCGTATCACTCTCTCAATTACTTCTGGTACGTCAGAGATCCTTGTTGTGGACTCGTCCTCATCGTGCACGTGTTGCGCAACCAGGTGAAGGGCATGGACGTGAGGGAAAAAGGTCAACAATCTCGTGACATGTTTCTCTGCATCTCCTCCGTGACGAAGGCAGTTGATCTCCACACACTTCGCTGCCTCTCTCCCAATAGAGCGCCACTCTTTGCACGCGCGCACGAAGGTCTCCAAACGGCTGTACTTGCGGTTATGGACAGGCTCATCTAAAAGTAGGCTTCCTATGTGAGCAAGGACCTCACTCGGCAGAGCAGCGACCATGCGGGGCGCTGCGCGGTGCTCGCAAGCCATTCTAATTTTAGGAAGGCGCTGAATCACTCCTTTGCTCAAGAAATAATGCCCAGGTGAACAAAGACAGGATCCTTATGCAGAGTCCTCCGCCGCGGCCGCGGGACCGCGGTCAGATTCTGATCGGACGTGACGTGAAGGCGGCAGTCACGTGACTGTGTTGTCCAGGCTTCAGGCTTGGTACTGTTGGCGATGGTACCAGGCTGTGCGCGCGTGCGAGCACCTTGTGTACATATGCGCAAGAGCTAATTGATCAGCTATAGTTGCCGTGCAGTAGCGCTTGGCCAGCGCTTGCGACGCGCGAGCTGGGGCGGCGCGCGGCTACAATGCAGGGTCTTCCCCCGGTTTCTTGAGCGCCGTCGGATGAGCGCCAGACTTTCGTGCACCGTCGATCCGAGATGCCATTAGTGCAGTCACCGAGTGCCCGGTTGGCCCTCAACTGGCCCGGCCGGCAGCTCACCGCGCGCGCGGCGGCAGCCTGGCGGCCGCGCTTGACCGTGCACATGGTAAATGGGCAAACGGCCTCATGTGTGACGAAATAAACGCCCGTCTCCGCAATAGAATGACATACACTTCCGCCGCCGCCGCCGGCAGTGCACAATGAACATCAGCCGTATTCACCGGCACCCTGCGGAGACTCTCCTACTACATCATGCTCATGCTTCCATACTTGGTGAGTGGCCATGAACAAGGAGATGCAACATGCACGAAGGCGCCGTGCCCTCTCAATTTCTCTTCCTTAGGTCAATTGAAAATTAGAGTTCAGTCATGTTTGGGTTCACGAAGTATACTCTACTCTCTGGACGGGATTGCCGCCGACCTGTTGAGGTTACGTGCACGACCGTCGACGCCTAGAGGGTTTGCAAGGTTTACCGAAGAGGGGCGGCCGCGCCCAAGCGCGCGTATGCGATTCTTTCGCGGCGAAGCCATTTCATTTCGTCACACATGCAATCTGGCATGCCTGGCTGCATTCCATGACTTGAGCTAGGAAGGTAATAGCACCTTAAGTAGGGCCAGATCTTTTCAATTGCACGCACTATTGAATCCGTCGTAAGTCGAATCAAACCGTCTAGACAAACGGTCATGTACCGCGTAATATGGAGCTTGGGGTCAGACTTATGCGAGCTGTTTAAGATTTGGAAAGCCGGCCGGGCCGTATGGAGAAACATATTATTACTTGCACGCCGCCGAGTCGACTCTAATTTTCCATTGCGTATAATTAAAGCGTCTCAGCAGTGCAGTTCGGAAGGAAAAATGCGTCTGATCGCTCGCCGACGGCCATTTGAATGTAAAGTTGGAATCCCATGCTTGAGATGCGGCATAACTTGATGGGCCATCTATGATCGACGTCACCACTAACGATTGAAAAGTCATGTGTGCTCTTATTGAAACGGTTGGGTTTTCCATTCTGCCTTTCCTGAAGACAGTGCATTTCTCAACCCTGCGAGCCTCTTTCACATCCTGTCTGTATATACCCACCAATTCAAACCCACGGTCTCTTGCAATTGAGATCCTGTACAATCCTCTACCTAATCAACTCCGCTTTACAGTGCGCGCAATACAATCGCCTAAGCCCCTCTCGCTTTCTCATCTGAGAAACGCCTTATCGCTGTCGATCGAACTTCCGAGGTAGCCGCCCGCATCTTCCATCACGAACAGCCCATCGTCGCTCCCACGCGGCGACATTACGTCGCTAGTTGGCGAGAGCAGGTCGCCCTCTGAGCTGGCGTTGGACACCCGGTGGAAAGTCGTTTCGGCGACTGGAAGGGCTTCGGTGAAGGGCAGCCGGTCGCCGGTGGAGTACACGTACAGGGTCGGGATGGCTGCCGTGTTGAAGCCGTTGAACGCAGAGCCTGCGCAAAACGATCACAGCACGAGTCAATAAGGGCAGTTGGGATCTGAAAGGCGTGCTTTCTACAGATCGATGTTCCACTTGTTAGCCTGTATAAGGGCACGCCCAGTCGTTTTACTTCCTAAAACGGACTGCTCCCGTTTTTTGTAGCTCTTTGTTCTCTTTCGAGCGCAAGGAAGTTCTGATGCAACGACCAGGATCTTTCGATCCGAGTAGTAGCAGTCAGGTTAGCACTTCTGTGGACTGACTGCCTCAACTCAAATCGGTTTTTCAAAACGACTTACGATCGTTTTGAATATCATACGAAATGTGTCAAGGACGGAGGCAAAGCGCGTATCAGAAACAAACCAAGGGGCTTGATTCTGGAACGGTGAACTGGCTCTTAATAACGAGATGACTGCAGGATTTTCAACGAGTGCATTCTCACCGGCTGTCTGCGTGTAGGCCCCCATGTTTGACCAGACGAGCCAGTCCCCGACCTGCAGCCGGGGCAGCGGGTAGTCGCGGAGAATCGTGTCGAGACCGTCGCAAGTGGGACCAAAAACGGTGGACCTGCCGAGAGAAGAAGACAAAACTTGGCTTAGGGATGTTGTTCTGAGCACTATAACTTGATGACCCCTTTCTGGTCGTTTGTGTCGGATGTAGCGCTGGGCCCTTAGGTGTGTGGCTCTGGCGCTCCGTTGCGAGAGACGTTCCATTACGAGAAAGGGAGATGAAGTTCAGCAGAAGGCGCTTCTCGGTTCAAAGGAGCAATGAGATTGATTCTGCTCTACATAAATAACATACGTGCTGTTTGGGTTGCTTCTTCTCATCTTCGGAAGGACGCGACTCTTGCACGCAACTGCGTAGACTCCCATACGCATGCTCCTTTCCCTCGGGCTTAAACGCACGCAGACGAGCAGCGGAAGAACGTTGAATAGAACACTTCAGGACAAGAAAAGCGAAACAAAAAGGAAGGTTCTTAAGTAGAGGAAGTACGCGCCTTCACTCGTAACACTTGTGAAAGTTGGTCCGTTCTTCGCAGCCGAAAACCAGACGGAAAGGGAAAAGGCCCTCACCCTAACCTCTTTTCCCCGGGCTCCCCCCCCGCAGCGGCCGGAAGTCCAGCGTGGTACAGGAGATCAAAAGGCAACCGGAACGGAAAGCATGTCGGTGGAAAACACACTCACCCGTACGTCCGCTCCCCGGGCTCCGCGTCCCGCAGCGGCCGGACGTCCAGCGTGGCGTGGTCGTACAGGACGCAGTTCATGCTGCCGTACATGCCGTCGTTCGTCCAGTACTCCTGCGTCCCCTCGGCGCCCTCGCGGCCGCGGTGCCCGAAGACGCACGTGGCCAGGCTGCCCGGCGCTTCCGCGAAGTAGCGCCCGGGTTCCGCGATGATGGACACCCCGCAGCCGGGCGGGAAGTGCGCGTCGAGAGCGGCGTTGATCGCGGCCGCGGCGCGGGCGAAGGGGAGGCGGCCGCGCACGGAGAAGCCGCCGCCGATGTCGAGGATGGTCATGGGCGGCAGGCCCAGGGTTTGGGACAGGTCGAAGATGCGGCGCGCGGCGCAGATCGCGTCGGCGTGCGCGCGAGCGCCCCCAGCGCCGCTGCCCACGTGGAACGAGATGCCTGCAATCAGGAGGACGATTGTTGATGATGTACTTTGGTGCTGAGTAGAGTGCCAGAATAAGAGGTGCAACTGTCAATCGTTTACTCACAAACATCTCGTCGAGACAGGATAAACGAGGCTGCTGTTCGGTTTCTTCGGAAGGGGTTTGTCTCTGGCTGAAGCAGCTCGCGGAATACAATCAACTAAGGTGGATAAATTGCAAGCAGCTGGTGGGTTGCAATCGGCGACATGAGCGACCGCCATCGAATCGAGTCCTGGAAGCACGAAGTGACCGCATTACGTGCTGAACCAAGGGCACGCTCAACCGAATCAAAGCAGCAAAGTAGAGCGGCAGCTGTTCTCTGTCGATTCTGGTAGGATTATTTCGGGAAGTCGACTCCGAGACGAAGCTGTCAGCAGCCAGGATTTACAGTTGCCCCTTAGAATGAAGCAGATTTTGCCATACGCAACGACTCGAAGACAGCCATAGTTGGCCTCTTAGGGGTCGCCAACTCTGGCCGATGCCTCGAACTTGTTTCCTATTGTGCCCGAAGGTCTATTCCAGCCACGTACCGGCCACATGGATCCCCAGCGCGCGCGCAGTCGTCAGCAGCTGCGGCACGTCCTCGACGAGCGCGCCGTACTTGACGCCAAGCGGGCACTGCGCCTCGGGGTCGTCCGCGCGGATCCGTAACAAAACCCGGGTTTGCGGGTGCAACTCCTTCAATTTGTGGAGCTCGCCCTCGCTGTCGAAGGTGGTTAGGTTAACCCCGGTCTCGGCCGCGTGCCGGATGTGCCCGGGCATCTTGCACGGGTTGGCGAAGAGGAGGGAGCTGGTCGGGACGCCCACCTGGCGCAGCATCTCGATCTCGGCCTTGCTGGCGACGTCGAATCCTGGAAAGAAGGGGTTAGGAGCCTGGTTAGGAGTGTTTGCTAGCTGGGATCTTCGAACCGAATGGAGATTACGATCAGAATATCAGAGACGTTTCGAAGTGTTCTGATTGATTTCTGACTTAGAAGATTTGAGCCCTCTTGATTCGGACTAAAAGTTGGAAACAGATTCCGGGAAGAAGCGTTCAGATTACTTTGCAGATGCTTGCAAAATGAAAACCGTTGCAGACCTCATTTCGAGGAGAATTCCGTGGCAAAGAGACGGACAGAATCTTGCTTTTGATTTCAGCATTCGGCTAGCTAAGTCTAGGGGAAGTCTGTGAGGGCGTTCATTGCATACGCATGTTGGACGCAGTCTCAGCAATCGAAGTTCTGGCTCTGAATACTCATGATCTGTAGGAAACTTCAAACGGAAAGGGAGCACCTTATTGGAATTCCGACGTGAAATATTGTCCAGATTGAGGGGATATTTTACAAATGAACAACCCTTGCATAGATTCTCTGCAGCATCAGAGACCGCAGCATACAAAAGTATGGGAACTTCGTTCCTATAGCCCTAACCCTTGAACAAACTCAGGAAGGAATGCAGTTGGTCTAGCTTTAAAGACAGATTTTCGAAGCCTTCACGCCAATCAAGCTAACCAGGCAAAACCCCAAGAAGTGTGATCGAGATCGTGAAGTTTCTCCTTGTAACAATCACTGCTGATGACTCCGAACAATTTAGCGCAGACCGCTGGAATCCATTGCAAACATGAACCATATCATCTGGATGAAAGAACGTCTAGCAGGGGGTGCTCAACGGTGCTTCCTTCTGAAAACCTGCTGAACAAAGAAGAGGACAATTCTATGCTCACCTGCACCAAGTGCTGCCAAGACTGAAAGCAAACCCGGATCCGGGTTGCACTTGACCGCGTAGAAGGGATCCACCCTCGGCATCGCCTCCTTCCACGCCTTGAACAACCGCACCACGAGACCCATGTCAAAGACGTAGAACGGATCCTCCTCGGTGCGCACCGCCACTACCTTCCGCATGAAAGCAGCGATGTCGTTTTCACTCCCCTCGCCCACGGACCTCGCGCCAAACGCGGCCACTACCGTGGAGACACGTGGATCCTCCAGGCCTGCCTGCCAGGGGGGCGCCGCGGGGGAGGTTTTGCAGGTGAGCTTGCCCCCCTGGAAGAGAGGCAGTGGCGCCTCCTTGAGGAGCTCTTCGAATCCCGTCATGGTACCCGGGAGGAAGGCGACTTCCGGATGGGAGGAGATGATCTGAAAGGGTAACAGGCTTTCCCACGTGCTCTTGGCAGTTTCTTTTGCTGACTGCTTGCTCGCAACCCCCTTCCCAGACTTGCCCTTCGGCGCCTTGCTCGCCTTCTTCACAGTCTCAACCTTTTTCACACTCTCGACCGCCTTCTTCCCAGCAACGACGACCCTAGGAACACCTTTGTTCACCACTGCAGGGCAGCCCTGACCAGGGACGCAGACCCGCTGTCCGGAGAAGTGTGAAAACCCTCCCTGCCTGCCGAGCGCTGCCCCGAGAGGGCGCGCGCCAAGGCCCGACGCAGGGAATTCACACCTCTTGAACTTGACCCTGCGCGCGCTGCCGTGGCAGCCGCCCGTGAGGGCTGTGGAACCGGCGGCCTTACGAGCTTGCGAGATCATTCTCCGAAGAAGGAGAAGCAGGCCTCATCCCTTGGGGCAGCAGGGAGGCGGTCAGGGCGCGATCAGTAAAGGACTTTGGGAGGAAGGGAGCAATGCTGTGTGCTACTAATGAGAGCAATGCTGTGTGCTGCTAATGAGAGAAGTACAACAGGAAGAGCCACTTATGAAGCAGTATAAGCTTTAGGGAGAGAGGGGGCAATGCTGGAGTCTGCTTAAGAGAGGCGCTGAAGAGGACAAGCCTCGTAAGAGCAGAATGAGGAATACTACTGTTGCAGACTGCCAGGTCTCCAGCTGTCACCAGATTTCTAAATCCTGTCGAAAGCCATAGGCTAGATCATAGTCAATCATTTCGTGCAGTATCAGCCGACCACTGGGTTGCGTTCCTGGCTCTGAAGCCACGCTCAGCTCATGCTTCCCAGCGGATCGGACCGTTGGGCAGCTTGAATCGAGATTTGGTGTGTGTGGCAAAATGATCGAGCCGAGCTGTTGTACTGCAGTGACTACAGTAGTGGCGATGTGGGCAGCTCCAATCTAGGTATACTAGAGCATGCACGGCTTGGCGGCTCAGTGTGAATCTCATACCTAGTACAAAACACGTCTATATGAAGTCACCTTGTACTCTAAGTGGATAGATGCTGAAATGCTGTGTAAAGTCAGGGCTACACGTACCGGTAATTCTCTGCTCAACGTACTGGCTTACACAATTATCTTTCCGGCTTGCTGCCTGAGCGCCACTTAGCGCGACTTCATGTGAAGCAACATGTGGACGCGCGCACAAGCTACCACTCGTGCATTCGCAGCCGTCAGAGGTCTTCCCGAGAATATCCGACGGTCAGTAGAAGTCTGGGTTAATCAGAAGTAGTTAGAGAAAGCAAACCACGGGTTTGGGTTCTTTCACACCTTCCACGCTTCGTTTCGAACTCTGGCTCGCTCAAATGACGCGGAGCAGTGTGAAAACTCCTGATACCTCCTTATGACGATATCCGCTAGGCTCAGCTAGAACTTGAAGAGGAGATCTGGAAAATGGAATGCAGAAGACGACGTACTGGCACAAAATTCTTCAAAAGAGCCGTAGAATGGCTGCCTTCTGGCAGTGGAAAGTCGCTGAAGAGCTGGAGTTTCCAGCTGAGTGCATAGTGTTTGAGGACGGTGACGTCCCTGAGGTGAGAGATATTTCATTCTTTCGGGCTGCTTTTCTAGCAGATGACTTTGTTCAGGACAGTTGTGGTAATCCTGCACTAGCAAGCGGTCCCAGAGTGTCGTTCTAATCTCGTTGCCAGCATCTTGATTCACAAGATTTGGCTTTCTTCTGGTCCGTTGATCAGGAGCAAGTGTTCCTGCATCTTATGAGGCTGTCGAATCTGGAAGAGGATTCACACAACCATACACATTGGCCATATAACACTGTCATAATTCTACCTTGGAATCGACAGAATCTAGTCAGTTTCTTTGTTGCTACCTATATGCAAAGAGCAGTGCCCCTTTTCATACCTTTCCACTGTGAATTAACACCACCACTCTGCTTCATGCATTGTTTTGTAAGAAAAGTATACTGTGTAAATCAAATTTGATCCTTGGATGCCTCAGCGATGCACTGGATTTGAGAGAATCTCTTTCTTTTTAAGTGTGGGCCTCAGCATTTGTCAAGGACCCAGGAACTTTTGGTCATGCGATCAAGCAAAGGCATGGCAGCCATCTGAGTATCAGCCGCGAACAATGAGCGGTGTGATCCTCACCATGCAAACTTAATTGGAGTATGCCCTCCTCTTTGCAGACCGCCACGGCTGATTCTGCAACACTGGCCGACAATCAGATTCTGGGGAGCGAAGTTGCTGGTCTGGGCCGATCAACACAGCAGTCTGGTGCCGGCCACCTTCAAACAGTCCCCGAGATGGAGAGAGAGGACAGTGCAGAGTCTGTAGGGACCAAGAGCAGCGGACTTGGGGCGATAGCAAGCGCTGGTCCTGGCATCTTTGACTCGGAGGACTCTGTGAATCTGATGAATGGTGGTCGAGCGTCAAGAGCACAGTTGAAAGAGCCAGTCTCCAGAAGTCAAGGGCAAGCCAACGGATCAAAAAGTCGCACTTGGGATGAAGACGCCATCCAAACAACGAAGCAACACGGCAGCTCTGGCGATCAGGGTGGACGCGGCTATGATGTCAGCAACGAGCATGGAGCAGAGGCGCACAGGCCGAATGGAGATGCCAGCACAAGCAAGCAGCAGAAGGGCCTGCGGTTTGTAGGGGAGGCTGCGAAGAGCAGGCCCGCGTATAAGTACCTGGTTGATGTGAAAGTACATCATAAGAGTGGACCGCAGGCCGAGAATGGACACAGGCATCCCGACGCGCAGTCTTCGGACGAGGACTCGTCGGACACGGGGTCGAATGCCGTCCCTCTCCTGAGAAGGTCCGAAGAGAGCTCGAACCGACCACGGGAGTCGCCGACGTCCCCACTGATGCTTGAAAGCCTAAGTGTCCAATCAACAGAGGTCGTTGTTCAGAGCGTAGTCCAAACGGGGGGTCCAAACAGGTCGGAGGACGCAAGCGCGAGTCTCGAGGGGTGGCGACTGGAACCCTCAAGAGAAGCGGCGGCAGGGCTAGGGGGGAGGGAGAATGGCGATGTCAGCGACTTCGGGGCGGAAGCAAGGCCGGAGGAGAGCAACTCGGAGAGCGTTCTGAGCCCGTTCCGGGAGGAGAGCACGACCACAGTGGTTCTGAACTCCACGGGGACTTCGACTCTGATGACCGGAGAGACTTCTGCGGCACAGATGGATGGCCGAGGGAGAGAGGCTGCCGCTGCTGCGGAGCCTTCGGTCAGAGAAGAAGCAGCGGGGTCGTCATGCAAACCCGGCACAAACCCGCCTTTAAACCCCCCTCACAGACACAGTAACTTAGCAGCACAACCAGTGACGTCGTCCGGTCAGTCCTCAGCCAACACCGCTGTCCGTGGAACCGAACCCCCGCTGCGGGACGAGGGGGAAGCGTCCGCTTCCAAGGCCGGCAGCCACTTGAGCGCCCTGGAAGAGTACCTGGCGAGAAGCGAGGAGTGTGAAGAGGCCCCGGAAGCTCTGTCAGCGGTCGAGGCTGCCACCGCGATGCGCGAGGCCGTCCGGAGGATGCGCGAGGACGCGGCGCTGCTGGCGCTGCGGCTGTCCGCGCTGTACGCATCGGACGCGAGCAATCTGAGGCAGACCGCACAGAGCATGGTGCAGCACGTGGTGGGGGCGCAGGCGGAGGTCCAGGTGAGAACATGAAAGTTTTGGGGTTGGAAGACCGAGGGTCCCGGCGGTATTGTTCGACTTTCCTAGGATGTTGTGCACAGCGCAGGCTGACCATCAACCGAAGTTTGGGGGTCCGAGCGTTTTGAGACATTATGACGACTTCTGTCCACTTCTTCAGAAATGGAGACAATGTGGTGGTTGAACTCCGTGTGGATCGCTCAGGAGTCCAATGTGGGGTTCAGTAACTTGAGGAGACGATGCTTAGAAGCAGGTTACAGTCTGAGGGGTAGTTTCGATGAAAGTTTCTGAGTTGGAAAATGAAAGGACCATAAGCTTCTTGACAAGCCGACTGGGTTGATTTGCGTTCAGTCTGCATCGTGGACTGTTTCCTTATCCTTCAGATCTGGCACCTCTTCCGGGTCCCGAGCCAAGCATGCTGAAGTGCAAAAAGGGTTAAGCAGTGGATGCTCCGGGATTGCCGTGCTTGCTGTTATAACAGTCCTGGCTGCCAAAGGAACGCAGTGATGTCGGCAGAGCTTTCTGTTCCCACAGCCAGACGCAGGTCTGCTGCATCGATCCAAGAATACCGGGCGCTCTGTTGCTATCCTCTTCAGTGACCTCGGTCTTTTACATGCATGCAGAGATCCTTTAATCATTCCCTGAAAACAGCAGAGGAAACAGGGTCAAGCGCCTCTGCTTAAGGAGACAGGCTTACTCCTTATTGTCCCACTACCTTCCAAAGAAAAAACTTCAGATGCCAGCGAGCACCACGGTGTAGCGATGCTTTCTCAAAGACACCTTCAACCAACTTCCTTAAAGGCATCTTCTGGACCAAAATTAGCGCCTTCCTTGTCCCGCAGGAAATGCGTTCCGGCTTGGTAGCGATCGAGTCGCAGCGCTTGAGCGTCCGGAACCTCCTCTCGGACGGGCTGCTGTCCGCCCTCGTCTTTGCCGTTCTGTCCGAATGGCCGAGGTTTCAAGCGTCCGTCATCCACTGGCTAGGAGGTCTGCGCAGCCCTGGTAAGTCACGTTGCTCAAGAAGTGAGGCGCTGTCTGTTTTACTGAATCCATGTCGAACATCGGTGTCGCCAAGAGGTGTGATTCTATTGCCTTGTTCCAAGAGACGGCGTAGATCGTGAAGAGTTTTGGGAAGGGAGTGTGAACCACGAAAATTTGTAAGAGGAGATGCGGCATCGAAGAGGGACTTCGAAGGAGGATTCGGAGCTACGCTTTCCCCACGGAACCGGATTTGGCCGCTGGCGTTCTCTTTCAAACCATGCACCGGCCTTCAAAGGCCCAGCCAAAGACCTCCGCTTCGAGTGGACGATTGATAGCCCTTCCACCGACTGAAAGAACTCGTTTCCCGCAGGCGTTTCTCTTTCATGGCCCTGGAGAAGTAAACCGAACTTGGTCCACCCGCTGCCTCCCCGCCTCCCTCCCAAGAGATGGCCCTGGAGCTGGTCTCTGCTCGTCGCTGTCGCCTTCTTTGGGTATAAGCGCTTGGTCACCTCTTTGCGTCAGGTGAGAGCTTCGGCTACTGGCTTTAGATCCGAGTGATTTTGTCTCTGCGTCATGGTGCAAAGCTCATTCTTGAGATTGTGGGATGAAATTTGCCAGTCGGCTTCGTTGGTGGAATTGACAGGCTGATTGTATGTCGAATTTGAAATACAATCTCTGCGCTCCTCTTTTGAAGTATTTCTCTTGAAGGGCGAGCTTTCAGTTGCGTTGCTTTCTTGTGCGGAGAATTTGTTTCCGAAGAATGTGAACGAAACGGACCCGCAATGGGTTGCAAACACGGAAATCTTTTGCAAGACAGACACAGGTCAGGGCTTCGGATCTGGAGCGTCCGACTGATAATCAATCTCACGTCGTGTCTTTCTTCATGCATCTCCAGGAACAAGCAAGGCGCGCAATGGTGAGGAGTCTTCTTGGCAAGTGGACCCAGATTGCAGAGCGTTTGGTAATCATGGGTGCGATAGCGGAAAGAGGCTTGGCCAGGACTGAGGTCGCAGGGGAAGAAGCAACAAGACCGTGACGTGGAGATTGAAGGTTCTGATCTCGTGGGCTCACTCTGCGTTTGCGCTCAGTCCGGAAGCATGAGGTTTGCTGGCCCACAAGAGCGCTGTGGTACCTTTGCGATGAAGGTGCATCGCGGAACGATAACCGCACTGACAGGGGAATCATACACTGTTGAAAACTTACTGTGCATCGAACAGAGTTGCCTTTGTGGCTGCCCAATGAATGCTAGTAGCATGGCGGCCAAACATAAGCCTGTTCGTTAACATTTTGCCCTAGTGAAGTCAACTATTGGCTCAATTGCAGAGGAACTTACATGAAGGATGACGTATGGTTGTTTGATCGACGCGTAAGTGAACGTGAGCCTCGGAGCGCGAGCTCTGCGAGCTGTTGTTGCCCACATGCATTGGACTCAGGTCACGACTCCGAATTTTCAATTTCAAAAATGATCCCGAACCTACAGTAGTCCTCGCATGTGCCACTTACGGCGGAGCTTGACTCCAACCATACCGTACAATACCACAGCTAATAATTGAACCTACAGTAGCTAGTGTAAACGATCGTGTTGCCAGCATTGTGCACTACTAACAGTAATGTCCGACCTGCCGCGCCATCTGGCGGCCCTCTGCATGCATGCCAGCCAGCGCTAAGCCCGTCTGGTCGCCCTATAGGCTTACTGGCATGCGCCCCGGGGCCTGTGCATCATTCTTGAGTGAGCGAATGATCCCAAGCGCTCTCGACTCAGTCTTATAAATACTTGTTTGTTGATGCATGATTGGTCGCCCGCCGGCTCACGCCGGAGCATTGCAGGCGAAACTTACCGTTGTGGTGCGCGTGTGCACAATTCCGAACTGAGCAGTGACAGCTTCTGATGATGTATGGGGCGAGCTTGCGCGCTGGGTACACCGTGACTGAGTCATGCATGAGATAAGTAGTAAGTCTATTGCGGACCACGACGTATAAAACTTCTGGAGTTGATCTCGTGCCAGCAGACGTAGCAATCAAGACAAAGTGTCGGTCCACGATCTGCAGTTTAAGCAGCCGTTAAAACGGCCGGGCACATCATCACTTGCCAGCTAACTTAGTTGCCCAGTATCTCTTTGCTAATCTAATATTTTTGAGCGGAGCCGCACTCTCTGCCGCAACGTCCATCACTCAGGCAACACGAAAATTACCACTAATTATGCAAAAGTGAGACTCTTATAAGCATAAGCGCACGCGGATGATTTCCATGTGATTTGTAGCAGGCAAGTACGTCATGCTAAGCAGACCAAAATTCATGCGAGGCACGCCAATCACGCCAAGCCTCTAGCAGGCAAACAGTAACTCTTGGCAACCTTGTCCATTGCATCCATCCTTTTCAGGAACCACAAATTCATGTGGAATCTGACTTCAAAAACTTGCGAGCAAAGGAGTACGATTGTCGAAAGTCTATCCCAAATTTCGCTGCGTTATGACGGTTGTATTAAGAGAACCAATTCATTCATCCCACTCACTCGTTCCATCAAACTGCTCTTAGATGAACGGATGAATCAGTTGCTAACGAACTCGAACGGTTTCATGGACCCATCTTGGACCGTCCGACGTCGATCGGCGCGAAGAAGCAAGTATTCTTGATAGATTTACACTGTGAACGTCCAAGCTCGCTTATCATCGCAGTCAAGCACCATGCTCAAAGAGAAGCTCGAACGACGTAATTTGAACGGAACGGCTCCGTTTGCAAAACTCAACTTCCCTGTGAACTCGAATTCATCGATTGGCGCACTTTCGCCACCTTCTTCATCTTTAAGTTGTATGCGATAACCACACCATGTTATATTCGACGAATATGGCACGCCGGTGACACTCCCGGGAAAACAAAGATCCGCAAATATCTTGTTGAATCCCTGTGAAAAATCCACAAGTGCGAGCTGCGTATACGTCTTTCAAAGTTTGCCCAATCTCTTGCAACGCGTACACCGGTTGGAGCAAAACTTGGATCTCTTTGTCGACTGTCATCCCCGGTTTTTCTTCCGGGCTGTAGGTCCCGTACGCAATCAACACTTCACTCAGCCTTACAAAGATAACAACCCAAGCTCCGGAGTGAAGGTGCCAGTGCTGATGAGTCGATTTTGAGGCTGTCTCTGGTGCCTGGAAACGTCTCCAAACTAGGGTTTGCATGGGGGTTTTGTTCGGCTCCTTTACCAACCTGGTTCACCCACTGAGCTTCCAGAATGCGCTTGTACCCGCCCATGGCTTCTACTTCAGCCTCTAGACGCAATTCCTCTTCCGTCAAAGGGATTGTGAAGACTCCAAATGCGGTGCTCCTTTGCAGACCCGTGAAGCGCCTATTTCCACAATACAGGGTTTTCTTCCGCTGTCACCTCCGCTGAACACGACACGACGGCCCGCAGAAGCGAGAGGGGATCTTGGACGGCCAGCTTTTGGAGAATCCCAACAAGAGCATCCGCAGGAAGATCATCCATAGCTCATCAAAGGTATGTGACCTCCAGCTGTTCCAAGGACTAGGCTTTTTACCTGAGGCGAGGACCTTTCTTAAGTGTCGGAGGACCAAAAAGGGCGGCTTTTTCCTTTTCCTTCCTAAACATGTACATTCATTCATTCCGGCGCGGCTTCGGCGTCCAGCGCGGCCGCTTTCACAGGGAGCGCTCATCGTCGGCAGTAGGCGCGCTTGCGCGGCGGCGCGTCCTGCTCCGACGCAGGCGAGCGCGATAGCGCGGCCGCCGTTCCGTCGCCGGGGGTGGGAGCCTAGTCGCGGTACGCGCGCACCCTCGCGGCGAACCTCGACAGCTCGAGTTTTGGACAAAGAACGCCTTCCGAGATCAACGTACAGCGGTTTTCCCCATACAGACCAGCTGTCTACTTTAAGGAAAGCGCGGCAGCGCTCGGAATCAATCTTTGGTATCATGATACTGATCAGTTCGCGAAGTACATGGCTTTCAGCTTGAAATTGAGACGGTTCAGACCTATCAGGATTCAGCCCTAGGGGAGGCGAACATAAGTAGAAGCTTTCTTTGAGAGAGAAAAATCAGTGCATCTTCTATCAGGCTCCTTCAGGAGACGACAGATTTGCGCCGGGCGTGTGCTCGTCATATTGCAGCTCCACCCCGGAAAGAAGGGTAGTCAGCAGAATGCCAAACTTGTACATGTGCGAAACCGATTGCTCGCTTGTCAAGGCCTACGAAAGCAAGACGACACAAGGAGTGCATGAATTTGGTTCCGATGCCAACCGGAAGAGTCACACGAGTGAATTAGGGGTTGATGACAGGAACGAATGTAGTATCACGTATGTCCCTTATCAAAGCAAAGGGTCGACGTACGTACGTTATATACGCACTCCGCACAGCATGGGCGCGAAGTCAACCGAAGAAGTCCTCACAGTAAGTGGCCCTCACCTGACTAAACTGCTTTGACTTCAGACGTAGAAAGTGAACTACTTCGTTTTGTCTCGTGCCAGCATTTGATGAGTCTGAATGTCATTCGCTTGCTGCTCAGCGATTTGCAATAGTACATGCCAGTCAGCCTTCCAACCTCTGAGGTTTCAGAGGCTTGCACACTGACTGTAGCGCGCGAGTATGTACCGAGCCGCGGGCTTTTGCTTATAATCAAGGAAGCAGATCTGGTTTAGTATCTGAGGAAAAGGGTCTCCGTCATGAGACGCGTAACGGACTTGCTGACTGGACCAAGTCCTCGGGGACTGCCCAGATTTGCTCATCGCTTAGAGGCTTACAGAGACTTTTGCCAGCGTCGTCCGTGGCACATTTGAAATCCATATCAACAGCAACTTTGAAATCGAAATGGAAGCATCCGAGTACAAACTCTGAATGGCACTCTTACTGCGTCACGTTCGGTGGGATCGACAGAGCAGAAGTCCTTCCACACTCCTTCCATATGCACTGTTTCGAATCCTTTTTGAATATGGTACCAATACCGGTGCTGCCAATAAAACATTTGAACTGCAGACGGTCAGAATTCTGAAAACCTCAACTAGTTGTCAGCATAATTATGCTCTATTACTTCAAATGTCCAATCTTCATTGTACTTGCAGGTAATCATCGTGTGCGCAGGATTACGGAAGCCAGCTGCGCCTGCGCAGGATACCCTTTCTACTACTACATTTAGTGTTTCGACTGGCAATTTTCCCGATAACTTCTCCCCAAACTCTACAGATTGAAGGGAAAGTCCCGTGCCAAAGTCGTCTTGATTCACGCGGGCCGGGGGCACTCCTCTGAACGAAAATGTCTGCAGACATTGAGCCAATTTTTGACTTATTGGCACCCGCACGCCCCTCGGCGTACAGATCTTTTAAAGCCTGCCCTATGTCGTTGAACGAGTACAGCGGTTGGAGATGAAGATCGACGATTGTGAGCCCTATCCTTCCCGTTTGTTCGTCCGGGCTGTGAACTCCATATGCCACCAAAACTCCAAGCAACCTTACAAGAACAACGAATCTTGAGCTTTGAAGAGAAAGGCGTGTTGAGCTGACGACGCTTGTGCCTCGAAACGACTCCGACTCTCGCTTTGCTTGAGGGTTTTGTTCAGAGTTTCCAAAAACCTGGTTTGCCCAAGTAGCCTGCAGAACGCACTTGTACCCTCCCAACTTGAAGATTTCTAGTTCAGCGTCTAGCTTTGCTCCCTCTTCGGATAGGAAAGTCTGCAGAGCCGGGATGCGCTGCTCCTTTGCGGAGCCGTGAAAGGCTTCCTTCCACAAGGCAGGGTTTCGTTCTCCCGCCGCCTCAAAGGCTTTGCACGACGCGACGGCCCGCAGAAGAGAGAGGGGATCTTGGACCGCCAGCTTTTGGAGGATCTCGACAAGAGCATCCGCCGGAAGATCATCCATAGCTCATCAAATGTATGTGAACTCCAGCTGTTCCAAGGGCTACGGATTCCACCTAAGGTGAGGATCTTTTCTGCTTGCCACGATTTCAGTCAGTCCGGCGCGGCTTTGGGTTGCAGCGCGGCCGCTTTTCAGAGGCTGGCGGCTTGTAAATGAGCGCTCACCGTCGCGGCAGAAGTGGTAATTGCGCAGCTGCGCGTCCTGCGCGGCTCCGACGCAGGCGGGCGCGATAGCGCGGCCGCCGTACGCGTGCTGTTGCCCGCGGTTTGAGAGCCTAGCCGCGGTGCGCGCGATGTTTGGCCCGCTCGCGGCAAACCTCGAAACCTGGAGTTCCGGACAAGTACGCGTTCCGAGATCTATGTACAGCGGTTTCCCTCATGCAGACCAGCTGTCGAATTCCAGGAAACGGCAATCAATCGGGCAGCGCACGGAGTTGATGATTGGTATCGGTTCGTAGAGTCCATCTTCGAAATGAGACGGTTCAGACCTCTCAAGATTCGACCATTGAAGAGGCGCAGGCTCGTCATACTGTGAGGAAGAAACACCAGTGCATCCTATATCTCCTTCAGGAATCGACTCTTTTCCGCCCGGCTCGTCATATTGCAGCTCTACCCTAGTGGAAAGAAGGTAGTGCGCGAGTTCTGCGAAAGCGCTCGTTGGCTTGTCAACGGCTACATAGACAAGACGACACAAGAAGTGCGTGATTCAGGTTCGGTCGCCTACCGGCAGAGTTGCACAATCGAAACGGTCAATATTGAGAGTAACGAAGACTTATCAAAGCAGAGGGAGGTACGTTATACTAGTCTAGTATACGCACTCCGCACAGCAGGGGCGCGAAGTCGATCGATGTAATCCTCACATTTACTGGCCCTTACCTGACTGAAGTGCTTTGATGTCAAACGTAGAAAGCTGTAAGATTCATTTTGTCTCGTGCCGGCGTTTGGTAAGTCTGAATTTCATATGCTTGCTGCTTAGCAATTTCCATTACTACAGCTGTTTGCGTCAAACTTGCCATCGGGTTCTGATCTCTCCGAGCATGGTTCCTGATCTTAATGAGCCGTTCGATGTCCCCCTTGTCGTCGATCGGACGGCCAAAGACGAGGAACCATGCTCAGAACATTTGAAACCCGATGGCAGGTTTGGCGCAAAGAGCTGTACATGCCAGTCTGCGCCCGTACAACTCTGAGGCTGTCCGACATCTGCACCGTGACAACGATTGTAGCGCGCGATGCTCACCACGGAAAGTATGTATTGAGCCGCGGGCTTTCGTTTATGATATCAAGAGCAAAACTGGTGCAAGTATATGAGAAGAATGGTTTCCGTCATGAGACGCGTGATGAACTTGCAGCCCAGACCAAGTCTCAGGGATCGCCCAGATCTGATCATCGCTCAGAGGTTAATAGCGACTCTTGGCCCATTAATGCCTTTCTACTATTAGAGTTCAGCAGCAACTTTGAATTCGACACTGGCAGTCGGAGCATACGAGTCAGAAAGATTTCTGAGCTGCGTTCTCATTGCGTCACGTTCGGGTGAGACAACTTGAAAGCAGTGCGATTCTTCCACACTCACTGTCTCGAAATTTTAGATACTGGTACTACTACAGATTACACAGTCAGCAGACGGTCAGGTTTTGAAGAAGTTGACTGGGTTGTTAGCACAATATCTGCTCTATCACTGAAAACCTCCAATCTCGACCATACTTGCAGGTAAGCAGCATGTGCGCGGAGGTATGCAAGCCAGATCCGCTTGCGGAAAATTCTCCTCTCAAGTGTAGTACTTCGACTGGAGAACTCTCGTACACTTTTTCCCCAAAAACTTTACATTGAATGGAAGGCCTGCGCCAGATTCCTCTTGATACCGGCGGTCCGACGAGATCCCTCTGAACGAGAATTTCTGCAGTCACTGAGCCAAACCCCCAATCGTCAGTACCCGCACGGCCCTCGGCGTATATGTCTCCCAAAGCCTGCCCTATCTCCTTGAACGAGTACAGCGGTTGAAGATGAAGTGGGATCGCTATTACGCCTATCTTTCCCGTTTGTAGTTTTGGGCTGTGAACGCCATAAGCCACCAGCACCCCAAGCAACCTTACAAGAACAACAAACCTCGAACTGTAAAGAGAAAGGCGTGATGAGCTGAAGCCGCTTGTGCCCGGAAACGACTCCGACTCGCGCTTTGCTTGAGGGTTCTGTTCATGTTCTTCAACAACCTGGTTCGCCCAAGTCGCTTCTAGAACGCGCTTGTACCCTCCGAAGACTTCCAATTCAGCCTCTAATATTGCGCCCTCTTCCGTCAGGTAGTTCCGAAGAGCCCAGATGCTTTGCTCCTTTGCCGAGCCGTGAAAAGCTTCCTTCCACAAGGCAGGGTTTGTTTCCGCTGCCGCCCAAAAAGCTTTGCACGACGCGACCGCCTGCAGAAACGAGGGGGGATCTTGGGCCGCCAGCTTTTGGAGGATCCCTACAAGTGCATCCGCCGGCAGATCATCCATACCTCATCAAAAGTATGTGACCTCCAGCTCTTCCAAGGACTAAGCGTTTTACCTGAAGTGAGGACCCCTTCTTAAAGTAAGGACCAGAGGCTTTGTCTTAATCCTTTACAAACACCGCTAAAGTCAACTTCAAGTCATTTCGGCGCTGCTTGGGCTTGTAGCGCGGCCGCTTTCAAGAGGCTTTGAGCGCTTCGGTCACGGTTGCGCGCGGCGGCGCGTCCCGCTCTCAGTGACGCAGGCGGGCGCGATAGCGCGGCCGCCGTGCTGTCGCCGGGTTTGGGAGCCTAGCCGCGGCCGGTGCCCGCAATGTGCGGCCCCTTCGATCGCGGCAAACCTCGAAACCTTCACTTCCAAATCTTCCCAGAGACGACAGATTTGCGTCCGGCGTCCGTTCGCACTCATTGCAGCTTATCGACGCAAGGGAGGTTCCTTGCACTCAAACACAGTATAAGCACGAACTTATCCGGAATCCTCAGACCTAAGCAAAGTACTTTGACTTCATATGTAGAGAGTTGATTACTTCGTTTCGTCTCGTGCCAGCATCTGACCAGGTTTGAAAATCATACGTTTGCCGCTCAGCCCGTACATGACATGTCAGTCTGCCGTTCAACCTCTGAGGTTGTCTCAGGTGTGCCACACCGACTGTAGCGCGCGGAGCTCGCTCGGACAAGTGCGTTTCGAGCCGCGAGCTTTTGCGTATGATAACAGAAGCAGATTTGTTTTGAGTATATGAGAAAAACGATCTTCGTCATGGGACGCTTGTAAGGGATATACTTGCTGACTAGATCAAGTCCTCGGGGGCTGCCCAGATGTGCTCACCGCTCAGAGGCTTGAAGTCATGACAGCGAATTTTGGCATCGTCGTCCGTTGCCCATTCAACAATGCAATCGACAATGGAAGCATCCGAGTACAAACTCTGAATGCCACTCTTACTGCGTCACGTTCGGGTGGGACAAAGCAGTGCAGTGTTTCCACACTCCTTCTACACGCACTGTTTAGAATCGTTTTTGAAATTGGTGCTGCCAATAACACATACGAACTGCAGACGGTCAGAATTCTGAAAACCTCAACTGGTTGCAGTTAGCATAAGTTATCCTCAATCACTGCAAATTTCCAATCTCGGTTGTACTTGCAGATAACCAGCGTGTGCGCAGGATTAGGCGAGCCAGCTGCGCCTGGGCAAACTTCCCTTTCAGATATAGTATGATGACTGGCGATCTTCTCGACAATTTCTCCCCAAACTCTACAGATTGAAGGGAAAGTCTCGTGCCAAATTCCTCGTGATTCTGGCGGCCCGGCGGCACTCCTGTGAACGAAAATGTCTGCGGACATTGAGCCAATTTCTGAAATATTGGCACCCGCACGCCTCTCGGCGTACAGATCTTTTAAAGCCTGCCCTAGCTCGTTGAATGAGTACAGAGGTTGGAGATGAATATCGACCTGTGTGTACCCCATCCTCTCCGTTTGTTCTTCCGGGCTGTGAACGCCATATGCCACCAAAACTCCAAGCAACCTTACAAGAACAACGAATCTCGAGCTTTGAAGAGAAAGGCGTGTTGAGCTGAAGACGCTTGTGCCTCGAAACGACTCCGACTCGCGCTTTGCTTGAGGGTTTTGTTCAGGGTTCCCGAAAACCCGGTTCGCCCAACTAGCATGCAGAACGCACTTGTACCCTCCCAAGATTTCTAGTTCAGAGTCTAGCTTTGCTCCCTCTTCGGATAGGAAAGTCTGCAGAGCCCAGATGCGTTGCTCCTTTGCCGAGCCGTGGAAAGCTTCCTTCCACAAGGCAGGGTTTGTTTCCGCCGCCGCCTCAAAGGCTTTGCACGACGCGACGGCCCGCAGAAAGGAGAGGGGATCTTGGACCGTCAGCTTTTGGTGGATCTCAACAAGTGCATCTGCGGGCAAATCATCCATGTTTCTTAAAGTACGTGACTGACAGCGGGTTCTTAAGGTCCAACTAGAATTTCGCTAGCAAAGGTGAGCTTTGCTTTTTGAACGAAGACCAAACAGGCCGGCTTTGACGTTGTCTGGTCAGAGAGAGTCTGTTTAGCGTGCCTGCGCCGCTTCGGCTCTCTGCGCGACTGTTTGGCAGCCCCCGGCCGCGTTCGCATCGCGTGCTTGCAATCTGCATGAGACAGAAACCCTGCACGAACGCGCGGCCGCGGTGCCGGCCGCGAGTCCCGGCCAGGTCACGCACTGATCGGAAGCGATTGCGCGTCAAATCGGAGCCGCCGTCCCGACACGCGCTGCCGCTTCTTCCGCGCCTCGAAGATCGAAGCGAGGACCTAGAACATTGAGCAATAATATCCGCCTCTCGTAGACCAGGCGCAGAGTATATCGCAGAGGATATCCCCAGAGCGGGTTTGTTTCAGAAGGAGAGAGGAACGAATCTCAGAATGCCCAAGACGTACTCTCAGGGGTTTCTTCGCAACCTCGGCGTTTAGGGCAGCCGAAAGACCCACGTCATCCTGATAGACGGGCCCGACTGATCATAACGTTTCAAACCCTGCTGATTCTTGAATATGCTGATGTTTAAAGTACTCTCCGAACTTTGACTGTACTAGACCTGCAAGGCCGTCCCCCGCGTGATGAAGAACGAGACCTCCGAAGATTGGAAAGGCATTCTTCTCGGCGTGAAGAATTGCACGCCGAGACATAGGTGCTTTGGAATTACATGCAAGTAGTGGAAGCGTGATATCAAGAACATGTGTGCACTTTCTGTCTTTCTCATTCATAAAGTATAAATCTGCAAGCAGATTCGAGCCCGAAGTAGGAAGGCATCTAGTGATTACATTCGTTCACAAGGGAACTTATACAAGAGAGGTTTTTGCTGAGCCGGTGTTATGCAAACAACGCCTTAATAGGGATTGAGACTGAAGTGTGGAACTGCCGCCTTCCATGCGTGTCCAGAAACACATCTGTCACAGAGCACGGAAACTTGATAGCGGCCAGTGATTTTATTTGATCACTTTGGAATCATGGAGCAGTAAAAGGACCGAACTCCGCCTCTTGAAACATAATCGTCCCCTCCGAACGTTCATTTCGAACGTCCGCTCGAATGATCAGCCCTTGAAAGGGAATCCTGCCGAGTTTTTCCTTTCTCTCTCAGAGACTACTCAGGAAAAATTCCGCACACGGCTTTTATACTACTTTGAACCGATTCTGGATGCTACCCAATCCCCTAAACATTTTCTTTGAACCGCTTAGTTCGTCCTTGACAATTGGTTTGGCCCTCTTCCAGAATTTCAAACCTAGCCTGCGATGGTGAAACTGATCACTTTGCTAAGTGCGCTTTGCAGCATCTGCGCTTGTCTATATGGTCTTTACAAAGAGCCCACGCACCGGAGAATGCTCCCTAGCAACACAAGCTTCTCTGGCGATTAACCCCGGTCGGTTACGGGCTGGTTAGAGGCTGGTTACATGTCCGGCTCAAACAGTATGATCAGAAATCTAACGTGGTTATGGCCTGGTTATTGGGCCAAGAATCATCCCGTCTGGTCAACCAGCCTGTAGCAGAATAACCTTCCTATGGCAACCGCCGGGACCAAGAACAGGAACCATCTCCTCGTCACAAACTCCAAGCGCCGCTTATAATGAAAGCTGCTTGTTGCACCTTTTGTCGGCGTCCTTCACGGCTTCTTTGGACCATTGTGTTTGTTCAGCGCAACCCAGGTAACAAACTGCCGCAAGTACAGAGACAATAATGTGCCCAGCTGCTTGTAGCCACCCAAAATCTGAATAAGCACCTCAAAATATGCTCTCTGTTCTTCAGTCGCCTGACCGCCCTCTGAGGCCAAAAATGGTACAGCTTCCTTCCAGACCTCGGGATGTTTTTCTATTATGCGGCGGAAGCCGCTGCTGGCGCACGTGGACCACAGCAGGGACGGCGGGTCCTGGGCTGCCAGCTGGCGAGCCACCGTCAGGATGACGTCAATCGGAAGATCATCCATGGCCGCGTTCTTTTGCTTGTCCCGAGAGCTCTTGCCCTCAATTTGAGGCCGCCGTGCGGCTTCCACCTCAAATGCACATGAAAGGGGTTCCGCAAACCTGTCAGCCGGCCGCGGGTTGCAACGAGGTGTGTGCGCGCGCCCGGGCCGCGTGGCCGCGATTGCGCCCGCTCTAGCGCGCCGCGACGTACCCCGCCGCGACTTGCTCCGGTTAAAACCCCTTCGCCCCATTTGCCTTATCCAGGTCGTCTCTGCTATCTTCTAGTAGGTATACGAGAATACAAGCGCAATAGAATCACTGGTGTGCCTGCTTGAAAGCCTCATTGGAAGCGCTGGCGTCCAGCTGCAGTAACAACACTCTGAGGATTTCAGACACCACTGCAATACAGAACCGCTGGCGGAACCATGGGCGACTCCATAGGAGAGATAGCGGAGGGCATTTCGCCGGCAGGCGCTTGCTGTTGGTGCGCATTCTGCGCTACGTGCGCGGTATGCGTCCCCATCGTCCGCCTTTGCACCCGTTTGAAGCGTTTTGGTAAGAAGGTCTTTCGGTGCGTCACTACTTGCCGGTGTTCGGATCCCAGCATGCATCCGAAGGTTGAGTTTGTTCAGAGTACGCAGATTCCTTACCCGGTAGACGAAAAGGAGATTGTCACAGCGAGTCCTGCCGGGGCCCCGGTCACAGATGCGCTTTAACTGTAAAGCTGAATCAGGTTGGGTTTCGGTAACCCTCATGTGAACCTTGGCAGGGCTTATTGGCATCGTGCCTATGAGTGCAAGCCTAAACGTAAGACAATGAAGGATGCGGGTGCAAGGCCTGAATATTCTAGCTTTGGCTCTTCGTCTGTCACAGAAAGAGTAGCTTGGATGAGACAGTACATATGAATCACTCTGAACTAATTACTAAGCATTTCAGCGTGTTTTACTTTGTTTAGCAAGAACGATTTCATGGGCTTAATTAATCGGTCTCATCAAAATGCCAAATCGATTGTGAGGTTGTCAGTATATGACCTACAAATTTTCCGCATCTTGAAGTCCTCATCTTTGCATATCTTGAGTCTTCACCAGCTAGGACTCTGCATGTCAACTTACAGTGAACAAGATTACAACTCGCTTATGCCCTTTGACGGACGAAAAGCATAGTTGCAGTCGCTTTAACCTCTCTTTGCATGCGACGTGCACCTCGGAATCATGATTCGAATGACTACAGTACATGGTTGTGACAAGACGTGTAAGGGCGGCGCAGTTTGTCAAGGATACAATATTGAAGTGCGGGGATAAATGGCGATAAATTAATGGATGGTTGAACTTACACAAAGGCCGGGTGTCAAAATATACATGAAAATTTTCACAAGTGCAACGACCGCCTCTGAGTACTTTACATGGTAAGCAGATCGGTGCCGAAATGCACGACGATTCATGCTGAATAAGTAGTAATGACGCTTGTCAGAGCAGCTTTCCACACAGTTTCAATTCTGAAGAAGCTCCTGGTAAGAGCCTCAGAGACGCCTTATGCTTGGACCCAGAAGGCGATATATAGCCTATGTATCCGAACTTCATCCAACTCAGTGCTAGTACTGGACAGAGCTTGGCACGAAGCGACATGGCGCGCAGAACAGCGAGCGACAGCTGTCGAGCTCAAAAGTCACACATGCTTCGCAGAGAATGATACCGGTAATTATCCCATGTGATAAGCTGAGCGAGTGTGACTCAAACTGAAGGCAGCCTTGCAAGCACAGGCAATCATGTCCATTTGGAAGGCTTAGGTTCGGGCTGCCAGCGTGCAAACCACAGCGAGGATTAATCTGATCGGAAGCATCTCTGCCGGCATCAGGTTGTTCCGCTGAACGCGAAGCCGCCGCTGTCACTCCGCGGGGCTCTGGCGGTCTTGGCGCGGGCGGCCACCTGTCAGCCTCATCGCGCACGCGCCTCGGCCCCGCGGCCGCCCCGGACGCGCGCGTCTTAGCCCGTCGCGGCCTGCTGTCACTATTGCTCAATGTTCTATCCTCGCTTCTTTCCCCAGACCACCTCGGAGCGGCTGCTGAGGAAATTTTGAGACCTGCACGTTGAGGATTCGAGACAGGCACTTAAAAACCTTCCAGCGAATACACCAACTTTCTAAACCATGAAAGCCGTCAACATCACCAAAACGGAGGTCACGAAGGCGGACGACGCTGTAGTGGAAGTACCGGCCGCCTGCTTCTGCTGCGCATCCTGCACAGGGAGGATTGGTCAGTAACATACGTCCCGTAACCTAGGCACCCAGGTTATGCCTAGGTTACGGGACCTAGGTTGTTGACAACCTTGGCATCACCTAGGTTATTGTACCAAGTGTCGGGTTATGCATAGTTTACGCGTAACCGGGGTGCCTAGGTTGTAAACAACCTGGGCAGCACCCAGGTTACAAAACTTCGCACCTAGGTTACGCACAACCTGGGTAGATTATCCTTAAGCTGGGAATATAACGGTATATAGACTTTCTTTGGAGGACGTTTGCAGACCAAAAGGAGCAATAGTATCATGGTAAGGCGCTTGATTCTGGTAGGGACGGTAAAGAACGTCGGTTCGAGCCCAAGCGCCTACAGTGGCGCTCGTTTTTCCTCTCCCAGAATGGCTTTGAAAAGCACCAAAACAAACACTTTCCCACTCGGTTTTCTCCATTTCTTTTTTGATTTTGACTTTCGTGCGACTTGGGCATGCTTTGGAACGCTCCTGGCTACAAAATTGTGTCACTCTTGAGGGAAAATCAAGTCTCATAACGGCCAAAGAGCATCATAAAGTTTCCTTTTTCTCTTTTTGCGCACGTGGGTTATCAACAAACCAGGTCGAAGTTGTTCGCAACCCGGGTCTGCATGGGTTGTGCGGAACCTACCTAGGTTAAGAGTGCCACTCAACCCAGGTCCGAGGTTACCTGGGTTACTACCTGGGTTACACCACAACCTATGCAATAACCTGGGTACAACCTACCCAGGTTAGCGACCAATCCCCCCTGTGCTGCGCCGCATGTGTGGTGTGCGCCCCTCTTACGTGTGCGTGCAATCTGCTGTCTACGGTTTTCCGGATTCTTACTTGCAGCTGTTTGGTTACCAGCAGTTCCAGAATGGACCAGGGAGACGGGTTTTTCATGTGACCCAGACTCGCTGGTGGTTTTGCTGCTGCCCGTGGAATGAGAAAGCTCAGGTTTCCGCACCGAGTCCTGCTGGGGGTTTGTTCAAAACTACGCTCTAGTTGCGACGGTGAGCGAGGCACTTGATAATGTTCACATTTGTTTTCCTCAGAGCGAATTTGACTGGCACAGCAGAGCGCTTCTTGTATCCTTGGATAGAACAAGAGGCTGTACAAGAACTATCAACGATACATCGTTTTTGGATACCAAGTCTGACAACATGTTCCTCTTTCTGATCAAAACAACAAAGCCATCTTTGTTTTCCTCCTTTGATTGCCTGTTAGTTTCAACAAACGAGATCGACTTCGTGGAAGAGACCCATGATGGTAAAGTACTTGTGCACGCTAAACAAGGACACTGTGTTCAACTTCAACGATGTTTCACGCACAAAGGATGCAAGGCGGGGCATTCAGGTTGACTCAGTTCCCGCAAGGTCCCTTGCAGGTTTTTCCGCACCACGAGTCCGAGCATCAACCTAGAATTTGTCGCAACGGAAGGTCCTTTTCTGACCGGACTTCGTCAATTACAAGCACTGATTTTTGCAGTCGCTAACTTCTGTTTACTGTTCCAGCTTCACCTCCAGACAAGGTTAGAGAACTGAGACAGGAGGCATGCAAGCTAGATTGAATGGAGCAGGCCGGATGGATTCTGGACACAGAATGAGTACCGTACGAGACAGTGATATACAAGGTTATGCAAAGAATAAAGTGTCGATTAGCGAAACTGGCGACAAGAGTGGGCGCGGCTGCTGCTTAAAGTGCAAGGGGCGCGACCGAATATCAGGCGCGACCGAATATCAAGCTACTAGTTACTTATATAAATGTTGACGCTTTTGCACTGAGCGCAGTGCCAGTACTAGGCTACTCTAGCCAGCGAGAGCACGGGTCCATGGCCCGGCAGAGTGGCATGCGTTATATTCTTCCGACCTGTTGTGTCATGCACAGAGTATATACGACAATTTGGCGCGCAGCATGCCATGCAAGGTCAAGTGGTCGGAAAGATTCAAGCTACGTCGCGCGCGCCGCGCACTGCATGGCCGTGCACATGGCCTCCACGTGAAGCTGGCCGTGTGCAACAGGCCATCTTTGTGCACTGATGTACAACGGTATGAGTCAGCTTACCACATCTAGCCTCTCTAGGTATACATGTTCGATTGCGCATTTACGGTACATGCAGTGACTGCATGCCTGCCGCAGGCAATGTATGGGCGGCCGCGCAAACATATAAAGGACCAGCGGACCGTAAGGCCAGCGGCTGCTAAGGGCGGCCAACGCGCCAGACCTGCATGAGCGCTGACGGCCACAGCTTCTCATGCGTTCTATCACTTGAAGTGATCATGGCAGCCCAAAACGTCAAGGATCGCGGTCGTCCGTCACTTACAAACACAACCCGATCGGGACGAGTCATTGCTTGTGAAGAGGCTTGCCATTCGGGCCACTGCATTCATTCCGCGTCTGTTTATGTCCTATACTCAGCACGAAGCTGGAGATTGCTCATGTCCCGTGAGACAAAGCAAGAAAGACATTCTGTACAACACGTTTAGCATTCTGAAGGCTTCAGTCGAGCCCCAGATCAAAGGAGGGCATGCCGTCGTCATCCTCAAGCGACCGCCGCTTCCGAAGCCTCCCCCCCGACGTCGCCAATTGCGAGATGCTTCGCTCCATTGCAAGTGGGCTCCGCGCCAATGCACCCGTTGCAACCTCCCCCTGTGGCACTGGCAGCCCCGTCTTACTCAACCCGCTCAGTTCCAGATTGGCGATGGACACGCCTATAGCGCGCACGGCGCCGGGAACCTCCGGACAAGGAGCCCCCATTTTTGGACGTCCGGATGTCACTGACAGCCGAGGCGGCGGCTGCTGAGACCGGGCCGCCAGCGCCTCCGCTTCCAGCCGGTCGAGATCCAACCCCGCCAGGAAGTCGTCTTCCCGCGTGTCATCCTGAGGTGCTGCCACGTGGCCACTTCTCACGCCAACCACCCCGGCTCCCTCTGCAATTGCAGGGCAGTGCAGCCACGGCCGTTCCGGGGGGGCAGAAAGAACAGTCGCATTGGCCCCCTGCCACCCCCCCTCTCCGTGTGCTGGAGCGCTTGCCCCGTCCGCTTTTCCAATCTGCCACGGTGTCCAAGACTGGTTATCCGGAAAGGCGAGCTTCCGTTTCTTCCCAGCCGGCCCCTCCCTATCAGCGCCCGCCACGTGGCACGCACCGGGCGCCCCATTCAACTTCCGGTCCTCCTTTCCGTCTCCTTCGCACCCATCCGTGGCGCCGTCTTCCGACTCTAACGACTCTTCGTACCCCAGCGAGCCTTCGACCGCTCCTTCCGAGTGCTCCGACCGCCGTCTACCGGGCAGGAAACGCATCTTGCCAAAGTTCTTGTTGGCCTGCGCCCGGGGCGGGGACTTGAACCGGGGCGCGTTGAGCGGCGAGGCGTCTTCCAAGGGGGATTGGGTCAGCAGGGAGCGCCTGACAACAAATGAAGAGCAGACTGTGGGCGTACGAACGTAAACGCGTGAAGATACTCAACCTTATGTGTCGTTGTGCTGTACCGCTGAATCGCTCAGTCGAGGAGCACACGAAACTTCTGCTTAACGACCAAGACACGACCGGAAGAAATGAATCCTTGGATCAGCATCGCTTCTTTGGTGTAGAGTGGCAATTCAGACGGTCGATCGTAGCAGGTGAAAGAACGTGTCGATCCTGACGAGTTGCTAATCAACCGAACGGATTCCAGCAGCGTTCCTTCCTGGTTTTGGGACCAAAAATACAGCTGAAGCATATTATGACCACACAACCCCGTAACTCAATCAGTCACTGTCACGTCTTCTCTTACCTCCTCCACTTCTCAGGTCATTCCGCCCCTACAGGAATTCGCAGCTTTCCACATGTGCACCTCAAAATGGACGGAAAAGGGGGCATCGTCTGACAAACGCTTCGAAAAATGACTATTCGCCCACTTTATCCCGAGGCCGCTCACCGGTAGAGCGCCATCATGTCCCCCGGCGACGCCTCGGCGCCTGCTGACGGAGTGGTGGTCGCCGCGGAGGCCGTGACTTGCGACCGGTCGTCGATGAAGCTGTCGTCCTCCTCCGGACCGTCGCCGGACTCGTCCGAAGACGCGGCCTCGTCGCCGGACACCCTGGAGGTAGGTTACATAATGAGAACCTATCATCAAAACTGCTCATCATATATAAAAAACTCAAGTTTTGTTTTTCAAAGACGACCTGACAGCAGCGGGCCCTTGGTGTGACGTGGATATGGGCCACTCTGCTTAAAGAATGGGACTGACGGCGAGCTCTTGGTTTTGAATTTTGGGCGCAGCGATGGAAGGATGTAAGAATACGTGCTAAAGATCGTCATCCCGTCATGTCGCCTCCTTTCAATCAGGAGGCGGAGCTTCTCCGTTCCGGTCTGTGGCATGGGGGAGAGCCGGATGGCGGGGGCGTTTGTCTATATGCAATTGCCCAATCTCTATGCTACTGAGTCCTGTGCAACACGAAGCCGTTTGATTCCGTCCGTTCCTTGCACCTCGAGTCACTTACTCGCACCTCAAAGCGATTGTAACGAAAGACAGTCATCCAGGCGACGGGTAGAAGAGACGAATTGATTCAAGAGAGGCTTACTCGGCTTCCTCGTCAAAGAAGACGCTGGCAAGATTCCGCGCCTGCCCTTTCCCCTTCTTTAGCAAACCTGCAATTATAGCAAGGCTTTGGCAACAGAGTCAAACATTTTCACATCAGTTTGTGACGCTGCTTGAAATAGCGGCCGCCTATGGTTCTCCTTGGTCTGTCTTTCACTCTTGTAGAATTTTCTTATGGACTGCACGGCAGGGAGACAGGAGGTACGCCGAAGCTGAAATCTAGGAGCTTCTGGCAACTCAATCAATTGAGTAACCCCTGTAGCCATTAATTGCAACTCAAACCATCGACGAGTCCTGAAACCAACCGGACGAGTCTGATTTGAATGCTTCTGCCAATTAATTGCAACACGCTGCGAAAGGTTCTGGGATACTCTCACTCACTCTGCATCGCCTCTTTCCGGCCCGCTTTGCTCTTTGCCCTCGGCGCCTCCCGCTCATCGGCCACATTCCGCTCCGCAGCAACCCTTTCCAACCCGCCCTCATTCCGCTGCGGAACGCTTTCCGTTCCGCTCTTCGCCTTCCTCAGGCGCCGCAGCTTCCGGGGAGGCCCTACCGAGGGAGGCCCTGTCGGGGCCTGTGACGTGGGCATCCACTCTCCGCTACTCCTATGACTGGCGGGACTCTGATTTACAGGGCCTTTCGCACCGGACTGCGCTTCCGTTGGTGTGAATGGGCCCTTGCTAGGGGGCGGCGGCGCGTTTGCATCGACCGCTAGATCTGGAGGGTTCCGTGGCTCTCGTCCTTCTACTGGCGGGCAATAAGAAGACGACAGGGGTTGGTCGCTGACGTTACGACCGGCTGCCGCTGACGTCATGTCGCTAGGCGGCCAGGCAACCCCAGCCTCTGGCTCGGTTGAGATCGTACTCGGCCTGGCGAGACTTTGCAGAATGGGGGTTTGGTCCGCGTTAGCCTCTATCACGCTTTGCAACGCGCGGTTTCCGACCGCGTTAGGCCTGACCAGGTTCTGCAAACCGGGTTTCTCGACCTGGGCTGAGGACTGCTCTCGCAGGGACGCGTTAAGGCGCTCCCACTGTGACGGAGACGGCCGCAGGGTTTCAGCGTTTGGGAGGGGCGCAATCGGACGGTTCAAAGCGTCGCTCGGGCTGGACGCAGGACACGTGGCAGGATGCTGTGGAGCCACCAGATCAGGACCAGGGCGATACCACGTGGTCGTATTTGGGTTCGGGTTGTCACGCCCGGGCCAGAGCCTGGGTAATGGCTTTCTTACGGGGAAATCTCCGTCCCGTTGGCTTCCGTTCTGCTGCATTCCGTTCCGCCTGCTCTCCGCTCCGGCGGCGCTTCCGCCAAGAAGGGGTGTATCGGCAAGGCCTTGTTGAACGCCGTTAGCGGGAGCCTCAGGCCGTCCGAAGAAGCGTCCGACTGGCGGCTGTGCCGAGGGGCGGAGTTGAAGAGCGGGGGAGGGGTATGTTGTTGGGGCGTAGATATCGGGGCCACCTGGCAAGAGGCTCAGATACGAGATCCTAAAGTTCCGGCTCATAAGAAACGTGTGAGATGAGTCCTCTTATGCGTTAGTCTGTGATCGAACCCTGACCCTTAGGGGGGTTGGTTGCTGCAAGCATGTAACGAGGATGATCTGCGCTCTGACGAATCTGACGATAGAAGAAGCAAAAGTGACGACTTGCTCAATCTCCTGACCGAAGAGTCGCATTGCCGCTACTGCTTCCAAGAACTACCTTGACAGATCCTTTGACCGCGAAAGGCAGTGCCGAATTCGCAAAGCATTCCTTCATTGAGAGGTAGAGAAGAAGCCCGCAAACGGCCCTTCTGGGCTCATAGAACATGGGTAGCTTTTTCGGGCTTTCTCAAATATCTAGGACTGAATCTCTCAGAAAGACAGAAAGGAACTTTGAAACTTTGAGCAGATGCACTAGAAGACCTTTCCTGCAGATAGAAAATGGAAAATGCTACACTACAGAGCAAAAGCCCATAGGAGTTCTATCTAGTTCTTCATAAGGATGTCTCACCTCCGCTGCCGAGCGGCCAGCTGCTCCCTTGATGGGGGCTGCCGAACCCTTGCGGCCGTCCTTCCCTTTGGCTGCCCAGCCCGCACTGTCCGATGGGCACCCGCGACGGACGTCCGAAAATGGACGCCGCTTCCGTCGGATCCGGTGGCGTCTCCGGAATGGGCGACCACCCTGGTGACACGCCACGCCCGGAGTCGCCCTGCGCATTGACACTGTTCTGGTGGGGTGCGGTTGGAGTCTGTGCTGCGGGCGCAGATGGTGTCGCTGGGATGGGCGACCACCCCGGTGAGACGCCACGCCCGGAGTCGCTCCCCGGATTGACACTGTTTTGGGGTGCGGTTGGAGTATCTGCCGCAGGCGCAGACGGTGTCGCCAGGACGGGCGACCACCCTGGTGACACGCCACGCCCGGAGTCGCCCTGCTGATTGACACTGTTTTGGGGAGCGGTTGGAGTCTCTGCCGCAGGCGCAGACGGTGTTGCCGGGACGGGCGACCATCGTGACGGAAAGCCACGCAAGGGGTCGCTCTCTGCGTTGACACCGTTGATCTGGTCAGGGACTGAGTTCAGGGCAGCGGTCCCACGCGCGGGGCTCGGCGGTGTCTCCGGCACCGGCGACCGTTGCAAGGGAAAGCTGCTCAGCAAGTCGCCTTGTTTGTCGGCACCGATTTGCTGAGAGGTCGCCTGGTTTTGGGCGAACGCTGAGTCCGGCGTTTCCGGCACAACGCCCGACAAATCCCCTCGTGAAGGGTACGGCGAGGCGGCGCTCGAAGGCAGGGGCGAGAAACCCGGAAAGGGTACCGGTTTCAGGCCCCGTTTCGTCTCGACGCCATCGTTCCGCTGTTCACTTTCCGCTGGCCCGGCTCCCACCGGAACGGAGTCGTTGGCCGGAGGCGAACTAGAATGAGGACTTTCAGGAACTCGCTGGTGCGGCCTCTGCTCCGCAGCCCCGTTCTCCTTGCGCGCACTGACGGCCTCCTCCTGCGACACGTGGCGTTCGGGGACCCCACCAGCTGTCGACTCCGGCGTTTCCGGGACTTTGTAGTCGGGGCTCTCATAGGCTATGGGGCTTCGGACCTGGCTCGACAGTGCGTGGAGGGCACGTGTCTCCGAGTCGGGACTCTCGGGTACTGTGCCCCGGGGGGATCCCTCTTGAGATTCGGGAGCCGGGAGAGACAACCGGCCGCACGCCTCAGAGTCTGGGCTTTCCGCGAGCCTGTTGTCAGGGCGTTGGTCTACCGGTTCGCTCACGGGCAGACTTCCCAGAGCAGCTTTCCCTGAAACGGTCGCAATCCCCGGGCTTTGCTCACTCCCACCGTTCCTTTTCGCCAAGTTCGCCGGAGGATTCGCTGCACGTGTTCCCAGTTCCAGTGCCTCTAACACCCGGCCCGTCGGACTACTTGATGCAGATCCGTTGCTTCCCTGGGTCAACCTTGCGTTCCCCGTTCCGTTTCCGCCGTTCCGCTGACTTGAATTCCGCCCAATGGCAGTTCTGGCCGTCGCTCTGGGCGGCCGCCACGTGTCCTCTTCCTCGGACTCGCTGTCCGGCACGACGGCGTCCGGATCGAAGCGCACAGACGAAACAGCGCAGTCCGCTCTCTGAGACTGATTCACTTTTTCCGCCCGCTGTCCGTTCGCATTTCTCCTTTCTTCATCCGTTCCGGGCGCACCCTGACTGCAACTCCTGACACGTTGGCTTCCGTTCAGATTTCTGCTTCCGCTTCCGCTTCCACTTGACTTCGCCTCCTTGTCGCCGATCGGACGCCCAGAACGTTTCGCCTCTTCCCGTCGTCGTTCGAAGCTGACAGCTCCTCCTTTTCGCTCCATTCCTAGTTCTTCTGGCCCCTCCGCCCCCTGGGTCCTCGTCTCCCCCTCCTCCTTCCACTCGTCATGCCGACCCCTTCTTCCCTCCCCCGCTCTATCTTCTTCGCTTCTCACTTCGGCACCCCTGACCGCAGGAGCGGCTTCCGTAGGTTCCGTCTTTTCCGCTTCCGCTCTCTCCCTCCGCCTGCCCGTCTTCTTCTTCCCCAGCCTCGATGCCAACGGAATGTCCTCGACATCCGAGCAGCTCCCACTTTCCCCCGGGGCTCTCAACCTATCTAGATTTCCTCCCAGCTCATTCGCGTTATCTTGTCCAAGTCCGTCGCCTAAAACTCCCGGCCCTGTCTCCGTTGGAGCAGATAACCCCTCCTCCTTCCTATCCGCCGCATCATCCTTCAACAGCTTTCGCTTCTTCCTTGCTCCCCCCTTGCTGCACAGAGGTTCAGAGCTTGGCGACCGCACCTCCGACCGGGAAGCTTGACCCCGGGCAGCCAACGGGAGGTCCTCCAGCGCCCAGGACGGTTCCCCGTGCCCCACGTTCGGCGACAAGTCGCCGAGAGGACGCGGCTTCTGGCTTCCCTGCGAAAGCCTTGCCTGGGTTCGCTTGGAACTCACGCTTTTCAGAACCTCGCAATGGATGTTTTGCGCCTCGAGCGGAGCCTCCGGTTGTTCTTTGGAGGCTTCGCTGGTCAAACGCGAGCGTTTCGGTGTGATCTTGATCCGCTTGTCTCCGGATTGGACGTCGCGAGGATCGCCGCCCGTGCTCCTTCTCTTTCTTTTCACTTCCCCGCTGTTCCTGACCGCCCGAGGGGAGTGCCCCGTTTCACAACCATTCTCCCTTTCGCTGTCGATGCCGTCCTCCGAACCCTCAGCCTCTCTCCCGACTCCGTCCGCCTTTCCGTCCGCTTCCGCCGGATTTTCGCCCGAATCGTCCGCTCTCTCGTCGGACGACTCGTCGCTCCCGTCCGCAGAAGTGTCGCTGTCCGACGACGTTTCATCCGACGACTTCTCCCCCTGGTTAGCAGCCATTCCCTTGATCCGAGTGGGGGTGCACTCCAAACCGTCTCCGGCCTTTCCACTGTCGGACACAGGTTCTGGCACACATTTCGAAGCAGCTTCCGGTTTTTGCGAATCTCGTGGCGAGCTGCCCTGCGACCCCTCCGATTGGGACTGCGCTTCGCCAGCCTCCGGAACGCTCCGTTCAACCAAAGCCCCTCCAGTCTGCTCCCTACACCTACTCCTCTCACTGTCCGACTTCCCTCCATCGTCGCGTGAGCCGCGCCTTCGGCAAATGCCTTCCTCCGCGTGCCACGTGTCCGCCCCAAAGTCGCCTCCCCCTTGGCTGCAACCGTTGGCTTGTCCAACGTCCCCCCATGTCGTTCCCCTCATCTCAAACTCGTTCGCTTGCAACGAACCCAAGTCCTCAGCCGGCCTCTCCGCTCTGAACATCGTCTCAACCCCGCGCGCGCTCCCCGGGGGTGTGAACTGGGGCCTCGGGGGGCTCCAAGGCCGGCCCGGTTCCTCTGCTGGAGCCTTTTCCCCCTCCTCGGAGTACCCCAGATCTCCCCAGTCCCAATCGGTTACCTCTCCTGAGGGCCGGGAACTTCCAAAGTCCACTCTTTGCATTCGGACGCTTTCCTCTCTCTGCATTCGGACGCTTTCCCCCCTCTGCATTCGAACGCTGCTAGGCCCCGGGCCCGCCCTCTCCGCCCTCCTGTTCTGGTCTAAGTAACCGTCCCGAGCAGCCGCTAGCCCTGCCGGTAACCTGCCCGGTAACCCTGCCCCAACCACGTTTCCGCCCTGCTCCTTCCCCTTCCCCTTCGCCGCCCCTACGCGCGCTGGCTTCGGCGCCCTCTTCGACCTTCCCGTGTCCTTTCGCGCGAAGATGTCAAGTCCCTGGTCGCTGACGTCATCGCTGTCGTCATCCCCTGGATCCGAGTGGGGGAGGCGGTCTTGCGACCGTTGCCGCTCCCTTTCCAGCCCCGGTTCCGTTTGGGGAGGTCCGTCGTGCAGCTGCTGCAGTACCCCCTCCGGCGCAAGTTCCGTTTCAAGGGGCCTCTCTTCCTGCTGTAGTAGCCCCCCTTCCGTCTGAGGTGCCGTTTCGGCGGGGTCATCTTGGGCCCACTCCAGCCGCAGTTCCGTTTCAGGGGGGCCGTCCTGCAGCCGCTGCAGCACCCCCACGAAGAGCTCCGTCGTGCGCGCCCCGTGGCGGATCCTGTGCACTTTCGACGGCTGCGATTGGAAGTTGGAGAAGGCGATGAGGGAGGGCGACCAATGGCGCTCGGGGGAGGGCCACCGGGCGAGAGTGGCCTTTTCCTCCGCGCCTAGTTCTTCGGTCCCCGGGTCAACTAGCAGGGGGACGCGCACGGTCTTGTTGCCCCGGTGAATGTACTCGGGGATGTCCATGATGACGGTGCGCATCGTGGGCCGGAAGGCGTGGGGGACCTGGCCGGGTCAAGGGCATGGTTAAGCAGGGTTTAGGCTCGGTTAGTCTCGCGGGGAACTGTGACGTGGCGTTCGCAATTGGTCGCACGAAAAGCGTTCGAACAGCACGAAGGTTGAGGGGACTTCGATTGGTAAACAGCAAAAAAGAAAGATAGATGAATAAAGCAGCGAAGTAACTTGGAAGCGGCAAGCATGGCGAGTTGCCTTTGCGTCCAAACAAGCCATCAATTACTTTGGGATTACAGTGAAAGACTGTGACGAGAAACAATCGTCATGTGACCTCGAAATCGACATGCAGCGGCAGTCTTCGAGCAATGACTCATTCTTTAGATCCAAGAACGAACAAAGCGTACCATTCTGGGTGAAGTGTGCTTCTCGAAGTCCTGCCCCCCGTTCTGCATCTTCTTCTGGACGGCCCGCATCTTGGCCTGGTTCTTCTCGTAGTCGCGCACCTCCTTGCCCATGGCCGCCAGGATCAGTGCACGTGGCAGTCAAGGACAGAACGCAGCTTCCAGGAAATCCGGCTTTGAGTGAAAGTGCGAGCAAAGGTCCGGGACCGAAGAAACGAAGAAAGCGAACCCTTAAGCTCAATCGGAAGAATTCACAACAAAGGTCGAATCAAGCCTCCCGGTGCACTGACGATCTGTAACCACGAGACGTTCGGAAGAGAGACCAGCCACAGACTCGGCAATTTGGTTGGAAAATGCAAATAAAAGATCGAGTGAAAGAGAGAGAGTCGCGCAGTTGCTCGAGCAGACATTAGACTACTTGGACTATGAAGAAACTTAACGATACTTGACCAGCTAACAGATTGTTGCAGCTGAGGAGGATATCTACTCGGCCCTGCCGCTTCCGTCCCGTCCGGCCCATCCGTTGGATCATCCGCAGCGGAGAGGCGGACGCGTCGAAGCAGATGACCAGGTCCACCTCTCCGATGTCCAGGCCCTCCTCGCCAATGGAGGTCGAGACAATCACGTTGAAGGCGCCCGCGCGGAACTCCTGCGGAACAGCGGAAACGGAAGACGTTAACGGTACGTTGGAGAAGGAGAAACTGCCCAGCGAAGAGGCTTGACGCTCTTTGATGAGCTCTTTCCGGCCGACACGAGGCCTCTGCAATGCACTCGCAGCTCTGTATGCTGGTGGAAGTCAGGCGTGTCAATTCGAGTGCTCTTCAGAGGTGCACGCCAAGGGGCATCAAAGCCACAACAGATAGCGCATATTCACCTTCTACGTGCATGGAGCCCGCGAGCGCACGCGTTTCGAGACCCGATTCAGAGCAGGGCCTTTAGATACTTTTGGGTCCCCCAACTGAATGCATTCTGGACCCCTCCATCATATTAGGAGCACGAGCTCACCTTCAAAACCGCCTGCTGGCGTTTCTGGGACTGGCCCTTATTGTTTTTGCCTGCAGACGCGGTGCAGATAGACAGCCTAAGCAGCCTGCCAGACGAATTTGGCTTGAATTTGCGACAGAGGAAGGCAAGCCCACGAACCCAAGCAAACTGGTAAATGTTGTTCCTCGTGGTGACAAGAAGTTGATTGTCCGAGTACAGTGGCATCGTGATAGGTTCCTAAATTGAGCGCTTGACCCTACTCCAATGGAAACCTGGTCCAAGTAGCAAATGGATCTTACCCGAAGCCTGGCCCTTGAACTCTGTGGACCGCACCTTAGGTGCGTGCTTTTGGAGCGTCTCATTGATGTCCCTGTAAGTGAGAAGCAGAGCTTTAGTTCTTTCGTCATTTCACTGGAATCCCATCAAGACCAAAAGAGGAAATTGGAACCACCCTTTATGGACTCGTGAATAATCCCGGTGTGCTTCGGATACCCTTCAAACCTCCTCTGCGGTTTGACTCCCAACCTTACAACACAGATTTGTCACTCAACCCACTGCTCGCATGCATCTCGCTTTCCAGACGTTGTCGACGCCCGTCTGATTGCACGGTTCCTTATGGTGCGGTGAAACAATATAGGCTCGCACCTGGTAGCTTCACAAGATCCTAAGCTGGTGTCAAATACCACCGAAAAGAAATACCGAACAAAACGAGGAACACCATCATCGTAACATTCTCACGATGCAGAAAGTGAATCTTAGAAACGCCAGCTCACTTGACGCTCTCACGACGCTCTGCGAAGACGATAATGCGTGTTTGTTCCGGGTCGTGCCGCTCAAAGTGCTCCGCCAGGATCTCCTCCAGCTTCAGCAGCTTGGGCGCGGGCGCGCCCCGCCGCACCAGGTCGCGCATTGCGTCCAGCAGGTTCATGAAGCGGGCGTCGCGGGCGCGGTGCGCACGGAGCAGGCTGCGGCCAGATTGAGAGATTGAGGATTTCTGTGAATCAAGAATTATGAAATCTGATGCTTTCAGGGCTTCGGGATGGCGGAAGGCGAACACTTCATTGCTGACGCTCAACACAGAAGCACATCACGGTAAGGAAGACAAGAGCTGACGAGACGAAATACGACGAAGCTGATAAGTTCAGGGGAAAAGTTCAGCAGATTGCGAAATGCTTCGCGGGTTGTCGTCAAATTTGCCCTTGATTGATGTGTTTTGCAAAAGCGCAGATCGATTCGACAGAGGGGAGCCTTAAGAAAAGGTACCAAAAGTTAAAGAGGCAACAATTGGAGCAAAGACCTTTGACTTAAGCCTCACGGGTTATCCTCCACCTTGCCCTCCATTCACTTGCAGAAGAAAGACACAGTTCCTGATTAGAAGAGCGGGAAAGTACATAACAAACGAATAAAGCAGAATATTGAGACAACAAGAAGCCTAAAAAACAAAACTTGTTCGGCGAGCCTCACGGGTTGTCTTCTAGCTTGCCCTCCATGTACTTGAAGCTCTGCTGGACCCCGTCGGACGTGAGCAGCTGTGTCCCGAAGTAGAGCGAGTGCAGGATCGCAAACAGCGTGCTGACCTCGCGCATGTTGCCGTCGTGCACGTGCGGAGGGGGGTTCGCCATGAACCGGTTTTTGGCGTCGAGGATCTGGAAAGCCGTCACCTGGACGAGAGCGGATGGTTTGCTTGATCAAATATGGAGCCACAATGAAAGCGGCAGCATCTGCAGTAAGGGTTGCATACCTGAAGTAGGCAGGGGCGCCGAGGATCTGAAAGGGCGTCTTATGAGAAGAGGAGGAACATTGACGTCAGGTTTGACTCTGACTTCGTGCCCTGTAGGGCAGCTTGAAGTGGGAGAAACACCACCGACCTCACAATATTGAGCACCGCTTGGCGTAGACTCGAGGGCGTCAACTCGCCAAAAAAACCGAGAACCCGTCCGAGTGCGAAAGCCCGACGAAGGATACCAATTTGCGCCACTTATCTGCATTTGACGGGAAATTGCATGCCTTTCTGTCGAAGAGGAGCGGGCAGGCACATCGTTGAAACAAGGCCGCTCAGCTGAGTCGTATAAGACTGGCACCAGCGTAACTTATCAGAGCCAGTAGCAACCCCAAAGCGGAGCCCAAAAGCCATAGCAATCCACAAAGCGGAGCCAAAAGCAGGCTCACCGCTGTGACGTCCTTGCTGTAGAAAGCCCCGAAGGAGCAGAGCCGCCCGAGCATCGGCCGGATGGCCTCCACGAAGAGCGTGCGGATGGTCGCCGAGTTCCTGTCCATCTCCACCTGAAAATCGGCGACGCTCTCAGCGTCAGCAAGCGCAAGGACCAGGCTTGGAGCAAGCATAGTGAGCGCACTGGCAAACTTTGAAAAGAGAGTGGCAGAAGAGAGTTGCATGTATGGACGACCCTTTTCCGCCGCCCTGAGACTTCAGCAGCACTCAGTGTGCTTTCTCTGATTGACGCCCATTTTCAAGATGCACAGAGACTTGGGTGCCCCAAAACGAGGAATGTACACAGGGTGTTATCACTACCAGAGGTTTTGAATCCGTTTTCTATTACGGTCCTTTTCGAGCATTTGCCAAGGTGCGGGTCAAATAGGAGGCCGCACGCAAAGTGGGCGAGTATAAAACCCGACTGTCTTCCCCGTACGAATTCAATAGCAATGTTGAACTCGTTTTTAGTCTGTGCACTCCTGTGGATAAGACGCCGCAACCACTTACGGGGATGAGAACCTTCTCCTTAGTGTGTGTATACATGGCCACTTCTGCGTGGTCTTCCCCTCGGTGCTCTATGCGGGAGATGCGCAGATTGTTGATCACGTTCTGGATGGCATTGAAGTCGGCTGCGAAAAAACCCGCCGAGCTTCATCAGATACGCATGGGAGAGCTTATAGAAGCGTCCTTCCGGATGCATGCGCAGGGTGTTGAATACGTTCGTAAGGTGTTTGCTTGGAATGCACAGCGCTTCACTGTGTACGTATTGGCCGCATTTGTTCGAACGTGTTGATTCTCCGACTGACAAGTCGCAATTGGTCGTCCCCTCGGCAATGGATTGCGCTGCCCCTCCTTCCTTCAAAGCTTGGTGTGAAAGGATCAGTACTCCACTTTCAGCGCCAGCCAGATCCTTGGAGATTGTTGCCAAATCGAACGAGAAAGAAGCGGATGAAGTGAGTGCTCTGAGATGCTCACACCCAGGCGTGGCGGTGAGAGCGAGGATGCGGTACCGCGCCCTTATGCTCTCCATCTGCGGACGACAAAGTGACGCTAAAATAAGAAATTGGCCAATACTGTAAACCCTTGCAGAAATGCCTCGTACGCTTGTTCTCGATTACTCAACCACGCGACTTCACCACAGTGCTGAGCGGTTGTGCAACCAGCTTTCAAAAGCGGTTATCAGTGAAGCTCTTGAATCCTCTGCTAGCCCCTCGGCAGTCCTGATCCTGAGACACGGAGTCTGTTAAGGCAGGAGAAGTATGCCGTCAATCGGTAGGAAGCAGCAATCACGATACTTGCGCAGATACTTGTTGTCAGACAAAGGTTAAGCTTCAAAGCGATTGCTACTTAGAAAGGCCTCACCTCTCGGATGATGTTGCAGTAGGAGTGGTTTCCGGTGGCTCTGTGCGCTTCGTCGATGACTATCAGAACGACGGACTCGCGAGGACAAATGCCTGCAGTCAGAGAAGAGATTTGTTGGCGTTCTAAAGAGAGTCTGAGAATCAAGAGAAACTGTCATAGAACGAGACTGGCATAGCACTGGCGTGGTGGCCAAGCGACAGAGTGTTCATCGTTGCTGTGGTTGATGAGAGCAGAATATGCATCGTCTCAGGTCTAATGCTTCTTAATGTGAGGGTTCATCACGAGTATTTGGACGACGGATGCATTCTCGGCCTTGTTGCACGCACAGGGATACTCGTTAGCTTCGGAAGCTGCGAATTCATTCACACCTCAAAGAAATCCTGCAAACTGCTTAGGGTCGAGATGAGTCGTCGACCAGTTGTTCACCCCTCTTCGACGGAGCACTCAGCACCCAATTGAAGTCCAACCCTTACTTTCTAAGTCGGGAATGTTGACCAGTTGCAAATCCCCACTTCAGGGCCAGGTAATCGGAACACAGACTGATTCAAAACCCTGGAAACGGCAACAAGTTGCGGACAAGAAAGAGTTCGTGGCCAGACGATGCTCGCCTGTGTACAGGTCTTGCTCCAGGGTTTGCGGCGTGAGGAAGAAGACGCGCTTCTCCTGCCACAGGCCTTTCCGAACTGTCGGTGCAACTGCTCCGGTCATCTCCGAAGTGCTCTCCTGCAAGAGGTCAGCCCAACGGTGTGAACAACGTTATCACGCTTCAACGCTTCCAAAGACGAGGTTGAAAACGGTAGTTGCGCTTCTTGCTTGCGGGGAAACTGGTGAATTCACGTTCCCATTTCAGAAGCCAAGGTTGGAAGTTTGGACTCCCTGCCTGAGATTGCTTGTTCAGGGCGCATTTGTTGGCTGCGAGCTGGGATACTACGTTTCCGCAAGCTTTGACCTTGCCATTTGGTGAAAGAGCCAACTGGACACGGTTCGCCGATTGTGAATGTTACTTGTGACTTGCAAGTAGACACGGATGTACGCGCCGTGATTGACAGCTTCTCTCTTTCGTACCGTTTCAGGCTGAGGTTCTGAAAAGAAGCCGCAGCAAATACGGCAGTTACAGGTTATACATCGGATTGTACAGCTGCCGCAGGTTGTAACTGCAGATCCTTGCACTAAACATCACGTGGCAGCTCGTTGGAACCGCGGCTGAGCTCACCTGCGGGATGCCCATGATCCCATAGCAAGCTTCGACTTGCTGATTGACCAGGGGCTTCGACGGCGCCAAGAACACGACCTTGCCTGCAACAAATTACAACAGGATCAGCTTCTTGAAGATGGGAACGGGAAAAGAGGAGCGGTCGTGGCAAACCTGGCCTGCGCGCCGCTACTTGCCTGGCTGACAACCGTGCTCTAAAGGCTATATAACACGACACTGCCAACAGTACATGAACAGCAATGCTCATGCTGTTGTCTGCTTCTTGTGTGCAATGCTTAGCAGGTAATGTTCCCTCAGGCCAGGTTGACGCTTTCCAAATCTTTGACGCAGGCACGCACCAATGAGTGGAGGCAAGGCCATGCACATCTGAACCACTTCGCACACTTACTGCCACTGCTGCTTCAGTCCGTACGCTCTCGTGGAGCGTGCAAGCTCCTGTTCGTACCTTGAGATGAGTCCCCCTTCCCCTTCAAGTACCGTGACGAAAGTGTTCACGATCAGGCCAGATGGACATGTTTGGCTTGAGGAGCTCGAGTCCGACCTTACCCTCTGGGAACCAGCGGAAGTAGTTGTACATGAGCACGGCTGCAATGAAGGTCTTCCCCAGCCCTGTGGGTAGCGACACCAGCACGTTCTCGTACAGGGCGCGCGCCACGACCTGGTACTGGTACTCGCGCCGAGACACATTGCCTGCACGTGGTTAGTGAATCGGGTTAGTTTAACCAGAGTCCAGTGACAACGTGGTCATGTGTGGCCTTCACAAGCTAGCAACAGTAAGTATGCTCCAAGTTCGGGTTGGTTTGACAAGGGTCACCTTTTCCCTTTTGAAGATCTGCGACCAGTGCCCTCTTCGGCGCAGACCGTGGGGCGGCATGGAAAAGGGCAGGTTCAGCTAGGAACTAGCCCCGATAAAAACGACCAAAAGTGTGCTGAGAAAGAGTGTGCTTAACTCATGGTGTTGTATTGGCTACCAGAAGGGACACAAGCAGATTTCAAAAGTAGATTGCTGCATCATTCTTCTCTTGCTCGGGTGCTCCTCTACGGAGATGCTCGCCGCTTTTGCAACGAACCGACATACTTTCTGCGTCGTTTGCCCGTTTTTCAATTCCCGGACTGTAAGATCCTGATCTACAACATGTGGGAGTGTTGACAAAAACAACATACTCAAGAAAATTGCAACTCTAAAACAAATTTACCAGGATAGATCCAGGTGGTGGCCGCCTCTGGATCGATTGGCACCGCTTCCGGCGCGGCCTCCTCCTCTCTCCGTGCATTCTCTTCCTCAGCAAGCGCGCGCGCGTCTCCGAACGGCCGCTGCGCTGGGCCGCTTTCAAAGAATGATGTCAGCGGCCTCTGCACCGCGTTGACTGGCACCCTGATTGTGCGCAGTTGGGAAGCGTTGGGGGCATCGTGGCCCCAGAGAGCAGTCTGAAGGTTAGCCTGAGGAGGTAGCTCGCCTTGGTGGATCCGGTCGATCTCTTCCACGGCGGCGGACCAGTCGTAGTCCTGCAAGTGTGCCAGTTTTCGTTAGAGTTTCCAGGCTGCGGAGTGTGCTCACTTGCTGAAAGCTATTGATCGCCCCATGATCGTGTGAGTTTTAAGGTAGAACCTAGGATCTCCAACTCTGAAAAAAACTGCCAGTACTTTGGATGATGCGGATAAGTGCCTCGGCATACAGGCACTAGAGCAGCCCTTTCCTCCTCTAATAAGTAGACAATGGAAAAGGAGTGTTTGTTGTCTTTCTGATGAGAATGCCAATTTCAAGTGGTGAGAAAGCCAATTGTTGAATGCACATGTGGCAATGAGTTTGCATTCGTTCTCAAACCTATGGGATACCACAGACAGAGCAGAGTCCGGATGGGTCAACTTTAGGATTTCAAAGAAGCGTCAGGGAAGTGGCATCATCAAAGGCTTTCTGAGAACACGTGAAACAAGTGGTTACGCAGCCCTCAACAATGCATCATGTAAAAGTGGCCACTTCAACAAAGTCTCAAAAAACCACTCGCGTGCGTCACTCTTATTTTGACTCCTCAAGAAGTCAAATTGAACCCATGATTGCGTCACAATATGGAGAGGCTATGCTGCGCAACTTACGTCATCGTCGTCTGCATTCACAGAAGCTGCTTCAAATTCCATCTGTGTTGCTCTCATGTGACCAACATTTGGACCCTAAAGGCATCCCGCATTGGGCCCGCATTGAAACCCTAAACAAATTCTTAATGTTGAACACGCACTTGCCACTGCTCTCTGGTGTGGCTCTGATAAGCTTGCGCTGAACACCTGTCCCTGCATAAGCCTGGAGTCCATGCAACGATTGGTGTGAAGCAAATAGGCCTGCTTTGGCCCTATCGATCCTTCCTCAAAAAGCCAAGATGTTGTTGGTTTTGACCTTGAGACAACTCCTAGCCACCCCATTGGCAAAGCATTTGACCAACAGCCTCAGCAGTGAGCCGAGGACGCGCCCACAATCGTTCCCCCTTTGCCGGCTGTCTTGCTTCGTGAATCGTACCCGTCGTACTCATTTCAAATTTGAATGCGTCACTAGCCGGTGTCGTATACGGCGTCGTATCGAAACTGAGACCGGAACGCTCCTAGCGATACTAGGACCTATCCTATAGATCAGTTCCGGTCTGTAGTCGGCCGAGTCTTGCTGTAGCGCTCCTTCGACGACGTAAAATCTGAACAAGCAATCAGGGTTTGAATTTTGCTTGGAGAACACGTTGTATAGGTACTTCAATGCAGGCATGCAAGAGGCGAGAGGCACGGCTGGAGAAATGGCAATTGGAGCCGCATGCGGCATGGGGATGTTGCAATGGCCCGCCGGATCTTATAGGCTGAAAATCATGCATGGAGTCACTACTAAGGGTCGGTGCGGCAAAGGGTCGCGGAGCGTTATACCGGTATTTGTCGCGTTTCAATGGTACTGTTAAAGGCGTGATTTGACAAGAGATATTGAAGAAGGGCATGCACCATTGTGTCTAATTAGGACAACTAAGAACAACCCGGCGTCGCCAGAATGTATAACATCATATTGCTGCATGAGTCATAAAATTTGAGCCTTCGTGGGTTTTGAGTGATGACTTCGATCACTGGGATGCGCGTGCGGCATGTGATCATCCACTGCCAAAATCATATACAAGCTTACAATCGAGTAGTTTCGATCATACAGCGCTGTGGAACACAGGACTCACACTGATTAGATCATGCTGCATTTCTGTTGTATGTCACGGAGATACTTAACCCATCGTGCAAACATGTCGGACGAAAGCATACTCCGATCAATCATAGCTGATCACAACTGATCTGCCTAATTAGCCTCCTTGTATTGCTCATATGGCACACCGGATCTGACCATCTTCAAACAAAAGCATTAACCGCACGCAATTTGATGCCGTTGTTGCTGCTATTACACACATGGCAATAAGGCACCCTGTTTGCGGCTTCAAGAAGTTTACATTACCATGAAACTTCACATAGCAAGCTGGAAAGCCGCCTAGACTCATAGAATGTTCTCTCAGGTGACTTCTTGTAGTCTCAAAGTATGATGGATGATGTCCTTGTAGAGATTGTAGCTAAATGTTTGTCAATCGGCATGGCAGAGTCCTTGAGGTTACTGTCGTTACTGTCATAAATCCTCGAAAACTTTGCACACAAGATCGTGAGGAAAGCTTGGGTGACCAGATAAGAACAACGGCCTCAGCCGCTCAAACAAAGTTTCTCCCTCAGGTCACGTCATCTACCAAAACACGGGCGCTCAAGAAACACACCATAATACAATTCGCAATCCAGTCTAGCTTAAACTGCTTACGCTCATGGGATGTAGAACTTGTCACCCGGGTAAATCCGGTCTGGATCCTGAGTGACTTCGATGTTGTGGTCGTAGAGCTCATCCACCGACAGTCGGAAGCACCCGGCAATCGAGCAGAGGGTGTCGCCCTCCTTGACCTCGTAGAACTTGGGCTTTCTTTTGCTGTTGGCGACCACAAATGCGCCAGCCGCTATGGCGAGGGCGCCACCCAAAAGAGAGCCCAGCGGGCTGCCCTTCTTCTTGCTCTTTCGGGGCTTCGGCTTGGCCTCTGAATAACGAGAGACCAGCAGGTAAGCAGACGGACGAGGACCGAGGAGATATAGGCTCTATGCACCGGTTTCATTGAAGCAGCCGGGTCTTTTAGTCCTTGAAGCATTGTCCTTGACACAAGATGCAACACGTCAGAATGGCAATTCTATCGATCCACTCTGTTGACGCTTGGGTTTTACGAAACGAGCAAACACAAGAAGCGACTAGTAAGGGAGTCTGCTTTCCGTTCAGGCCTCCCTCCTCTAACGGTAAACTTCCTTGAGATGGTCGTAGGCCTCAGACAAAAAGCCGTAAAGTTTAATTTTGTTACCCCGGCCAAAAAGTTGCGTCCTAGAGCGCATCTCGCAAGCGACCAGCTGACGGCGCTGCTAACGTCTTTCTTTCTCCTATTTCATAAAAAGACGTTCGGGGACTCGGCATTCAACCACGATGAACCCCCGATTAACTAAGGTCACTGCAGATACCACGTGCCACAAGGACCTACTGAATCAGACTCCTCGTATGGTCATACTCAAAAGGTTTTCGGAATGGAGACTCGCCAGATGGCGGTATTCTGAATGTAAAAAGTAGCGAAGGATGCTGCCTGTCAAGATTAGCTGCTTCACGGCTGATGATTGTGCAGGTCCCAGCGTTAAAACTCGTCCAAGTTATTTCCAAACAATACAACGACCTGACGTTTGCGCTTGGCAGTGTAGATCACGGTCGCAGTGTGCAGGACTCGGAAGGTCAGTGCATGCAAAAGAAGCTTACCTAAAGAGCATCAATACAAGCCCGGGTAGGAACGGCCTTGGCACAGTCCAATCCCCGGCAGCAAAGGAGCCCTACTGCTTATTCTACATCATCGAGATTGGGAGAATTGATCGCATAGACAGGAAGCATATCAAAATACGACGAGAATTGGAAACATGGAGAAATGCAAAAAGAAAAACAAACTCTGGTATCTCACCTTCCTTTACGCCGTTTGCTTGCTCCAGATGAGGGGGCGGTGGCGGAGCTGTGTAGGTCGTGGTGGTTTCAGGAACAATCACCTCCTGCTTCACAACGGCGGGCTCGGCAAACACCTCCTCCTTAACGATAACCTCCTGTTGGAACAGAGAAGCAGACATTGTCAGGGAATCCTCGATTTCCCTCTGATCGCTGAATTTAACCAGCGAATTATTTTTGGAATGCATAGAAGCAGAAAACGGCAGCGTTCCCACTCTTTTCAACGTTCTCATTGTTTTCGAGCCTGACGCTTCAAAATCTGGGAAATCGTACTTCAATGCGCTTGAGTGTGATCTGCAACAAGAAGTTGGTTTGCCCTGCAGATACAATCAACTTCCTGATAAGCTTCGTCAAAGTCAACCGAATATTGAGCAACCAACTCTACGACCAACGCTCGTTCTTAAAGCTGCTGGGCACCAAGTTACAACAAGGAAATCGGAAAGCTGGATGAACGTGGCACTACATCACCATTTTCCATTATATGGTTTGGGCCGTTTTAATTTCAAGTCGACCTGAGAAGCTCGGACAACCGTCCAGTATACCCGCCAGGACTGAGAAGTGAGGGCTCATCAGAAGACCAACCTCACAAATATGGCAACACAAGCCACTGGTTCAGCCAAAACCGACTGAGACGAACGACCCGAATGCCTGAGGTGCAGACACTAGATAGAGACGCCGTGAGTACATATCACAATTTGCTTTAAGCCCACAGTTTACGAACGGCTACAAGAACCATAGGGTCATAGATACCACCTTCGGGGGGTCCCTCGTGGCAATCTGCGTCAACTTCTCCGCGCCGCTCGGGTCGTTGTTTTCGATCTTCTGAATCGCCTCCTTGACACTCGGGCTCACAGTCAACGAGGGGCCGGTGGTGCCCCCTACAACAGCGCCATTCCCGTTTGCAATCGAGTCCGGAACTGAGGAGATGGACGACGCGGGGGAGCGCGCGTCCGAGGAAGTTATGGACGGGCTGGGAGACCGCACGGAGTCCTTGGGCGCAATGAAGCGCAGCACGAGGCACACCTCGCCCGCCTCGGCCCCAGCGGCGTCCTGGACCTTGTACCTAGAGAAAAGAAACAAATATTGACACATTGATTGAACACCAATTTCAATAGGAACGACAGACTGCAGAACACAGCACAATTCCACAGCCGCGCTACAATGCATTGGGCCCGTTGGATCTGGCCTGGCATGACACGCGGCCTACATTGCCCCATGTAGTCCAGTCAACCGCAGAAAAGCTTAAGAATCAGGGTATGACAAGATTAACCACTACGAAAATCCCTCACCGAATCATAGGTAAACCTCATCAAATCCGACCACCGAGATAAGCTGGGGGAACCAGCATCACGAGCTGGTGTTTGAAGCGACAGGCACAAAGCTTGAAGACATGAAAGTAATGGTTCTTCCATCCAACTGCATGCCGACGCATGTCCTACCAGCAAACACCACAATCAGCTAACGCACTCGGCAACTACACTCCGACAACACTGAAGAAGGTGCAGTAGCCGGCTGGCGATGCTAACCAATGCACCGTGGTGCCCGCCGCGATGATGTCAGCGATCTGGATTGTGGTGGAGCCGATGTCCTGCTTGCTGGCGTCATCACCAATGGCAACCTGAGAGACGAGACAGTAAAGGCCTCAGCAAAAGTGAATAAATTAGTGCACAGAATATCTTTGCAAGTTCGTTTTCAACTGGAGACAAAGCAGACAAAACAGTGTTCTATCTCAGGTGAGGCGAAGGCGTTGCTTGTCAAATCTTCTAAAAGCTAAGTCGGACCCAGTTTACTGTGACCAAAATCCAGCTGGAACCATAATCCCGATTCGAGTCCAAGGCTCTGCCATCGTATTTGTCGTTCTTTTTGCGCGTGTGAGTGGCACCATCAAGCAAGGCGTTAGGATCTGAGCCCGTCTACCTTGCCCCACGCAAACTTGGAGCCTGTCAATGCAAACCGCGGTGCCACTGAACAGTGCCGCTTACACTGTGGCCCTACTCTTTCTTATGCCCCCACTCACTTCCTGGCACCCGAAATTCTACCCGTTAAACTTCCCAGAGGTTGAGAAGTGACCAAACCGAACAAATGTACGGAAGGCGTCAAAAAGCTACCCTGCCATGCTACTATTGCGTTGCGCATCTTCAACTGCAACAATCCACAGGCTACAAAAGAACGCACCACTCACCACCAAATTTGGCTTTGTGACAGGGACTGGGAGCTTGAAATCCTTGACCCATTTGGGAGCCAGAGTCCCCTTGAGTGCGTCAGTCCGCACCTGCAGGTAATTGTCAGCCATGTTAATGTACAAAGTTCTCAATCGGTTTGTGCTCCATTCCCTAGCAAGATGCTAAATTGCAAGAGCATACTCCCTGTCGTCATGTTTGTTGGGCCTAATCGAAATGGGTCAATGGTAATCTCTCCTGCAGCCAGCACAAGAATGAACGCGACATATTCTTCTTCTGGGTAATTGGCCGTGCGCGACCTCCTTTGCTCGGTGTCTTGCTAGTGCCTCAACATTTCTCAAAATATGCTCCAGGTGCAAAGTTCGCACATTTGCCTAGGGTTATGGGAGAAGGCATATTGCCATGTTAGTGTTCTCTGACTCCAGTTTGCCCACTATGATGAGCGAATTACCCGCAGCTCGTAGGATTTGAAGTTGCTGCTGAGCATTTCTTACAGCCAACTCAACAATCAAATCCGTAAGCTCCTTGAAAATGCAGCCTCCTTTTTCAATGAAACTCGCAATGCATGTCAACCATTTGCAAGTTTCAAAAAGGAGCTTCTTTTGCAAACGGATTTGCAAATTCCATTAATCAAACACATGCAAACTCCAGCCAGACCCTCAGCTGAAAAGTTTCAGGGTCCCAAAATAAGCTGACCCTTTGTCCTAAGTTTCGTTCCGTGCAGCAAGTTTCGAAACAACGCTCTAGATTTGGTCCCAGTCTTTGCCTTTCAGACTTTATAAAACATGCCATAACCCGAGCTAAGTTTCGCACTACTTGAGCCTCTTACCAGCACGGCCAGAAATCTTCTCAACACCACAAATCTCCAGGACAGGACTAGGTACTCAAACTCAAAAACACACTCACTTACTTCCAAACCTTAACATAACCAGCTGCCCTGCCTTGACAACGCAACCCTGTAAACAGACGCATGAGCAACTACCTAAAGATATGAAATTTCAATGAAAGCAGCCCTCACCTCCTGCGTGCCCAAAGTCAGGCGCACGTACGGGTCAGCAGAAGCAGCGCCCCCTGCCGCCTTCAACCCCTTCCCCTCAACAACCGACACCTGCAGATTCCCTGCCTTGGTAGCCATTGACAGGCTCTTTAGAGCTCACCTATCCTTCCCGCAACACACTGCGTTGATCAAATAACCTCTACCAATTGAGCACTTAATCTACCACTTCGCTATCTTGGAACTGAAATCCTCCGGTCAAATTGCATAGAAGCAATCTTCAAAACGAGCAGTCAGCTGCGCAAAGGATAAGAGCGCCTTTCACTGTGAACGTTTTCACAGCGACATCTCCGCTTCCACCTTGAGCCTGTCTGCCTCTTCCTTCTGTCCCCTGAATCTCAGATCTCTCCTTCCGGAAGTTTTCTCTCGGGCCAGAATGCAGCAAATTCAACCGCCGTCTCTAGATTCGACGGGTGTGCTAACCGAGAATTTGTCGTGTTTCGACCATTGCTATGTTGAGGCAGAGGATGCCACCCCGTGGAATACTCAGCTTTGCGCCCCACCTCCTCAGCGGGTTTCAACCTGCAATCTGTACAACCCGGAGATTCGAACATTTCGAATCGAAGCAAAGAGGTGGTGCAGTTCTGGAATCAGCAAGAAGCTAGAATTGGAGGCTGTTCAGCCAGCTGAAACCATTGCTGAACCAGAAAAGTGATCCAAGTTCAAAGGCGGAAAGGAGGAGGAACCAAGCAGAAATTGGAGGAGTAGATAGCTGGAGCGCTGCTTGAACAAATCTGTACTCATCAGCTTGTCGGGTGGAGAGATCTATCCCGATCATGCAGGGCCAATTTGCGCCGGGGCCCGGCGCCCCAGTCCAGCAGCCTGCACAACAGGCAAGTGGCAAACCTTTGCGTGTTGGATGAAGGAATGTTGCATTGTGTTGCTTGAAGCGGTCATCCGTTGCTTGACTCCTTGACAATCATATGGACCCTGGCTGCATAGTGCCGCTGTTATCTGGCATTTGGATGCACATTCCAAAGCGGGGCTTAATTGCTTCCCTTGTCCCGAGAGAGCCTCTCTTTACATGAATGCCACCTGACAATGCCGCCCAAAGTTGGTAATGGTCGATTGACTGATCTTCAGTGCTCATGCTTTGCCCTTGAAACAATCCGCCCATCTGCTTGTGTCCATAAGCAAGTGGCGCTCAGCACTCTGTTCTTTTCCCAGCATTCTGCATGCCACCAGCACAGTAACACAACCTTTTTGATCCACATTCGTGTATTTGCGGGTTCATAGATTGTAGTACATTTGCATGCCATCCTCAATCGCGCATTCTTGACCAGTGCATGATCCCTCAGAAATTTGCAGGCTGGGGCAGTGGCAAATTCAGTTTGACTGCCATTTAACAACAGATTGACTAGCCTTTTCCCAGAGCTTTTGCTCCTATCATGCTCGATAATTGTCTACCATCAGGATTTTTGATTAGTCGCCGTTGGTTCTGATCCTGACAATGTGCTCCATGACAGGGGCCAATGGACCTTCCTTCCGGCAATCTTCCAGCTGGGTTTGATGCGAGCGACTGCAAAAGCGTGTAAGTACATTGCAAGCGCTGTGGAAGGCCTTAATGAGCAGGATCAGAAATTCAACAGGCTGAGTCATCTTTATAATGTTAGGCCAAGCAGTGAATGGAGCGATTGGTGTGCGTCATGATACGACATTGAATGAGAGCAGCATTTTGGGCAAGTACTAATGCACATTGCATAAATTGCAAGCAAGCCCCCTCTGTTTCTGCTTGTAATGTTGACTAGATTTAGATTCTAGTTAGTGAAGAGGGATTAGCATCCGCCTTTACCCTTCGTAGGCAGACGGTGCTCCATTTACTATGGCATATTGGGTTCCTTGCTCGATCAATGCTGCGAATCCCATTCACTAACCAGCGTTTTGTCAAGCGATTGGCTAGAGTGAAGATGGCTTCCAATTCATTGCTGTTCAGATTCAGTCAGCATTGGCCCCGTTGGTTTCGTGGATCTACTAGGCGCTAGGCGCCAAGAAGGATTGCGAAAGAAAACGGCTCGCAGTAGATTGGTTCATCCGTCAACCTTTCTCTGCAGGTATGTTGGCAACATCAACCTGAATGTAACTGAGCAGCTCTTGGCAGAGGTCTTCTCCACGTGTGGGAGCCTGTCAAACTGCAAGCTCATAAAGAAGGAGAAGGTGAGGTGCATAAGACAGTGTGCAATGCAGCTTTTCGTTCTTGCTAGCATTGGCTGTTCCCAGCTAATGTCAGTGTTAGGTTGAAGTCACAGAAGTAGGTTAGGAAAATGCAATTAGCAGCTTGGGGTCCCTTTCTTGGGGCGAGGTCATAGACTCTTCTAGCTTTGACTTTGAGCCACCGAGGGTTTCTCCCAGCAAGGTAGGTGAAGAAGCAGGCTTCGGAGGAACATTCTTTAATGCTGTCCGTTGCACATATATTTCGCATGTTTTTCCTCTTGCACATGCATTTGCTCCTTTTCTTTGCATTGCCTCTAGCACTTCTTCATTACTAACTCGCTTTTCTCTTGTGCTCTTTTTCCCATGTGCTCCTTATTCTCATTTTCTTCCCCTTGTGGAGTTCAGTCTTCTTTCGGGTTTGTCGACTTTTTCGACCACCGTTCCGCAGCCCAGGCTTTGCTCACACTGAACGGAAGGATCTTGTGAGTACTCAGTTCGGACACTCTCAGACACCCATCGGACACCCTCGGAAAAGGGACTGTAGACAGGAGGGGGCTTCTCTACTGATTGCTTTCTTCGATTTTCTTGAGCATCCCCTCATGTTTCTTCGATAGCTTATGTACACATTGGTTCATTGCTTCCTTTGACGCAATGCATTTTGAGATCTGTGCATAGGACTCTGTCAGATCTGCAACATTGCACTCATATTGTTTCTTGTCTGCTGCGCACGCATAGCTCATGTGTGTAGGAACCCGCGAACAACCAAGTCTGCAGGTGGCTTTCATTCTGAAGCATTCAACATCCGCATTTTTGCAGGATGGGAGACCCCATCAAAGTCAATTGGGCATTCCAGAGCAACAAGCGAGAGGATACATCTAGTAAGGCCCCTCCTCACTCACCTTCTGCACATATACTTCAATCTTCAGCCTTTGCAATCTGGTGATAGGCACGAGCTAAGATTCGCAGGGTCGATTTACTTTGGTGGGAGTCTAGGGGCTTGTCGTTCGACAGGTTTTGCTAGTTCTCTCCGATCTGTACATTGTTAGATGCTTTGGACCCATTCTGAGACATTGTTCTCACTTTTGCTCTACAGGTCACCACAGCCTATTTGTGGGTGACCTCTCTCCGGAGATCACCGATGCAATTCTCCACAAGGCTTTCAGTGTGTACCCCAGCATCTCGTGAGCGTCACCTTCAAATTGCTCAAAAGCTCGCTTTGGCTCTCTGTTCTGCTCACATTGCTGAGTTCTGGCCCTCATTAAGGGGCTGTGGATCTGGAAGACTTGGTTGTCTCTGTTTCTTGCTGGATATCAGTGCAAGCGGATTGCATTGCCCAATGCTTGTGTGTACCCAAAATGGACTATGATGAGTTGTGATGTGTGGCTTGCTGTGAGGAACGCTAATGTTTGGCGTAGCTATACAAGCTTATGTTCTGCTGAGCCGCCCTTGGGGAAACTGGTTTGGAGAAACTGGTTTGTGGCATTGTAAATGCCAAGATGAATCCGACTTTGGGTGGCTGGATCAGTTCTGATTTCACCACTGAGCGCTTTCTTCCGAGTGAGGCAGGCCACGATGTTAGTTACAAAGTCTGGTCAATACACTATCCTTTCTGCTCACAGGCACTTCTGTCGTTGGTAGGCCGTTGATCCTTCTTGTGGCTCCGTATTCTTTGCAGGGATGCCCGAGTGATGTGGGACCAGGCGTCAGGCAGGTCAAGGGGCTTTGGGTTTGTTTCTTTCCGGGATCAGGCGGTAAGTTGCAAAGTCGCTTGAAGGTGTCCATTTCATCAGCAGTGCGGAATGATGGACGTTGAAACGGCTGTCCTTTCCCAACAAGCGTTTTCCAAAAAGCAGCATGGCAGAATGATTTTGTAAGTGAGCTCAAGGAGGAGTGTTCTGTCAGCAATCATGCACTGTTTTGCCCAGTAGTCGTCCATCTCTGGTTCTAAAGTTGCTTTTCTTTCATTTTGAAGTTCTCTCTAGCGGTCATGCAGGATTCGAGAGTTTCAAACTTCCTGTAAACTCAGCCATTGACACAACATCATTGCAGGATGCCGAACGGGCTCTCACCGAGATGAGCGGCCAAATGCTGGGGTCCCGCCAGATCCGTTGCAATTGGGCAACGCGCCAAAATGCGCCCCATGGGGGCGGCGGCGGTGGTTTTGGGGGGGGTGGTGGGTTCGGAGGTGGCGGTGCAGTCGGAGGTGAGGGCTTGGGAGTTGCGTTACCAAAGCTAAAAGAGTTGCTCTCATGATACTGTCCTTCACTCTTCTCCTCTGTTGTACCTGTGGAGTTCGCTCTTTGTCTCTTCGCTGCGATTTGGAATTCTCCATCATTCGTGGCTTGGTCCGCTTATGGTACTCGTTCTCTTTCAATCCCCTTCTCTTCGTTGTTTCCTTGTGGTCTCAGGAAGCCCGCACTCTCGACATCTTGAAGGGCTGTCTGGAAAACATTTTCTAGAATGTGTTCGTTGTTAGTGCTTGGTATCCGTCGCAGGGCAAGCCAGTTGGTGAAGTGGTCAATGGTGTGAGAGTAATCGCATTTTACAAGGCGCTCATCCTCCTTTCTCCAACCTCGCAGGTTTTGCCCAAGCAGTGTCCGGGGGTTTCGGGATGGGGGGCAACCAAGGCCCAGCCTTCGGCCAGCAGCCGGGCTTCGGAGCGCCTGGGGGCTTCCCCCAGGGGGCCCCCGATGGTGGCGGGCAGTTTGGACAATTCCCTGGCCAGGTCAGGGTTACAAAACGTCCTGGGCAGCCTTTTCTGTCCAGGTTGTCTCATTTCCTGATCGCCAGCCAGTCTCGCTTCTGTTCGTCGGTACTCAGTGTTGGCACGGCTTTGGTACCGTGTTCAAATGATGCTTCGACGGTACTCAGCTTCAGCACGAGCTGAGCGCTGCATCCGAAAATTTGGACGGCTTATAATGCATTCCGAGCAGTCACGATATTGTGCGATTTGACAGCTCGTCATGTAGACGGAATCGTCCCAATCTGCTCGACATTGTCCAACAGACGGGGCTTTTGAATCTTTCGTTTCTATTTTGTGATAAGGTCGGCTTCTCAATGGCCTACACCCGGCTGTACATGGGCTCTTAACCAGTGGGTTTAAATCGTGTGACCAGGCCGACTTTTCAATTGCCAACCTTGCCGTACACAGACTCTTAACCAGTGGGTTTCTTGTCTTATGACCAGGTCGGCTTCCCGATGGCCGACACCTCGCAGTACACGACGGCGTACATTGGAAACCTGGCGCAGGAGGTCACGCTGACGGAGCTCCATCGGCAGTTCCATGCGCTGAACGTGGGCGTCATCGTAGACGTCAAGATCAACCGGGAGAAGGGCTTTGGATTTGTCAGGTGCGGCTGTTTCCCCCGCTTCCATTACCTGCTTTGCTGAAGACTATTTCTGCTCGTCGATCGTTGCCATGTTTGTGGGAATGAAAGCCGGTTTGTGGAATGCCATCTGCGTTCTCGGTTGTGTATTCATTTGGTCCTGGTGGGTAGCTGGTTTTCCTGTGCGTCTCCTCTTCAAGTGAACAGGACTTTGGCGTCAGCCTTGCCCGTTTTTTCTGTTTGGATGGGTGGCTGCTTCTTCCGAGTCCCTTTTCTTTGCCGCACCTGGTTAGTCCGAAGTCCATTCTATGTGTGACATCCGGCTCGCGTTCTTCTCATTGTCACATCTACTGTACAATCTCTGTCTTGGTTCCGTCCTGCTGTTGAAGCAGGCACGTAATCGGACGCTGAAACAAACTGCATCTTTGCGCAAGGTGTCTTGCGTCTCGATTCTTCTTCCTCACGCTACCTAGCCTTTTCCGAGTCCAAGCTCCGACCTTCCGCGCTTCTAACAGATTCGAGAAAGAGTTGTTCTCCCTCTTCAGCTGACCCATTTTGTAGGAACCTTCTTTTTGCAGCAAAAGAGACGAAATGAAAAACTAAAATCCCCCTTCGTTATCCTCCAGATATCAAACCCACGAGGAAGCGGCTCTTGCTATTAACGCCAGCAACGGGCTCATCATCTGCGGCAAGCCGATCCGCGTCTCCT